CAGACATTTCAGTAAAATGTTATCATTTTTAACATTAACTTAACAAATTCAGCCCGGGGATAGAGCATTAGAGATCTACCAACAGGAATACGTCACTTTTATATCAACGGTTACCTGTATTTTACTATAAATATTTAGCCATAAAACACGTTTTAATAATTTACTGCTTGTCGTAAAATTATAGAAAAATACAACGAATAACGAATTGATAATTACAATGGTCCCTTTAGAATTGGACTCTGCGTAAACAACTATTTATTCAATACATATCCAAGATAAGTTTAAAAAAAAATTTCAAGATAATAAAACATTAGATGACACCCAACCTAACTGTCCTACATCTCCCATGGCTCTATGCAACCTGGAGTCGCCCGTATTTTGCCGAGTGCAATCTCCTTGACACGTTTGGACCTCCGCCGGTCAGTTACTTCCTTTAACGGCAACTTGTCCTCACAAGGACATCTCTGCTTTCCACACTTTCTGACTAATAAGCCACAAGACAGCGATTAAACCTCACCACAGACGATGGTTTTTGTATCTATTAGCCCGTGATACTATGACTAATATGCTAATAAACTCGTATCCAGGATCGTCAGGTTTTATTTTATAATGCACAAATAGTATTTACTTGTCCAAGTGTTACTATTATTTTTAACTAGTGACAAATAATAAACGCTTCATTAGTAGCGAAAGAGGTAAATGATAACTCAAAGGAACTTTAAGATGAGGTAACTAACACATATTAGTTAGTTTATTTTCCATACTACTGTATTTTAATTGAAAGAATAAAACACGCATGGACAACAAGAGGCCGGCGATCCTAAATTGATCAATATTTGTACCAAATAAATGAATTATGTTGAAGATTGAACTTGTCACTCTCGCACCGAAGTTCAAGTTAAACAACACCCTGTTACAGCACAAAATGTGAACCTACCTCATCTGTGTGGGGGCTGTTCCCTTTGTATGTGTAGTAAAGAGTTATCTTTCTCAAATGTAAAAAAAAAAAAAAACAAAGTGTACTCCAAACTACAGACTAAAGCAGTTTTGTCAAAGCTCGCTTCAAACATACATCGTCGTCAACATACACTGGATGCCTCCATATAGATATTTTGTCGAGAACAGTCGGTGCTACAAGGATTTTCCTATGTACGGTAGAGGTACAGCGAAACTAAAAGTTTCTGTGGGGTGGCGGGGCGGAGTTTCGTGGCGCTGGAGCGAATCAAACACTGAGTAATAAGGCAAATAATTAGCAGAACGGTGGTTAATGAGAGACGAACACGAACTTTGGAAATTAGAGGGAGGGGTCTTGTCTGTGTGGAGCAGCCAACATCATTTACTGGTGAAACTGGATAATGGCAGGAACAAAGTTTGAAATGCTTCATGATGCCAAACACTTAGTACGTTGTGACGTCGGTTAGTCTATGGTTTTGATTAGGAAGCCATAGGAATTCATTTTATTGCCAAACGGTAAGGTTGTTGACCAATTTCCCTTCAATTATGTGAGAGAACTCATTATTATTGTTAACCGTTATTTATATGCATGTCCTTCTCATTGATCCCAGATCCTAAGCCAGTTTGAGATCATAGATTAAGATTAAAGAGTAGGTGACACTCTTTTTAATCTATATGCTAAGATAAATTTATCTTCAATAGTTATTGCGCTGTGTGAACATACTTGTATATTTCTGTAAATGTTTAGAGGGCTATTACAGAGAGTGAGTACTCAAAACTCATTTACAGCTACTAGGTAATAAGAAAAATAACATATCTGGTTATGTCCATAGTTTTATATTGCTGCATTCTGGGATGAAGTTTCAGTTCGAGCCATAGGTCTACACTCGACCAAAATACTCCACCAGCTTTCTGAAACTTCCGGCCCTGTTTATACATTCTCTTAGCTAATAAATAACTCAACACTCCATAAATATAAAACGGCATTAGAAACCGACGCTTTTCTCTCTTTCAGTAACGAATCCGTCAGTTACCTTAAAAATGTTTCTGCGATAATTGCGGGCACATATAAACATTACGGAATAGATTTGGAAACAATTAAAGAACTAGATTTTGCAATTTGACAACATCTAACAACACCGACCTACATAAATAACAGTAATGTTCTATAAAATAATGAATGGTTTATTGTAATTTAATCGGATTTGTGCGGGGAAAAATATTGCTGCAACTGAGAACTTGATTAAGGACTTTAATTACAAACGTGTAAGCGGAAACCCCCAAATTCTTGTGCGCCCACCTTCTCAAAATGTCTTTTCATAGTTAAAACATTTGAGTTGAGTGGATGTTGGAAGATTTAATCAAAATTGGGAATTTTTGTAGATTTCTTGGGTTTAGCTTCCGAATCACTCGTAGTAAATATAATAGTGGCTTAAATACCTGTTACTGCCGGGGCGATTTTGTAGTCCTCTAGGTCAAACGACGTATAACTAGTAAAAGGACAGTTATGTAATGACTGTACAGCGATGTAATAACCACTCTAGCAGTAAAACGATCTAAACTATTCTGTGCGTGCTGATTTAAGTAGCTGAGTGGTTTAAGTGCTCGCCTAACAATCGAAAGATCACCGGTTTGATCATGAGAAAAGTCAATAGCTTTTTGGTGGTTCGAAACTGGACCCAATAGCGAAGCCACACAGATGACCTCGCACCATTCTGCACCCATCCTTCACTCGTATTTGGGTAAAATACGCACCTAGGGTCCCTATCACAATTAGTGATGATGATAACTATTATATTTTTGTAGACGTTTTGGACTTGTACGTAGTCGTATCACGGTACATAGTACATGCTCCTTAGATTAATCTATTCGTGGGGGTGTGGCTTCTCGATCTGTGCTTAGGATGACGACTGACAGTGGACAGGACACGGCATTCCAGCACTGACGTTTGTTCATTCACGTCAGGCTCAGGAATATACAATATAAATTATACTTTATACCCGAAAATAAACGCTAGAAGCTTATACACAACTCTGTTGGTTATCATTACGTTTATTATAATACACTGTGACTGTATATATTGCCAGCCGGATGGTTCGTTGGGCAAGGTCCCCGTCAGACTGTTGGGCGGGCGGGGGGAGGGTCGACTATTTGTGATCGTCCGTACATGGGGTCGACGGGAATAGCGGCATCTCTCGGTGTCTTCTTACTCTTTGGAGTCCCCATCTCGAGTATACATTGCGTAATGTAGACTACAAAATACCTCTGGCGTAAACACTGTAATACAGTACTTGGGATTTTAAAAACTATTTTTGTGGTAAAAAAAAAATCATAATTTTACCTTATTACCTCAGTCAAAGGAAGAAAAAATAAGTCTTGCCGAGGAACTGCCCCATCGATATTATTCTTCCTTTTATATAGGTCTAGAAAACTTTCATCAAATTACCTTACATTTCTATGACAAAGCACAATAATTTAGAGTTATAGAGTGTCACCTTAAAATGCATAGTTTTATATCATCTGAAGGATGTTATAAACCCGAGCAAAATTTACAATGAGATTAGGCTAATTTGATTAATGGAGAAATTAGATTCGATGAAATCTTTTAAGTCTTGACATAGTAAATGCTGTAGGCCTACTTTATCAATGTATGTAAAAGCATAGGTGAAACATATTCCTAATTTCTTTACCTGAATTAAATCATAGATAAACCACACTCCCTTGAGGAGTAAATACTGTATGTTTAAATACGAATCTTATACAGCCAAACAAAACTAGGAAAATGACCTAAACCATTGATGGACTTTATTACAGTCAGACTGTAATAAAGTCTCTTCACTCTTGTCTTCACTTGACGCAACATTTCTGTTAAATATAAAAAACAACATCCAGTTATCGTGAGAAAGGAATAAATTGACACGAATATGAAAATTCAACAAGACATTAAAATTAAAAATTTCCTAACTAGCATCATTGACTATATCCCCTAGCATCCTGCTAACATTTTAATAAAGCCCGTGAAAATTGTACTGATGAAGTAGTGTGGCTACATGGTTAGTTAAACCAAGCCAGCTTTACAAGCAAACTAGAAAAGAAGAAGAAGAAATCACGAATATGTGAATGTGTCAAATCATAGAGGCTGTGCCAGTGCCAATAATGGTATAATGGAGTTTGTTTTTGTTTTGAATTTCGATTGGAATGGAGTGACAGACGACAGACAGACAGACTGGCAGTGATAGTATTTTATTTTTTTGTTGGTTATCCTTTCTGCGTTTTAGCAATAATTATGAAAATGATGGATTTGAAATTGGAATCATTAACTGCAAGCAAGCTGGTTAGTTTTAGGATGGTAGTTATAATACACTTTCCCTCTCTTTGAAGAACATTTAAATTGTAGTTTTACTTCATCACAGTATCTATTGATTGTCAATTCACTAGACAATCAGTAATTGATGTCTCATTTTTAACATTTTGCCCATAACATTATATGAATAGGGCAAAACATTTGACAATATAGCTTTTGGTTTGAAACACCCTCAGTTAATACCATTTTGTCAAAATCCCTCACTTTACCTTAGCTTTCCAATGGATTCTTTTAGAGCTAGGCCTAATGGAAAACTGACAAGACCTATCATTACTTTGAGGCTGTGTTACTTTGTGTTGTGTTTGTGTTGAGGCCTATAATAGGTGACTTGATTTGTTCAGCTTCCGAACTGGAAGCTACCTAATTAACTTACATTAATTAAAATTACATGCAAAACATGTTGTGACTCCATCGTATTATTGAACATATAAATAGCCTACTAAACATAGTCTATCCAAAAACCAAACTTCCCTACCGATTGTAGGCCTAGCAACTAAGTTAATCGAAAATTATACAATGGAGCCAGTTGCCCATCATCATCCTAATAAAAAAATCATTATCATAACACAACTGCAACTGTTGTCCACATGGGTTTAATTATGTTTTCCAAGTAGCCTAGATATCTTCAAGTTTACGTTATGGTGGTATGGTGCATTTCTAACATTTGTGATTTTTGTTACAGTGCAGGGCATGGTGGTCCAGGGATCCATCCCCTTCATGTGAGTTACATATGGAATATTATTCAGACAAGTTATCATAGAACATTTTATGATTAGCATACCATTTTCACTAGTTAGTACCCATCCCTATCTTACGTAAATGTCTTCTTTTTAATAGAATTTGGTGACTAAATACAGGGTCGGCAAAAATACCTCCTGTGTTTGGAGTGTCCGCTGTGTAAGTTATGGTGGTGATATGACGTCCAATTGTCACCTATGGACAGCAGTAGACTTGCCATTTTCATAGGGAGTGTAGAATCGTTCACAGACATTTTCAAATACACCCATACAAGATGATAGTTTTAAGTAAGAGTTATTTTTAAATCCGCTGAGCTTTGGGCGAGAACATTCTTCAAACTAAGTTGGCACTATTCTATTGTTTTTTTATGATGAGGCCCACTTCTGCAGAAATCCCACAAGAACTTCACAAATATTACTTCACAGCCCTGGGTTATGTCACAGTTTCTTGTGTAATTTCTGAGTTTATGGTGTTTGGAGTCCATAATTTGTCCAAGATAAGGGCCTAACCGTAAATTCTATCCGCCACTGTCCAAAGATCGAGGTGTTCCTCAGACCTAAAAGCCATATTTGTTAAAGACAATGAAGAGCGAGGAATATTGTTTAAACAAGATGGAGCCAAAACACACTCTTCACAGCAATCTCTAGTGTTTTTGTGAAAGTTGTTTCCTATATATCTTCTCCCTTTGTGTAGAAACTTCAAGGAGCCTGCTAGGTCACCTGATTTGTCACCTTGTGATTTTTTTAAATTTGGGTAGCCTACATTTAAATTTAGAAGTGTACAAAGCTTGCCCCATAACCCTGCAACACTATCACCCATTCCACCGGGAACAGGGGCGTATTTAGAATCGATGAGGCCCCTCTGCCTAACATCAGAGAGGCCTCCATGTATTATGATTCTTCGGTGGCTGGAGCCCTGGGGTTTATAAGGTCGAAGTAATACTTGTGGTATTGCTTCAACTCGATGAACTCGGACCAAGAATCAAGAATATTTATTTGCCATTAAATAACAGAACGTTACAATAGGCATTGTCAGTGCAAAAATACATCACAGTCAGTCTATAATACAATCAGTCTTAGCTTTTGTCCACTTTTGTTTTCAACAATCAGATCGGCCAATCGACCTAGGAGGCTAGGAGACTATCTAATAAATTATCCTATTATTATTTAAATAATAATAAAAGGGTTCTCCAGGCCAGACTTTATTACTTTAGGTAAAAATTGTTGACCTTCACATAAAGTTAAGATCTGGTTGCTTTGGAAAGAGTTGTGATTAAACAAATATTAATCGATACACTAATTACCGTAATCAGTTTATTACCAGTATAACAACTGCAATCGTGTATAAAACGTAAACACGAATCTAAATTAAAAGTAAATAAAATCATAGACTAACCAATACAAGTAGACTTCTCATCCCACTGAAAATTTCGAAGCTAGTTTTTTGTGTCTAGTTTATTTACGTTGACACTGATCATTAGTTTAGACAACATTTTATTTATATTATTTTAGAGTTATTTTCATGATTGGTGCTTACTGTTTGGTTATATAACTAGGAGACCAGTTATTGTTTATGATTAGCCTAGATGTTTTATTTGCTTACACAATGTTTTAAATGACTGAAATAATAAGAAATTAAATTTTAAGAAAAAACAACCCCTACAGTGCAACGTACAGAACTAATAATAAATTGGCTTCAGCTGTTCCATAAGGATGAGAAATCTACTAAGGGTGTGTTTTATCCTATCTATGATAAAATTGTAAACTTCTTCAGTGGTCTTGGTAAAATCGTGGACCTCTCCTGCGGTCGCAAATTGAATTTTATCTTTGATCATTGTCTTTTGCAATTGGGGCATGACAGATTATCGGTTAAATTAATTTATAAGAAGATAAAAATTTTGCCCTCTCCCAGAACGAGGCCCCCTTAAACCGCCATGTCCACTGTACGGAAATACGTCAAGGCCGGAATTGAAAACACAAACTATGGATGCTTTTGAAAAAGGCTTTGCCAATGGAGGACCTCATTTGCCAGACATAATCTTCAAAACCATATAGCCTAGTGTAGATTTGTATGGTATTTGATCTTCATAAAAAAGTATTTTTTATCCATCCTTCTCTCTTTATTTGTTTTTAATTAGTAGGCCTATTTATTTTCTGAATCCTGCAAAACACTATAAAACTTCTGTGAGATTGATGAACGCAGCAGAGGTTTGCATCTCCTCAAACCCATTTTTAATGAATGAGGTATGAGCAAGAACTTGATTTATGGTAGTTGTGTCCTGGTCTGAAACTGAAACCAGCTTCTTCTAGAAGTAGGCTATCCTATTTGACAAGTTAACATTGTAAAAATAGGAATGGTCAAGAGTTAGATATTCTTAAGTGATTTAACAAACGAAAAAACTAAGTAAATTTTTATGAACAGTATTTTTTTTTAACAGGTGATGTTCAAATTCAGCTTTTAAAGTTATGACTATTTTCTATTTCTAATAAAAACTTTCTCATTTTACCTGTTTTCAGTTTAAGATGTAAAAAACACAAGACGTTTATTTTTCATTTTTGGACTAAATTCATTCCGGATAAATATCACAGTATCCCAGTTGGTAAAACAGTGACTACCACTTCTAGCTAAATATGTGCAAAAGACCTGAAGATCTATATTGTTGCCTTACTGACCCCTCTTCATTTTTTTAACTTTTAGTTTATTTCCCATTCAGATGAGATTTGTTTGGGTTTGCATACGGACGCTAGTCATTTTGCTATCACCTTAGGGCCAGGCTGTGAAACTATGTGTTGATCAACTTACTTGTTGAAAGATTCCATAAAGGGCCTCCGAGTTTTACTACTGCTTTGAGTGAAGTTGATGTTTACCCATCTCTTTCCTAACTTTGTGGAGTTGAGCTAGTGATCAGCTTTGCCCTGTGTCTATGTAGGTAGGTTTATTTGCACTCTTGACACTATGTGTGTGAAGTTCTACTATTTCTTTTACCTCTCGACATGCAAATTTTGGCAGTAAACTGAATCAAACTTGTAAAATCATTGCTGAAATTATTCTACTGTCTGATTAATGAAGCTTCCTAGTTGACTTTGTTAGAGGTAAAGTTATCTGGGTCAGGGAGAGGATCCTACAAATGGAACTTCTTTCTTTGCGAATATCGAAGCAGTCCTTGGTTAAGTGTGAGGTATTAATAATGAGCCACCCCTAGAATTGGGATGGTTTTATCTGATAAATCACAAATGACTAAACACAAGTTTGGCAAGGATCAACAATGCCAACAATTACAACTTTTCCGTTGACAAACCTTATTGATATCCAGTTTAATGTTGATATAAATTCTGTGATCAGTGCCAATGCCTCTTAAAAACACGTTTTCTATTTATTACCATTACATTATTTAGGCCTACCAATAAGGATTTGGACGATACAGCTAGAGGTATTTTAATAAAACATGTGCATCAATGTGCATAATAGAGTGAGATAGATTGTGTAGGTAGCTTTGTTAGGAACCGTCTAGGTACCGTTTAGGTACCGTCTAAGAATACAACATAGATAATAACCGGTAATTTCATCCATTGCCCTACACTTAAAGTTCTTTTATGTGAATTTTTAAATTGTAAGACATTAATCTTATTTAGTAACATATTTTCTCAAGCTCTGATGCTATCATGGTACATAGTAGACTGAAATAGCCCTTTCAAGGGGTTTTTAAATTGGCTTAGAACTACAAAGAAATTGGTATTTTTGGAAGCTCTAAGATTTATTTTGAAATAAAGTGTTGACAGCTTGTCAATCCATTTGTCTAATGGTACAATTAAAATAACTGCCATAACTTTTGATAGGATCGACGTAGAGTTCCCTTTCTTTTTCTTTTTTCATGCCCTCAAAAGGGGTACCTTGCAATTTCAAGTTAAGGGTAGGGGGAGAAAGGGAGTGAATGGGAACTTCACAACAATTGTGGTCCCTACGTCAATACACGATTCCCGTAAACTGCTTATTTCTATCTATTGCAGTTTTTACAATATAAATAAAGAAGCAAGTTAAAAATAAAACACACTGTATGCTGATTACCAAGTAAATAAAAAATGTCTAGAGTATCAAGGCATGCTCATAGAAGTGTATGAAATGGCTCAATGTTTAATTTCTCTTTTCAGTCAAATAAAATCAAACAACTCATTATTAACTCGTTATTTTTTCAGTATGCCTATATTTTAATTTTATCTAGATACCGATTAATTTTAAGTCAGTTGTAACATTAAAATTAGACTTAATAATTTTTATTGGTTTTTTTGCTAGGCTGGAAAACAGCAGTTAATAAAGCTACATTGTAATAACTTTTTGGTCAACTTTTATTTCTTGACTAGGAATTCAAAATATTTGAAAAAAAAATACTATAAAAAATATGAATCTTATTTATAATCAGTGCTATTTTACGGTAGAGCTGTTTTTTGGTATGGATATATAAATTAAGATTCATAAATAGGTGGCAGTTAGAAAGAGGAGCCAGACTAATGTGGGAGGTTGATGAATTATTCATTAACGTAGACCTGTCGGTGGCTTATACAAATAAGCACTTAATCATTGATTGGTTCTAATTTAAATTGATAGTAATGTACTATTGCTGACAGGTCACTTAATTTTTGGACTACTGCCAATAGTGTGGAAGCCCATGCTATCACACCTTAAAAGCACCTACATATTAATATTCTTCAATAGATCCAAAACTACTAAATCTGATAACACTTAATCTAAAATGTATACAATAGATTAGAAAGAGTTGCCAAAAACACATTCACAAACACACATACATGAAAACATTAAACAAATTTGGTAAAATTATAATAGTGATAGTGGATGCGTGGTGTAGACTGCAGGTAGTAAGCCTTGACGAAGAGTTTTTTTGTACGTGTTCTTGTTTTTTTCAACCCCTGGCCATGAAGAAAGTTTTTTGAAACAGCTTGGTAATCCACTTGAAAATAAACTAATAGGTTAGAAACTGGATTACTTGAGGGTACAACCAAGGCCACACTAAAAAAAAACAGACTGTAATGCTCGTCAAGCATGACGTCACGATAGATAGATAGATAGATAGATAGATAGATAGATAGATTTATTCGATCATTAAACATTATACATAAAATGCAATAGATCATGTCAATATAGTAAACAAGGTAGTCAGAGAGATACATGCAATCAAGCTACATCAATTAAGGTTTACATGCACAAAAAATAGGTACTTATAAGATAAATTATGAATAATACAGACAGGCTTACTAAATAATATATGCTACCGGTATAGTAATTAAGTATAGAAGACGGCAATGACGTAATGTTTGCCGTTTGTGATCAGCTGCTTGTTTCAATCTTTCCTTGGAAAATAAATAAATAAATACCTACGTCATTGCCGTCTTCTATCGTGACGTCATGCTTGACGAGCATTACGGCCTGTTTTTTAGTGTAGCCTTGGTACAACAGGTACGTTTAACCTTTTTTCTATAAACAAGATCAAGAGGCTAAAATGACTAAACCTAACATTGTATGGTGTTGTGTTACAGGCCAGCCGATGCTCAGCCCCCAGTGTTTGAGCAGATATTCAAGAATGCCAGGTTCGCCCAGGGTGGAAACGCCCACTTCCAGGGCAAACTGCGCGGCAACCCCAAGCCTCAAGTATCCTGGACGCGCAAGGGTGCTCCTCTCTTTGGTAAATATACTAATGTACTACTACAAAATACCAGACTTAAGTTGATGCCATTCAAACTTGTGATATGATCGAGCCTAATAAACAATAATCTTTTCTTGTTAGGGTACTTTGATTATAATAATTCCTTGAAATGCTCAGGGTGCGCAATGAACATTGTTTCAGTGTAAATGATAATTCATTTGGGGTTTCTGGTAAGTTGCAGATTGTACACTACCTACCAAAACTGACTATCTTTCCACTAAAATAAATTGGGGTTGTAAACATCCACTGTTTGCCTTCATATGGTATTTGTTCACCTGGGAGTTTATGGGACAACCAAGTGGAATAATGTTTGCTTCTCTAAAAAATGTCTAGAGACTTCTTAAGAATTGTATTTTTATTTAAAAACTGATTTTCAAACAACACTACATATCCTTTTTCCTTGTAACGGATAATTTTCCTTAGTGCTAAGCAAAGTATTGTTTTTGGGGGGAAGATGGAAATTAGAGAAACAGCAGGTTATGTTAGAAAAGGGAGCTTCCAGGAGATCTCAGTTTTGGTTCATCATATTCTATGGATTAAGTTCTGCCAACACAGTGACCAACAACCATGCTCTTTAAGGGGGCTTTTACAACAAATTATTTCTTATCTTTGTCATAAATCCAGATATTTTAAGTTGGATATTAACTGTGTTGGTGGTGTAGAATCGGCCAAGTACAAGATGCAGTACGAGCAACAAACAGGGAATGTTTCTCTACTGATCATGAACATTGGCCCCGGAGACGAGGGAGAGTACACCTGCACGGCCAGGAACCAGTACGGAGAGGCTATCTGCTCAGTGTTCATCTCTCCTGAGGGTCAGTACTACACAGATTATCTTGTGATTCAATAAATAGTTTTTTTTAGAACAATAGCTCAATTAATGAGAACTTTGTGAAGAAATTTGTTGTAAGTTAAAAATGTTATCACTTTTTGCTTATACATAAAACTGATCAAGGTTCAAATCACGTAGCCGTCTTTCTAGCAGTCTAGAAATAAACATGGAATTACTAACTTAAGCGCTTATTAGAACAGAATTAAGTGGCAAGTTGGACGTTTGAACTACACAAAAAATTTAATTTGAGGTTTCTTTTGATTCAACTAAAAGTATTCCATCGTAGAGTTTTGTTAGTGTTTACCGTGAGCAATGTTAAGTGAGGTTTGAGATGGTCAAGGCACTATTCTGGCTTATTCATTTGTATATGTAAATACAGATTTTGTTGTCTTGCCTTTTGACTGATTTTTAAGTCGAGTTTGGTGAATATGTCTCTCTTCCAACACCATTGATATCCTAATAATAAGATTTTCGTGAAGTGAAGATTTTTTGTCCGAAGAAACCTACACACTAACCTGAATGAACAATTTTTTTTTCAGTTAATGTTACTAATTTGTTATTTGAAAATACATTTATTTTCAGGCATGGCTGTACCACAAAGCCAAATAGGCTTCCAACAACAGCAGCAAACAACGCAGCAACAGAGGACTACAAGAACAGAGAAATTCTCTTACACAAATGGCACAAACGGACACATGATTGTTGAAGAAGTGAGTAAAAACACTGAAGTATTCTGAGGAGTGAGTTTTACTCGTTAACTTAAAGATAGCAGTGTTGGAAACTAACGTATACACGGTTCACACTAAGTAGTAGACTTAGGTAAGTAAATAAATTGTTAACTATACTGTCCATGCTGAGATTCAATTCAATTCAATTCAATTATTTAAGATGGGGACGCCACTATGTGCGTATTTTAACCCAAATATGAGTGAAGGATGAGTGTAGGATGAGTGGCGCGATCTTGTAGTCTTGTTAGTGACTAAGGCCGACATGTTCCTTAGACACAGCTGTTAATTATAACGCTCAAGCTTCTACAGAGGACCAAGTAGAAAATGTTTCGATAGAAATTAAATAGCTAATAGCAACGCAGCTATTGATGAATTTAGGCTGATATAATTTTGCTAACATTGTATCAGTTTTTATTTAACCAGATTTGACAGTCTTCTCTTCTGAAAGCTCAACAAATGTTAAAGTAAATTTCACTAAATTTTGCAATATCTTAAATATATCTATATTCAAACTGTGATTTCTTTTTTAGGATTTTAAAGTAGACACATTTGAGTACCGATTGCTCCGCGAGGTGTCTTTCCGAGAGACGGTGACTCGCAGGTACGCCAATGAAGTGGACGCCCAGATGTCGACCACCATTGACCGCAGTCTCGGTCCTCCGTCCGCTCCTCAGCTGGCACAGAAACCTCGCAACTCCAAGCTACAGGAGGGCTCCGAGGCAGTGTTCACTGTCAAGCTTGCAGCCAATCCGAGGCCTAGGGTGAGTGCAACGCTAAATGTTCATTATTAACACATATTGAATTTTTATTTACTCAGTGAAAAAATACTTTTTTTTAGGGTGACTACTGAAGCTATGGAAGTCATCAAAATATCACTGATTCATGGAGAAGTTACTTTTTAATTTAAAGGCTAACACAGATTTTTCATCAGGGTTTCATAAATGAAATAGAAACAAAGTTTAGTTGATCTTTTTCCTCACAAAATTAAAATCAACAATGGAAAAGCAAAGAAGGGTTTTCAAATCAATTGTCTTCTCAAAACAAAAAGTTGCACCAAAGCATTCATATTATTGTCACCTTGCGATGAACTCATGGTTTCTGAAATACAAGGAATTTTCCAATACAATTATTGTATAAACCAGATCATTCTTAAAGGTCACTGAATAGTCGTAGATTTTTATTTAAATGCCGTAGTAGAAACACTGGGTCAAGATATAAAGTTAAAAAAATAATAATTACTATGTAGGCTACCCTAAAAATAGTGAAGATTTTTTTCTAGTATCGTCAATTCAGTTACAATGATTTTCAAGTTGACATTATCTCCTTCTGGTTAATTGAATACTCACCAAACCCACTACCGTTTTGTGAATAGGAAGTTGGTTGACTTCATATTTGTTTTGTCATAGATAACAGGGAACACCAATGTTATATCTAATTTTGGCACGACAGATTATAATATTGGAAGGGAAAATATACCAGCCTCTGAATTTTACACAAGTTTTACTGTGTATAGATTACTCATGCTAAGGTGAAGTGTTGACAACAGGTACCTATACTAATCATTATTGTGCTGTTATACAGCTGACATGGTTCAAGAACGGTCAGCGACTGGTGAACTCCAGCAAGCACCAGTCATCATACAGCAACCAGCAAGCTACTCTTAAGATCTCACACACAGAGTCGACCGACACAGGACACTACACACTGTTAGCGGAGAATCCACAAGGTACCGTTATAAAATACTGTTCTGCTATTTTCTGTCAAAAAATTGTAATCAATTTTCTATTCTACGCTGTTTAAAAGTACATTGATTGGGTAAAAACTGTAAAAATTGATGCAGAAATCTAATGGTTGACTTTTGATAGTCTATCCCTACTGGACCAAGAGGATGATAGATTACCTAAAACAAAAACAGTAAATCATAAACAAATATATCAAGCTAAGAAAAATCACCTTATTACACCTACTATATTCATAAAAAATCATTATTGGTTTGAAATTAGTCACGGTTCACTGTGAAAATTTGAACGGGAATTGGGACCAACAACCAAATATATGGGAAACTCTTGTTACAGAGAACTGAAATAGAATGAATTTTGGCTGTTGTTGGTTTTGTATTACCGATTGTGTCTAACTATCTTGTGTAAGATTATTGAGTGTAAACTGTTTTGTACATTGTATTAACAAACCAAACTGTCCAGGCGTGGTGGTGTCCTCAGCTTACCTTGCAGTGGAGCCGACCTCTGGACAAGACTTCACTGAGCAAAGGTAAAAATCTCAATTCATCGTTCAATAAAAAAAGGTTACTGTACATTTACTTTCCTATTTTTCAGTCGTAATACAGAGATTAAATTTACTTTGTTACTGTTAGGAAAAATACAACTTTTAGTGACAGAAAATAATATTTAGTATGAAAACTATATTTTGTATAATAAAGCATTTTTGTATATGTTATTTCCACAAGTAAAATGCAACCCCTCACTTAATTATTAGTGTCGTGACCATTGTATACTTCATTACCACATAAATTTTATCTAGCTATACAAACTCTACGAATCAAAATAAAACAATTTGAAATTTGTATGAATAAAAATTAAAAATTACATTTAAGATATAGTATTTTAATTTGTCAAAGCAATATTTATAATTATGCCACATTCCCATAATTTGAATAATAAACTAACTAATGTGTACATAATTTTGTGTTACAGAGAAACCACACAAAAAATGTCACAGTATGAGAGCACAGAAGCGGTGGACAGTTCGAAGATGCTGGCCCCGAACTTTGTGCGCGTGTGCAACGATCGAGACGTAACTGAAGGGAAGATGACACGATTCGACTGCCGAGTGACCGGCCGACCATACCCCGAGGTGATTTTACTATTCAGTACAAGATCTATAGGGAGTTAGCTAAATTATATGTGGTCTTAACATTAAGCTATCCATTCTGAGTGCAATCTAGTTAACCAATATGAATCTTGAAATTAATCCATTTTGGAATGTTTCAACAACAAGTCTGAGAAAATGGCTGCTGTAATGTATAAAAGTCCTATGTTTTGATAACAGCCAAACACATATTTTTTATGACGTAAACTCATAAGCCTTAAAGGAAATATTTCTAAGATTAATTACATTTAGTCTTCTCAAACCAATTAATAACTAGTGTTTGACACCAAGCATTTGTTTTGAAGCATTTGTGATAGCATGAGCGATAAAAAATAAAACTTTTTTGAGAGGGTGTTAAACTAAAGCCGGGTTTTCCCAGACGCGGAGGGCAGAAAAGCCACTAACATGGCGTTCCTCTCCGCTTATAGGAAAACAGTAACATTAAATTACCTAAGATAAGAGGAGTCCACTCTCCGCGTTCCTCTCTCTGCGCTCCGGTTCCACGTCTAGGAAAACCCGGCTTTATAGAACTCAAAGGAAAAGTTTCCTAGTATCTATTGTAGTTATTTTACTGCTGCATGTTTGTAGATAAAACAAATTTCCATGGTGCATTAATACCGTTATTTGTTTTGACAGGTGGCCTGGTTTATCAATGGCAGACAGGTTGCTGACGACGCCACACACAAGATATTGGTGAACGAGTCAGGCAACCACGCACTCATGATCACCAACGTCAGCCGATTTGACCACGGGGTCGTACAGTGTGTGGCACGAAACAAGGCTGGAGAAACTTCATTCCAGGTAAAGCATTAACTATCTAAATAAATTTTGTTTTTATAATATATTAGAGTTTAGAGTAAAAAGAATAACCATTTTACTTCAAGGACTTCTCAGAGGATCTTACTACCTCTGATAATCTGTTGCACTTCCGCTCCTTAAGGATTCACTTTCCGTGCTTTCTTTTAAATAATGTTCATTCAATGAGTCTTGACTATAAGTTTATTATTTTCCTCTTTTTCCCTGAGATTATTGCTTGTCTGACCTTGGTCCTTCCTCTATTACCCCATTGTGAGTTGACATCCATTTTTAGCCTTTCAGTGGATATGAAAAGTTCTGTTATACTAAGTGACAAAACTTGGTAATAATTTGTTTTTTCTTCTGTTTTGATTCACAGTAATTTTTTAAGAGAAGATGATGTTTGATCTATTTTCAACATGTGAACTCAGTTTGAATATGAATATCATGAAGTTTATGTTGCTAACTTAGATATTGTAGAACTGAAATAATAAAAAGATGGCCACCAGTTTGTTTCTGAGTAAAGGCGTATCTTAAAGATGGTCCAAAATATGATCTAGCTGCCCTCCATCATTCGGCATTAAAGGGTCCTGGCTAAAGGAGATGGTCTAAGCTAGGAGGGAGGCTAAAATTCATTCAATCCTAAGTTAACGTCTTAACATGTGTGTTGCAGTGCAATCTAAATGTGATAGAGAAGGAGCAGGTGGTGGCCCCTAAGTTTGTGGAGAGGTTCTCTACGGTGACTGTGAAGGAGGGTGAGCCTGTAAGCCTCAGTGTACGAGCTGTAGGCACTCCCATACCTAGGATCTCATGGCAGAAGGTAAGCTTGATGCCTCACCACTATTGAAATCAGTCAGTAAACGTGTTAAATATTTTAAAAACTTAAACAGAGTTTTGCTCTTATCAGAAGTCTGTTTAGCTTCAAGGTGCAGACAATAAAATATGTTTTTAATTAATTCTAAGAAACAAAGAAAAACTATTCAAACATTATAAAGTTTTGGTCAGGAAGACGCCAAATGTTAGTGGTGTCACAAAGTATCATAATATGTCAACTTTTGTTTAAATATAATCTACTGATGATTCTCAGAAATCCAATCACTTATGGGTTGTGTTGGATTGTAGAAGAATCTCCAGTCGAGTATATTTGAATAAAAGTTGACATATTATGATACCGTGTGACACCACCAACATTGGAGTCATCCAAAAATTTATGGAGGGAATCACCATAGTAAAAAAAGCCAAATATAAGCCAATTGTGCAATTCTGGTTAGGCTACATAACACACAACTGACACTTCTATAGAAAGAGTTGTTCCTAATTGAAGAAAAAGTCCACAACACAAAAACCTGATCATGTGTATCAGAAGAAGTAAGTAGATTTACTGGGTTTGCTATCAACTGCTAGGAACTATTACTATATGAGTTTGTTGTGTATTAATTTACTTTTCCTTAATTTACAAAATTCTTTTTCCACCAAAAATGTTTAAACAATTAATTGTGTGTTGCAGGATGGTATTGCCATCATGCCCAGTGGTGATGTCAACATTGTGGTGGACGGAGGTGCGTCAGTGCTGGACCTGGCGGCGGCCCGTAGCTCTGACTCGGGCTGGTACCAGTGTACGGCACAGAACGTGGCCGGCTCTACTGCCACCAGAGCTAGGTTGCATGTACAGACACCCCAGCAACCAGAGTACCAGGGCGACAGACGACTGCACCTGCCACGACCCACCAAGGTCATCGAACCAGAGTAAGTGTGCAGACAAAAGTAGTAAGTTTGTTAACATTTTTCTTTTTCAGTTTGTCAACTTTTCCAGTTACAATGTAAACATGTTAGCTTAAAGTGTTTATAAATTTACATTGTGGTACCTATTATTAATTACTGCAACAAAATTGTCTATTGAATGGGGAAGGGTGGAGTTAAAGGAGAAATGAACCACTGACTAATTACTTGTTCACAGACCACAGCCTGGACCTGAGATTATCTACCTGCGCCACGTAGAGAGAGCCAAGCCCCGCCAGCCAGCCCAGGAGCAAGACAGACAGTACCCTCCGCCACAGTTCATCATCCCCCTGTCCCCCGCCAGCGCCACGGAGGGAGGCAGGGTCCACCTGGAGGCTAGGATAGAGCCTGTCGGGGACCCCACCATGAGAGTAGAGTGGTTCCACAACGGACGCCCTCTCGCAGCTAGTATGTTTATATCTCATGTCATTTGTTTCGTTAAATTGTTTCTTACATAGTCTTATCATAAAATAGAATATTTTGAAGGTAAGCCAAGTAGAGGATGACAATTTTTCGGAAGAGATAGTTCAGCTATCTTACTTGAAAAAGGATCTAAAATTGTGAACTTTAAGTTACATATCTCTTCAATCTACTCTCTGAAAAAGTACTGAATTAAGACAAAATATCAGTGTTATTTTTCGTGATCCTACTTTGTTTACATATCAGCCCTTAAAAATGATTTTAAATTGATTGTATATTTTTCAATTACTAATAGAAAGTAGTTACATTCTGATGTTATGGTCTTATAAATGAGTTGAAGCTCATGCTTTCCTGTACAAAGGTAAATCTACTCCACTTAAAAACTGTACAGTGTACAAATCTCTTTAATGAAGCGTTTTTATCAGCATTCTCTATTGACTGAAGCTGATTTGGATTCACCCAGTTACTTAGCATCATCCTAGTTGTATTATTTTTTATGTTTTTTGAAGCCTAATTCATTAAATAATTATGAACATTTTGGTATTCATGGCTCCTCAACCACTTAGCTAATCTAATATTGGGTGTTGTGTTACTCACTTCTAAATGTTTAATGACCTACATAAGTAAACTAAAAGAGTTTCAATTGCTATGTGCAGGTTCGAGGGTCACAACTACATTCAAGTTTGGTTTCATTGCTCTGGACTTGCTCAGCATTGTACAGGCAGATGCAGGAGAGTATATCTGCCGTGTGACCAGCAGCTCTGGCAGTACTGAGTCAAGGGCTATCCTGAGTGTCACAGGTGAGAATACATTGTTGTTACAATGAAACAGCATACTTTTCAAGTTCTTTGGAAGATTCAAGGCTAATATTCAATTTGACGTCTAGTAGCACAGGCTGGGATGGATTTTTCAATATTTAACTGGACAAAAAATTCATAATTATTAAGTTTGATTAGTAAGACAGATGTTCAGGCCCCTTGGTGTTTGGACCAAGTGAGATTTGCAATTTTCACGTAATTTTAGTATTGTTAAAACATATTAGTGATCATTAGAATTTTTATGGATTTTTAAGAACTAAAATTTGCGTAGCTGATTTAGGTATTTTGAGTTCATTGTCAAAAGGCAAAATATTTATCTAATATTGGTGTTTTGAGTAGCTTAAAACAATTTAGAACAATCACTGTTTATTATAGCTTATAGTTTATTTTATTTACTTGTTTTCAACCACGTCTGATTCCTTAGGTTTAACCTGATTAATGGAGAATAATGAGAAATTTTTACACGGTTTTCTGATTGTGACAGTTGTCTGCATCAGTATAGAGGCAATATTTGTTCACTTATTGTTTCCCTTTGACTTTTAACCCTATTTGACTTTTCTGAGCATATAAACGATGAAAAAAAATAAATTATGATGTATGATGTATTGTATTTTTCACAGTCCGAGCCAGTATCGAGCAGACCAGCCAACATCCTGAGAGTCTGCAGTACATCTCCAACCTGGAGGACTACAGTCGCTACCAGCGGACGGAAAGTGTGGAAGAGTTCCAGGCGCAGAAGCCTGCGTTCATCCGCCCACTCCATGACTTGGGCCAGCTGAACGAGGGCCGCAACGCCCACTTTGAGGCGCAACTGACGCCTGTCAGCGACCCCACCATGAAACTGGAGTGGTACAAGGATGGCAAACCGATCACAGCGAGTGAGTATCACCTTTCAATATGGATTCCAGACATTTCATTCTGATAAAATTGTTATCAGTGATAGAATTGAGCCTCTGATGGAGTTCACAAAGCTAATGTTAATCACTGATTTAAGTCAATACGCCAATGTTTTAACCAAGCCAAACTGAGTAATCATCTCATTGTGAAATATTGCACATTTTATATAATTTAAACTATCATTCTGTACTATCAAAAACTAAGAGGGAAATTACAATTTTTACAGTAGCACACTCTGAGTACATCCTTTTTTACAAAATAAAAATGGCTACCTACAGCTGGGTAATGTAGATGGGATGTCTGCTCTAGTATCTTAAAAAAATGGTTTGGTGATGCACAATTAACATATAGATGCTTATTGCTTTTACACGGTCTCTTTTAGTATTAACCTTAACAATAAATTAGCCTACACTATCTATCCATATATATCATGTTTAGCAGAAGGGTGCATCAATGAATGATTTTCATTATCTGGAAATTGCTAATTAATTGCACAAAAATCCAAAAGTATCAAGTAACTTAGTTTGTATTTTACTGACAAACTTACCGTCACTATTTTTTTCACATATTAACATGAACTGAAAATTCACAGTTTTAATTAAGTTGTTGCTAAAATATGTTTAAATTTAACGATGAACATTAAAACTTTTAGTTTTAGAGCTTTTACATCCTTGTTTTGGCGTGTCATTGTTTTTGTGCAAGGACCAATAGATTTTAAAGGCAACAACAAAATATAGCATTTAGTACCCACAGCAAAGTGAAATAAAATTACTTGCAAAAATATCACCGTCAACCGCAAATGATTTGATCTGTAGATAGCCATAACCTGACCTAAATTTATTTGACAAAACTATTAATAGTACCTTTGACTATAGAACCATAGCATACACTATACTCACTTGCATTGATTGATAACTTATCAACTTATAAATAGCTCTTGATTTATTTGGTGATGTAATGTAGCTATAGAAGATAATATACACCATCAAAGTGTTATGTCACTATTACATTTGAAAACATTGTACGTTTTATGCGGTTAGTTCAAATAAATACATTTACCGATTTGCATAAACAAAGTATATAACAACTGATTTGTAAATATGAACAAAATTGTAAATTACGGTCATGTTATCTAAAGTTAAAAGATGTGAGAGATGGTTGATTGACCGTTTATTGCTAGGTTCAAGGATCACTTCCATCTTCAACTTCGGCTACGTCTCCCTCAACATCATGCACCTACGGGCCGAAGACTCTGGATCCTACGCTGTGAGAGCCGTCAACAGATGGGGCGAAGCTGTCAGCACCTCCACTCTCACTGTTATTGGTAGGTTTTCTTTTTCGGCATTGGCTTTTTTTACTGTTTGTTAAAAAAACTGTCCAAATCCAGATTTTGTTACTAAGGGAGATCTTTTGTTAGATAGCATCAGTAATTTGTAACTCAACAACAAATGGCATCTGGGAACCATTCAATCTTTTTAGATGTATTATAGTAGGAATCAATCTTGGTGGTTTAATTTTTTTAATCCTTATTTTATTTTTTTATAAGTACCGTATTTTAAGATTACATTCAGGATAGCTATCGTTCTCATAATATTAAAACTCGGAAACGTTCTCTGCATCCCTGTTCTTTGAAGTGATTATGTAATAACCCCAGCATGTTGTGACGTGTTGTAGCTCGCAGCAGCGTGACCGGAGACCTGGGTATTCCGGAGCAGCAGCGCTACATAGAGCAAGTAGAACAGTTGGAGGCGTACCACACTGCACAGCAGTATCGCCAGGTAATGCCACGGAGTAAGCCTCTTAATATTGGCAGGCGTATTAATTCCATCTGCATCTTAAAGCTAAAGCACGTTAAAGTTTGTCAGTTACTGATTTTTGCTGATTGCACAAACTTTTTAACTAAGCTAAATTGAAAGGACAACTTATTGTTAACTACAGCATGAAATTTCACATAAAAGTCAAATGATCATAGTACTTCAAAAAACAAAAGGGTGAAATCAAATTTTGACTGCAGCAACTGTGAGTGGCTTATTGACCTTGTTTATTTAAATACAAAATTGGATGGATATGCTGTGACTATAATCAAATAATATTTAGAATAGGCCTTACCCATTGACCTACACATTTTTTATGGTTGTTAAAGGTATGTTTTTATAATTCTTCTTATGTTCTAAAACAACTCATTTCTCTAATACTATATGAATATGAATAGTGACACTTGATTTTATTCTTCTTTAAACTGGAATAGTAACCAAAATACTTTTTGTCTTATTTAATCTTATATTTAAAAGTAGTATTCGCCCCTTACAAGGAATAAAGTTAAAGTATTGTCTCTTAAGGTTTAAGCTATGTTAAGGTAAACAAATTTGTAACTATAGTTTTTCTATAATAATTATTAACTCTAAATGTTTCGCTGTCATGTTTCTAGGTGGCAGAGCCCCCAGAAAGCACTGTTCCTCCAGTATTTAAATCTCCTATCAAGGATCAACTCAACATTCGCGAGGGTGGTTTTGCCCACTTTGAAGCCAGACTTGAACCAGTCGGAGATTCCACTCTACGAGTAGAATGGCTTAAGGACGGAAGACCCGTGGAAGCCAGTAAGTACAACAACAAATCAACATAATAGCATACGTTATGTAATTACATAAATAAATCTTAATTTTGCTAGGTTAAACGTTTTAGTGTCCGTGAATTGAGTGTAATTTAAAGCTTATTTGATGTATTTCCCAGTGACAAGAACTAGAATATTTGATTATTGAACGTTTGTTACCTTATAGCCTTTGTTAACATCTTTCTACAAGAACAAAGGCTATAAGGTAACAAACGTTCAATAATGTAATTTAAAGTTTTTTAATTAACAGACAGTTATGGTTTTGTTTGATAGATCATATTGCAGCCCATAAGATTTGTAAATATTATCCAAGATAGTGCAAAAGATATTTCTAACATTTCTATGAAAATAGGGGTTTCCTTAGTCTTGATCATTAGAAAAATTAGTTTTTAATAAATCTAATGAAATAGAATTTTTCTAAGCACCATGGAATAAAATATCATTTTTTTCTTATTAGTCTATATTTCACTGTCACAATCACAGTTATAATCATTGAATCGACTGTTCATGATTTCAGTATGATAAATTAATTAGCCTATTACATTTCACGAACAGGATTTTTTTCATTTAGGTTCCCCATTTGAAATATCATCAGAATAAAAGTGAGTTAAGATTTAAATTGAATATATTTTATTAAACTATTAGAACCTAAAAAAAAACTAGGCTATTAATTTGTATGTTTAAATGTTTAAAAATTATAATCATACTATAACCACAAGTTTAAAAAATCAATATTTGTTATAGGTTCTCGAATTACGACATTCTTCAACTTTGGTTATGTGGCTTTGACCATCAAGTACGTAACAATCCATGATGTCGGCATTTACACATGTCGCGCCTACAATACACTCGGACAGGCTGAGACTACAGCTCAAATGTCCGTCATTACCAAACAAGACATCATCTTTGACAGCCAGCACCCTAGTGGTCTGCAGAAGATACAGACCCTGGAGGACAGCAGGTCAGTAGAAATGCTAACTTTTATTGTTTTAAGTTAATTTTTGATATTGGTAAAATCCATGTTAGTTGAGAGATTTTTGTGGTAATTTTATAGGATTTGTATAAAAGAAGTTTTCAGGATGTTTCGGAATCTGAAATCCTGACCTCGGTTGAGTAAGAACCTAAATAATAACAAAATCAGTATACAAACCAACCAAAGGTGGAGGAGCATAAAAGAAAACCCCCACAGAGAACTGTATTGTAGCTGTTTTTATTGCAGAAAAGAAATCGCTGATTTGGGGAACCCAAAGGAAATGTTTGCACAAGATTGTGTCCTGAATGAGATGTGATGTGAACCTAGAATGTTGTTTATAATGTCGTTTTTTAATTTTTACTAATTGAGATGGAAACTGTTCACAAAAATCCCTCAAATGACATGCTAGCTTTTCCAATTAAGAGACCACTTTTAGCTTTAGCCTTGGAAAAAAAATTAATGTACCGTATGACAGCTTGGCAATTTATGAATTAGATTTGTTTTATTTTTTTAAATATCACACAACATAAAATTTATATTTGGTCATTTTAGAATACAATGTCAATGATCAGAAATTTTAATCTGCAAAAATTTTTAAGTTACACACCTCGATCGACTATTATAGCTGCCAACTTGAGTATGATGTAGCAATATGAGTATTTCACCACTGAGGCTAGGCAACTGCCAAAAACATTGTAGTCACATTTGTTCTTGCTGTCTAATATAGGTAATGTCTTTTATAACTTATGTTGTGTCTCCAGCCGCTACTCCAGGACGACCCAAGAAGAGGTGCAAGTCACTCAGAAACCACGATTCCTCGGTCCGCTCAAAGGCACAAACAAGATTGTCGAAGGTCAAAGAGCCCACTTTGAGGCCAGAGTCGAGCCCCAGAGCGACATTACGATGCAGGTAATTAACAATTCCTTAGCTTGGATCATTTTGAGTATAAGCCCTATGTGGAATTTCCGGCGTTTTTATAGGTAATTTATTTGATTTTGACCACTCCCCAAACCCTAATTTTGGTGAAAACTCTGTATGAGCAATATTTTCTCTAATTCTGATAAGTGATCATTCTATTATGTAATGTCAACTTGTAAGTTAGTTACCACCGTTGATCAATTGAAAATTACAAAGTATTTTTTGACATTAGAGCTAAATCGCAAATTTTATTATAACACTAAGCAATCACTATACCAACACAGTTTGCGATTCTAAAGCTTGGTTTGATAAAGTAGGTTTCCATTGCAGTTCATTAATTGTATTGCGTTAATTAATTGCAACGTCATTGCAGGATAAATGTAAGAAAGGGCCATGTGGCCCTAACTTTACCTGTTGAAGTAAAGGATTTTGATTTAATTTTTATTTTTATTTTAAATCTTAAAATTTAATTTTATTCATTTTATATGTGTACAAATGTTTGACTTGATCTCGGCTTAGTACAAAATTCAAGGCACACGTCTGCCATATCATAATCTTTTTAAGTTTCTTGTTCAAAACAGGTTAGTTCTACAACAAACACCTGTGTTTCGTTTCAGATCGAATGGTATTTCAACGGTAAGGTGATCATGACAGCCAACCGTATCCAGACATACCATGACTTTGGCTACGTAGCCCTGGACATCCTTGGCGTGAGAGCGGAGGACGCAGGAACTTACACTGTCGTGGCACGTAACGCTCTGGGAGAGGCGCAACTGTCTGCCTCCATGGTGGTCGAGAGTAAGTGTGGAAGATTTAGTTAGTGTGTTTAGTGTCATTGACTATGGATAGGACTAGTCATTCCATTTCTATGTTTAAGTTGTTGGCAGTTTTAGAAAAAACAATCAAGACCCACAGAGTTCATTGGTTTAACTATGATAAATTACCCATTTCTATTGAGTACGCAAATTTTTTAATCATATCAAACTGATAAAAGAAATGTAAACTATAGCACCTATTATAAAATAAAATAGTAAACACGACGAGCGGACGTGTGTCGGTGATACAAAAGTTGAGCCTAGATCTAGAGATATCTAGACTTACCAACACCGGTCTGCTCGAAGTGTTTACGATCTTATTTTATCGGCTGTATATGTGTGCGCTCTATGTGTTTGTGTACGTATATACGTTATGTGTCAAAAACTTTTGACCCTAACAACCTTTATGTTAAGTAATTATATTATCCTTGTACACACCTGATGAAGACCTGAGCAGGTCTAAACTAGTTGTGGAATACAATGATTGGATTGCTAGAATCAGGCATTTAAACCATATTAGTAAACATTAAAGGTGATATAATTGCAATATTTGATTGCAAAAAAATGCTTAAAGACTCATCGTATTGTTCATCAACATTTTTAAATTTTGAATGAAATGTCAACAGCACGAGCCAGTATCGACACTAGTTCAATGCACCGAGGAACATACGAGAAGACACAACGCCTGGAGACAGGCAAGTTTGTGGAGCCTCACTATGAGATTGAGGAGATCTCCAAGTCCAAGCCCATCTTTGTGACGCCTCTGAGTGACCCCAAGCCTCTCGGTGAAGGCAAGAACATTCACCTGGAGTGTAGACTGGAGCCGATGGGAGACCCGACCATGCGGGTCGAGTGGTTCCAGAACGGACGATCCATCACGGTCGGTGAGTACTTCAGCCAGCCGCCAGAGATAGTTTGAGTTCTAAGAATAAACCTTCAGTACTGTGCATTGCAGCAATATAATTTCAAATCAAATTTCATCAAATTTCCGTTTTGCAAAGCTTATCCAAGAGGTGCCAAGTCATTGATGTACACTATCCAGCTTGGCTCATCCTATAGAGACAGAACAGATAAACAGGAAGAGCCCTCAAAGGGCGATTATTGCCTGTATGATTCTTGTATAGCTCTCTGTATCAGACCAAGATGACTTCTAGGTCTGGAAATTTAATTTAATTTTCAGCTTAGTGTATATTTGTATTTCTTCAACAATAGAGACTGATTTCCTATTTCTTATAGTATAAATTAATTTAGTATTTCAATTATTAAAATTGGAAAAAGTACCTTAAGCTAGTCGATCATAACATAATGAAACTTCTTTCTAGGTTCACGTTTCCGTACTTACTACGATTTTGGCTTTGTCGCTCTGGACATCATCCATGCCACTTCCATGGACACTGGAGAGTACACTGTGAGAGCCACCAACCACCTAGGCTCTGCACACACCTCAGCGCAAGTCAGAGTAAGTCTAGGTTTTAAATTGATTAAAGTGTAGTTTATTCATTTATTGTTAGAACCGCTTTTATCATTCATAACACCAATAAAATATGGAAAAGAGGTTAAAGTTTGCTAGTTAAATCCATTATAAAACTCTTATTTCAATAAATAAACAAAAATAATTTTCCTTGGAATGATGTAGAATCCAACTGTTAGGTCATTACCGGTAGCTAAATGATAATATCATCAGATGATCCTAGCTACTGAGAATGCCACATGACGTCTGGCAGTGAACTCGTGTGGTTAGTGCAGAAAAATAGTTGCCTTCTGAACTGACTGAAATGGTAGTTTTTTTATTCACTTGGTTAAGGTTGAAAATATTCTGAGTTTTCACCAAATCACCTGCTTTATGTTTTACGTTTTTATATAACATAGTTTAAAAATTTATTGACTTCAAAATAATATAAATCTCTCTTTTTGAGAATATGATAAAAAAAACCAAACCAGGCACTAAGAAATTCACTTTGAATGCTGGTTTGGTTCACAAGAGAATCAAAACTTTTCCCCTTTCAATTCTGTTGCTTTAGATGATCCCTAAATCTTTTCCAGGTAATCAGCCGCTCAGACATCTTGACAGATACGCAGAATGAAGCAGCGCTAGAGCAGATCCAGATGTTGGAGGATATGTCACGCAACCGTCGTACAGTGGGCGAGGAGGAGGTTATCATGACACCCCCATCCTTCACACGACCTCTGCACAACATTGAGACCATCGAGGGCACTAATATACATCTGGAGTGTCGTCTGCAGCCAGTTGGAGACTCTACAATGAGAGTCGACTGGTTTGTCAATGGACGCCCTGTCAAAACTGGTGAGTCACATGTGGAAAATTAGAATGGTTTAAGGATAGAGTGTTTTGTAAATTTTTGTTTGTAGGGGAATTAATTTGTGGTATTTTCACAATATTAAGAATGTGCAGACAAAACTTTTATTACATTTTCATAGGTTTGGTTGTTTATTTAAATTAGTAATCAAAATACTTACCTACTGGCAACTATTATTTTTATAAAAAAGTAAAATATTTTATCGATTTTCTTATGAAAAATTAGTAGCTGTTTGATGATTCTAAATTGGACCCAGCTGTACTTGATCATTGGGATTTTAATAGGTCCTGGCTAATGAAACGGCTGTTCTTAGTTAGTAACAAACCTACACAAATCATACCACTTCATTCTACAATCATCTTTAACCTTTATTGAAATATGCATGTAGGTGTGGTCAGGTCATCCCCATCTCAATTGAAGGTGTAATAATATAATTTCCTTCAACTAAAGTAACAAATGTTTAGGGGGGGCTATGCCACTAGATGCAGACTATCTTATTTACAGCTGATCTTAAACAATTTACCAACTCATATTCAATGGTTAGATCAAATGGTCTCTTCATTTATTATATTTGAAATAGGTTTTATATTTAAATGTATCATAAGTGAAATAAACAACTGTCATATTTGTTAAACTGGTGGGGTTTGTTTGGCAGGTCATCGGTTCAGACCGGCTTATGACTTTGACTACGTTGCCCTGGATCTGCTCAGTGTCTACCCAGAAGACTCGGGAGTGTACACTTGTCAAGCTCGCAATGCTCTCGGTGAAGCCGTCACCTCCTGCTCTGTCAAGATACATGGTAGGTCTTCCACCTCTGTTGCTCTCCTACCTTATAATTAATGTGTTAGATGAGTTACATATCTCTATATCTAGAACTGCAGTAGCTGCTGGAGTGAATGGATCATACATTTGTGGTTACAAAAGAAATAACTAGTGCTATTTGTGATTTAAAAGAAATATACTTCTCTAAGAATTGGTACTCGGTATATTTTCATGGCAATGTCAAAACTTGTAACTATTCAATTAATATGGTTAGAAGTAAAAATTAACTACTACACTAAACTCCATACACTAGTAAAGTAATGTTTTCATTTTGAATGTTACAAGCTTTTCATGGAAAGCTGAAGTAAGTATTAGTAATATCAATATCATATTATGTACATTTTTTAATTTGCATCACATTATGGTTTCAGTTGATAGCATCGTTGTCATCATATCAAAAAAATTGAAAGTTTTGTTGAAATACTAATCAAAAAGGTAGTTCTTTCAAATATCTTTTAAATATATACTTATTTTGAAAATCGGCCAGGCTAGTTGGTAGTCGCACAATGCACCATTTCCTAGTTTAAATATACTTAACATACCTTAGTACGATGTTTGTAAATTAGTGTATATTGCCAAAACAGTAATTAAGCTTTGGATTTTCTTGGTTTAAAATTAATTTAAAAACCAATATGGTGTACACTATCATAATCATAATATTTGTAGTTACTGGCGTAAATAACACAATTATAAATAAATTCTCTACTTGGGATTGTACAAGATGATAATTCTAGTGATCGATATATTTACTATTTACTATTTAGTTTTAGTATAGTAACTCCTAATTCTATAAATGTGTTGTGTAAAGCTGTACTGTATAAAACAATTACAAAATAGTCATAATTATAATTGTTATGTTTAATCTCCTATGCCCACTATTTAAAACGTAGAAGCGGGTAGTTTGCTTCTTCATTTTCAAACACAATGTATCAAATAAAATATTGAGATTTTTCAAGACCTGAATAACTTTTTATGACCGTTAAACCCCAATAAAAAAGTGCAACCATCATAGAATATACAATTAAGTAAAAAATTAGGTCTCTCTCGCATTACACAACAATTTCAAGACGAAAAACTTAAAATGAAATAAAACAAATTATAGTCATCTTCAGTAAGATGGAAACAGTTCTAATGTAGGGTTAACTAAGGGGTGGATTTTATTTTCTGGAGGCAGTTTCTGGAGGAATCCCACCAATCATTTAGACAAACTGATTTGAGATACTGTAATGATGTCCATGCTCTAAGATTTGGAGACCACCTTGGGCTGTTAAGGTGAAAAAGAAATACTTCTTAGACTGAGATAACTGCCTCTATCAAGATCTCTCTCCACACATAGGATTGTGATGATTGGTCTTGTAGTTTAATGTGCACTAGCTTTTTAAAACAATGAGCAAATACATAATCACAGCATAGTAACTTCACTCATCAGACTGTAGAATGTTCTGGGTTGCCGGAATTCAACCCCAAAAATTTACCCCCATGAAAAAACGCCTTCGTAATTACGTCACAGGTCTGGGGGTAACCGCAAACTTTTAGGAAGGATAAATTATTATTTATTTCAATCAACTCACATTTCATGGTTTACTTAACAGTTGTAAATAATCAAAATCTCAATTCTATCCCCAGGGGGGTAAATTTCTGGGGGTAGAATTCCGGTGTCGGGAATTGTTTCATTTGTCCATGTGGGGTAGAATTCTGGGGTCGGGCATATCTGATTTGAACACTAAGGGTAGATTTCTGGGGTTAAAATTCCGTGGTTTGCCAAATCACTTTATATTATAATTAAACATTTACATGTTGATTATTTAATAATATATTGGGGGTAAATTTCCAGTCGCGGGCTTTTCTTGACCGTGTATAGGCTCCGCTCCTCTTGACTTCAAAATGACGGAGGGGTTTTTTTATGTGGGTAAATTTCCGGCGATAGAATTCCGCTACCCCAATGTTCTCGTCAACACCAGCAACATCGGATGATTCACCCTAAGAGCAATGTTGTTTATTTCTTTTCTTGATTTCATTTAACTGTCACTAGAAATTGTTGATCTAAATACAAGTCAGTGATTAAAAATTTTGTCTACTTTTCACAAGCAAAATCTTTTCTGAGACAAATCATTGTTACCAGTCAGTGAACTATCCTTGGAAGTTTTCATGATTGATTTAGTCAAATGTATTCTCATACCAAATGTTACATAGTTCTGCAAAACTTTGGTTTGAAAATGAACCATCTCAGGAAACCTTCTTTAGTTTCTTATTGTTCACAATGTGAATTCATTTCTTAATAAAGTTCTACGGTATTCATTTTGCAACCACACTGTATGTTATAACACAAACAGTACTTACAATTGAAACTAAAATACTAAAAAACTAGGGATGGTCAAGTCTCGAAATTTCGGGAAATTTTCGGGAAATTTTAAATCTCGTTACACGAGACGAGATTTCTTTTTGGCCGAGATTTTTATCGAGACGAGAATAAAAAAAAAAAAAAAAAAAAAAAAAATTAAAAACACCTGCAGAAAGTCAATGCAATACCCGCAATACAGGAGCGTGTTGTAGTTGCGTTTCCTTTGCGAAGGCGTTCTTATTTAATTAATTCTTTAAATGTAAATATTACTTTAATTATTTTAATAATATTACTTTAATAACATTTGAGAAGTTTTGTTAAGTGTAAGCAGTGTGAGGAATGTTTTATTACTATAAAAAGTCAAAACAAGTAACTATTTTATACAAATTAATATTGCTTTTATTTTATGATTTATTTTATTTTAGGATAAGTTGAACTCTATCCTAACTGATATCACTATGTTTCCTAATCGTAGGCATTTTTAATAAGTTAGGCGTGATTAATAAAAAATGTTATGCTGATGTTTTTTAATAAAAGATTGTAAATATTCTTGCCTATTATCATTATTTTTGTATTTAAACAGTCATCTAACAATGTTACAAAATCAGGTAATAATTTTGAACAGCATTTCCCGTTGTGTATGAGAAGGGAAATCCCGTCTCATTCTCGTCTCAAAATTTGATGAGAAATAAAAAATCTCGTCTCGTCTCGTCTCGAACTAAAAATCCAATCTCGTCCATCCCTATAAAAAACACTAAAATAAAATTATAAAGAGAAGAATAACTCATTCCTACTCTTGTGGCCACTTAAATTCAAGTTGGTATTTAGCCTCTTCAACAAATTGCATGTAGATTCTCTTGCCCTCCACCATGTCAATTTCTCCAACTAGTCCTCAACCACTTGCTCATTACATATTCATATTAATCTTTGCCTCGCCAGTATGCGCCATAATCTTGTTGACCTCTCTGTGCTCTTTTTATAATTGTATTTTCATTTTCTCCTTTCTTCTTACATGAAAAGTCACATAATTCTTCTACTCTTTATCACTGCCTAAGTATCTGATTTCTGTACAGTAGAGATGGAAATTTCGGGAAAAATTTTCCCGATTTTCGGGACGGGATTACATTTTACCGATTTTAATAAAAATCCCGCCCTGTCCCGTCCGGAACTATAAATTCAATCCCGTCCATCCCTACTGTATAGGTTCCTGAGATCTCATTTTTGGTATGCTTTACACTGCATCTCTTAATTTAGCCCATAATTCTTTCCCAAAATGTTTTTAATTTTTTCTATTGCTTAGATGTTATAAACTTCTACTAGTTGTGTTTTGTTGAATTTAAGGTATGAACCCATACAAAAACACTGCCGGTTTTATGATTGTGTATGATATTTCTATCAAGGAGAATAAAGTACTTATTAATTTCAAAATAAAAAATCAAACTAAGAAATCTTTTTCCACTATAATTTCAATCAATAATATAAAGAATTTGATCAATCTAGAACTAATTTAATGTACAAACTCACCATTTCTGTGCCGTATCTAACACCCCGCAATGCTCAAACACCACTAATTAGCCGTATCCCCACACAGGCAGATTTAGCATTTCTCCTAAACTGGCCAATTGTCAAAACTAACTCCGTCACCGTAACTATTTTTACCTCTATTGGCAATAAGTTTCTGTTTCAAATATATTTACACTTGCTGTTGTCCAAAAAGGTGTTTCCCAGACTCAAAACTGCAGCCTCATTCTAACCAATACATAATTTGATAATGATTAAGTATTTTATACCTTTAGCAGTTAAAAAAATTGAAAACCTGTCTATATCTGATAGTGTTACATTTAATAAGACTTGTAATATTTATTGTGTCGTGTTGATCACAGAAATGCTTTAGCTCTTGAAAGTATGAAGCCCTACCAGAACCTTTTTACTGGTAAAATGAGGATTTAGTGCAGAATAGGTACTAAATGACATGAGTCATCGTTTTATTTTCAAACTTTTCTACATTACAGATTTTTTCATTTAAAAATATCATGTTAGGCCTAACAGTTTTTATTAGCCTAATGTCTGAACATTTTCCTGTATTAAGCATTATCCCTAAGATTGAATCTTGTTTCTGTAACATAATTTTTTTTTAGATTCGATACACAACTTATAAATGAAATCAAGTTATACCTCTTATCGATTCAAATGTTTTCAAAATGAACACACTTGACTTAGGTAGTGCAAAGCTCTCCTTTGCTTTTCTATGTTGTAATTTTTCTTCACTTTCGACAATTCTGCAAACTGTTCTCACATTACTAATTTGTTGCAGCCAAGAAGGACTTGTACCTGGAGTCGCAACACCCCGGTGGACTGGAGAAGATACAATACTTGGAGGACGCAAGCCGCTACCGTCGGACAGAACAGGTGGACGAGATCATCACCACCAAGCCTCGCTTTGTCACCAAGCCCAAGAGTCTGGGCAACATGAGGGAGGGACACCACGCTCACTTTGAGTGCAAATTAGAGCCCGTCACCGACTCCAATCTCAAGGTCGAGTGGTACAAGAATGGTCGTCCCATTACTGTCGGTGAGTGTTTTTCAGAAGCTATAACTCAGTAAAGAGGTTACGTTTAGGATGAAATGAAATGAAATAGTATTTTATTTCCCATAAATTGTATACATCAGTTCATTATATTTTTTATCTTATAATAATACAGCAAACATTACTATACAAATAACAAAAATTATATACTGTAGAAATAAAGTGAGCAAAAATGTTTAAAAAAAATACCTTCTATAACAAAAAAAAAGTCTAGATAGGCAGGGCCTGTGCGTAGACTCGAGTTGCAATAAAGTTAATTTAAATGGGAGGCAAAAAAGTTTATTGAAAATAACAAAATAATTCATACATTTTTCAAATTTTGTCTTGCTTGGAACTGATTTTCAGTTTTCTGTAATGAAATTAAAACAAAAAAACTATGCAAACTGAGGTAATTAAAAAAAAGTTTGTTAAGATTGATAAGGAGAGGTGGAGTGTGTTGTATCAATGACTGCAGAGTGAAGTGTAGGGTCAACGGTCAGGTCGGTCCAACGCGATAACGGATGGTTTAGGTACTTGTAATTATTTAACTGAAGACTATAATATTTTTTGACCGATTTCATGAATATTTTCCCTGTAATTACTTGATATTGCCTTTAAAACAACCTTTTCTTGGTTCTCCTCTGAACTTTTGTTCTCTCCACTTTTGGGTCTAAGAGAACAATAATTTTTGTAACAAGATCAAATATACTGACGTCAAAACTCAAACATTAAAAAAAAGCTACTGTATTTTTAAAGCAGGACATATAACCTGTAAAATTAACTTATATAAGAAGGAATCTTTGAAACCTCAAAGTTTTTTTTAATGTGGAAAAGAAAGTTTAAATGATTTATGTTTGAATGGTTATAAACATTTCAATTGAAAAATAACAAGATACATATGTTTTACAGGTCACAGATTCCGACCTATCCACGACTTTGGCTACGTGGCTCTAGACATTGTTGACTTGATTGCTGAGGACTCAGGCACTTACACTTGCCGAGCTGTCAACCTTGTGGGAATGGACGAAACCACATGCTCCCTGGAATGCAGAAGTGAGTTTTATAGAACTACAAACAATGTATTTATACAAATGAGTCAGTTTAGTTAAAAGGAAAATAATATAGAAGAAAATATCAGGAAAGTAATACAGATGTTCCATGTTAATGATCATGCATGAGAAACAAATTGAGAGAAGGTTAAAATATTTATAATCATCCTTCAAACAACATGACTTAACACCACCACAAGCAGTACCAGTACATTGCTGACTTCTGTGTTGTTGATGTTACAGGTTCCCAACAGATTCTGACTGGCACAGAGAACCAGTCGGGACTGGAGCAGATACAATACCTGGAGGACAGATCTCGCTACCAGCGACACGAGACCACTGAGGAGACAACCACTCAGGCACCGACATTCACGTCGTCACTCAAACAGGTCAACATCAAGGAGGGTCAGCGAGCGCACTTTGAGTGTCGTCTCATACCTGTCAGTGACGCCACCATGAAAGTCGAGTGGTTCCACAACAACGTGCCACTCAAATCAGGTAGAGCTAGATACCAGTTGATTCATTAAACTTTATGTTGTGTGTGTAGTTGATTATTACGGTTTGATTCATATATTTTCAAATAGATTTACTGTCTTTTTTGAGTGGGTGATTTTTTGCTGTAGAAAAGGAACTAGGTTGATTGACCCTATACAGCTAAATATTTTATGACGATTTCAAACATCTGTTATTTGATTTTTCAAATTATGAAATCCATACTGTTACTCTTGTTTGGAAATAATACTATTTTTTAAACATTTTTTTATAACTGTTTAAATTATATTGTTAATGTGTGCTCAGGGTCCCGCTTCACAGAGACCAACAACTTTGGCTTTGTCGCGTTGGACATCCTGCACTGCCTGCCTGAGGATTCTGGAACTTACACTTGCAGAGCCAGAAATATCATTGGGGAGGCCGTTACCTCAGCCAACCTAAATGTCCAGTGTAAGTGTAGATTAGTTATTGTAGGCTAGTGTGAGAAGCAAAAATTTCAATTTAGTTTGCTTTAAAATGTAGAGTCAGTAAGCTTAAAACTTAAGTTAGTTGAAACAGCAAATAGTTTTTAAATGAATGCAAAAATGTTGATAATCTAGATTATTATAGGTATTAAAGTTTGATCATGATCTGGCCTTAATCATTGAGCTCTTAATAAATGGTCCTGGTTAACAAAAGCTAATAAAGGCTAACAAGCTTATCTAAGTCAGTAACATGCATCTGACATAATTTTACATTCATCCTTCACTTGTATTTTGGTTAAAATGCACACATAGGCTGCGCCCATATCCTAATTGATTTTGGTTTTTATGCATACACTAGTTAACCTCAAATGTAACTATACTCTTTTTTTGTCTTTTTTTTTGGCCTACGATGACTAACAATTATTGTCCTAAAAGCTAATTAGCTCTTGATCCTCTTGCAGCCAAGAAGTCCATCTACCTTGAGTCCCAGCACGAGGGTGCCTTGCAGCGATTGTACCAGCTGGAAGATGGTTCTCGTCATCAGCGGCGAGACGCTGCAGATGAATCTGTGTCTCAAGCTCCAGTGTTCACACAACCTATGCGAGACTTGCGCACCGCAGAGAACCAAGCAGCGCACTTTGAGGCCCGTCTCATACCAGTGGGCGACGCCAGGCTGAAGGTGGAGTGGTTGAGGAACGGTGTTCCCATAGAAGCGTCTAACAGGGTGACTACCATGCACGACTTTGGTTATGTCGCTCTCAACATGAAGTATGTCTATCCTGAGGACTCTGGCACTTACACTTGCCGAGCCGTCAATGACCTCGGAGAAGCAGTGACGTCTGCTACACTGGTTGTACAATCCAAGGAGTCTCTACTGCTTGAGTCTCAACACCAACAAGCCCTGCAGAAGATCCAGATGCTGGAAGACTCAAGTCGCTACCAGCGTCGGGAGGAGGAAGAGGTCGTTGTCACTCAGGCTCCGAGATTTACTGTTCAGCTCAACGGTCCGTCAGAGTTAGTGGAAGCACAGAGCGCTCACTACGAGTGTCGTATCGAGCCGTACCCCGACCCTAACCTCAAGGTAGAGTGGTTCCTGAACGGCCAACCACTTCAGACCGGTCACAGGTTCAGAACCACTTATGACTTTGGCTTTGCTGCTCTTGACGTGTTGACAGTCTATGGAGAAGACTCTGGAGAATACACTTGCCGAGCCACCAACAAACTGGGACAGGCACAATCCTCCATCAAACTGAACGTCAAGTCCAAGGCATCCATAATCAGAGACACGCAGCATGAGGGAGCACTGCAGAAGATACAGTATCTAGAGGATGATTCTCGCTACAAGCGCACAGCCGCTGAGGAGGTAAGCATTAATCTTAGTTCTTTAAATTGTATCTCATACCATAGACGCTTAAAACTGGTGCTGGATTTCTGAAAATTGAGGTACTGGAACTGAAATGTACTTTGATCTCTGGCCCATATATTTTATCCTATGATATTTTCTGATTCTTCCCCTCTCAAAAATAAATTTTTATTTAGCCTAAAAATAAATAAAAAATAAACAGTGAAGAACTATAAAGCATGTGTATGCTGTATGCATTGCATGCTTTCACTGCAATCATCCTCAAATTGAACCCTACTTTTATCATCAATGATTGTAATATGATTTGATGTTAAGGAATTGCTAAATGTAAGAGAAAGCAACATTAGCCTATATCTTAATACTATACTGACAATGACATAAATTCACCGCAGAAACTCCTGGAACCTCTTCCTTTACTTCTTCGAATTTTCACCTATAATGTTGTCCCACTCTCTAGATCGCAGTGGCAGAGAAGCCACAGTTTGGCCGACCTCTGAAGAACATTGAGCATCTGCCTGAAGGTCAGACAGCTCATCTTGAAGCGACCTTGACCCCTGTCAATGACCCTACAATGAAGGTCGAATGGTATTGCAACGGGCGACCTGTGCCCCAAGGTAAGTTAACTATCAAAGAACACCACAAACAATTCTGATTTATTAACATTATTCTACTTACATTTGTAGTTTAGTTTTCCATACCTTTAGTGGTATAAGTACTTTTTACTAAAACATTCAGTTCTTAACAATAGTTTAACTATTCCGAATAAATTCTTGATATGTTTGAGTAAATAGCACTGACATTTGATTGTCTAAATAGATGGGACATTTTTTCACTAGAATCAAATTATTGAATAAGAATTGTGTTGCAGGACATCGCTTCAAGACTACATATGACTTTGGCTTTGTTGCTTTGGATATCCTGTATGCCTACCCAGAAGACTCCGGAACTTATATGTGCAAGGCAAGGAATGCTGTGGGAGAAGCTGTTACAACTAGCTCTGTCACCATTGATTGTGAGTTTAAAATACCTACTTCAAACAATGTCAAAATGTTGCAACCCAAAAGAATATGTATAGATCTTTTGCACAGCAGCTCGTATAAATTTGAAATTGCTTTTCCTTGTTGCTTGGATTGTTACCATAAAAAGGAATTAAATCATGTTTTTTGTTTTTCACACAGTTGTTGTGTGCTTTCATCGGTTAGTTTGTAAAAACTGAACAACTTTGAAAACTATTTTTAACCAGATGGGAAGAAGCTGTCATGACGGCAGCTCAGCTGATTGATGTAGAGAGAAAGCCAGAGCTGTTACTGGCCAAGTGAGTGGCTGTAATGCTGACTTTGAAACAATTCAATATGAACACAGTCGTTCAAACTTGATATTCTGTTGTGTTATAGCCAAGGCCGGGCTTCAACTGGACACCCTGGATGAACAGAGGCTCCAGAAGATCAGAGATCTGGAGAATTACCAGAGACCAGAGAAGGTGGAAGTGGAGGCTGTGGGACAGAAACCTGTCTTCATCACTCCTCTCAACAGGTGACACTTGTTAATCACAGTATGAATAAGAAATTTCTCAGAACTCTTTACGGCGGATTGTTAATTCATATTTGAGAATAGTTAGGATTTCATGTAAAAACCTGCAAGATTGCACTATTCCATTGTGATACACATATTGGTGATCAAGACCCCACTAAAATAATACTGCAGCCTGCAGCATGGTCTATTATTTTAGTTAATAACGCCATAGTTGTGGATAGATTGCCATATCCCATGTGTTTTAGGTAAATAAGCTGGCTGTTTACGTCTGGAAACTTAAGTAAAAATATCCACCTCTGTGACTTAGTGTTACGCTGCCCATGCTGCAACATGACCTGATTTTCTAGTGGGGCATTGTTACATTAGAAAACAAGTTGCTGAAAACTCCAAAAAAATTAAATAATATTGTTCTTTACTGTTGCAAAAAATAATTTCACAATAATTCTCATGAGGTTAAACAGATGATATTGTCATGTAAAAAAGTCATAAGAATTAATTTGAGTCACTTTGAGGTTTTACAATTTTTCCCCTTTTCCCAACAGTCTGTCAGCCTTGAAGGAAGGAGACCACGCTCATCTAGAGTGCCGTGTGGAGCCAATCAACGACCCACACATGAAGATTGAATGGTTTGTCAACGGAGTCGCTATCCGCACTGGTCACAGGTTCCGCACAACACATGACTTTGGTTATGTCGCCCTGGACGTCCTGTACACCTGGGGAGAGGATACTGGCACTTACATGTGTAAAGCATCCAACCTACTTGGAGAGGCTATCAACACAACCAACATCAACGTGCAGTGTGAGTATCTTTATCACATAAATTGACCAGCAAGGTCAGATAAGCAAAATGGTCTAAAATCATGTAAAATAATAAAAAGTATTACCTTATCCCATGGTACTCAATTGTCCACACATACGGTCAAATTACATTGGAAGTTAAATAATTAATGATTAGATAACAATTTTAATATTTTAAAAATTAATTGTTGTGGATAAAACTATATGGAAACATTATTTATATTTCTATAATGTCAGTCAAGTAGGGTTTAACTGCTATCATTCCCCTAGAGACAGGTTGTTTGTGTCTTTCATTGCCAGTGGTATTTTGAATGTTTCTTGTACTAAGCGTATTGTAAAAAAATTCTGGTTTCATTAGATGCCAGATGTCGACATGAATTTAAAAAACATCAAGAAATGGGCCAAGAATTAATCCCCAATCTTCTGGTGTAAGGTGATCATTCCATACATAATGCTGCCCAACGATATAGTGCTAAATAAATTCACATCATGAGATTTAGAGCCATCAAGAGTACATTGGGCAGATGTATAATTCAAAGCCAAACACAGTCATTTACCACTAGTTGATAAGAAACTCAGAAATAATAACAAATGATGGTGTTGCAGCTCGCCGCAGTGTGTACTTAGACACTCAGCATCCCGAAGGACTGGAGAAGATCAGAGAGTTAGAAGCTCAAGGTCACACAGCCAGACTGGAGGTGGAGGAGCCCATACCAACACCTCCCAAGTTTGTCTCTGAGCTTAGAGTAAGTGTAGAACCATCTTACTATGACTAAATGTGCCAGGTATAGGTTACATGATAATAAATGTCTGAATTATCAGACTGACAATCAAAGCTAATGATTTGGACAAAAATAAAGTTTCAGGCTTGTCTGATGTTTCAAAAAATATTTGGTTACAAATCCAGGAGACGAGGATTTACTGGATGAAAGTTCCATACTATAAAACAAAATAAGCTCAGTGGTCCCATTTTAAACAGACAAGTTGACTATTGCTAGTTCAAGACTTGCTGCCTGCATTTTATAGCCACAGAAACTCGTGCCATAATCCTACGACAGATTGTGGTTTGAAGATTGTTAAGGCTTTTAGGCTACATAGGTACGAAAAATGCTATTGGATATTTCAGTAGAACCTCGCTAATTCAAACCTTGATTATTCGTAAACCTCTATATTTAGTAATGTTTGTCTGTTCTCCTCAGAAAACCTCTAAAATTTGAAAAATAATATACCGATAATTCAAAGTGATTTTACGCTTAATGAAGCCTCTACAATTCGAATTTGCACATATTTGAGCATCTACGATTCAAATTTTGTTGTCATAATTCGAATTGTCACCTCCAAAATTCGAAGTCAACCTCTACAATTCAAACCGCATTACCGTAATCCTCTGTAATTCGAATTTAGAACAAAAAATATGCCTGTTAAAACATAACTGACTCTCTTATTGATGTTCCTACGATGTGTTCATTAGTTTCCGTTCTCTAAAACTCTCTACACTTAAAACTGGTACCTCCATAATTAGAATTTTATTTATTATGACCTCTATAATTCAAACTCCCTATAGTTCGAAATATATTGTCTTTCCTCTGAAATTTGAATTAGCGAGGTTCTACTGTATATGTTTTTCATAACCCTAATGTATACATATCAAATTCAAATCCATAAAAACAGCTTTATCCTCCAAAATTTGTAATCTGATTGAAAACCTAATGAGGAATTTATCTCTGATATTCAGGGAACAACCGAGGTTGTGGAAGGAGCGACAGCCCACTTTGAATGCCAAGTGGAGCCTCTGCATGATTCCAACTTGCGTATTGAGTTCTACCACAACGGCAAGCCACTACCATCAGCCTCTAGGTTCCACATCACATTCGACTTTGGCTACGTGGCCCTGGACATCGGCCACTGTGTGCCAGAGGATGCTGGGGAGTACAGTGTCAAGGCCATCAACAAGCTCGGCCAGTGCACTTCATCCATCAATCTCAAAGTTATCGGTGAGCTACTGAATAGTTGTTCTGCTTAGGGGCGGTTTGGGAGCTCAGTATTAGCGCTAGTCCGCGACTAAATCCGGATATTTCCGGTATTTTAGGCTGCCACCTCGAAAACGGGTTTGTGAGCTCGGGATCAGTAAGGCGCGCGCCTAACTTGTGCAGGGATAATCTCGCGCCTAAATATTGTTGGTTTGGGAGTCAAATAGACTTAGGCGCCAGCCTAAGAGATAGTCTCGGTGGGTTTGGGAGACCAATTTCGGGACTAAGAGATATGTTTTTGTCATAAAAATCAGTGAGTTTAGTCCCCAACTTTAGTCCTGCCAGGGGGCAGGTCTAAGTCGACATCAGGCCGGTATTAGCTCATTAGCAAGTTAATTGTTTACATATTAACTAAAAGAATGTTATATTGGAATTCGTTATTAAATTCCAAACATTTTCATTCCTCTCAAAGTATATTTGATAAAACATTTTTTTTAGTTCTCTGTTGTTCAAAATAAAACGAAAATCTTGCAGAAAGCTAAATTTAACGAAAGATTATTTGGTTTTTGTTTTTACTGTTAACTGCAATACAAATATGGACCCTAAATAGAATTTCTTTCAACTGAGAGTTTGGCTATAAGCCCCTGTAACTTAATTATAAATATTTTATTAGTAAGGAAATAATTAGCAACCACATGCATACCCCCCACTCACCCCCTACGAAAGAGTGAAGAGATAGTAAACAAAACATAAAAAACTGCAAATAGCTCACAGTCATAATCGTTATCTTTTAATTGCGTTGTGATAGAGCTCAGTTCAGTGTCATTGACTAGTTACATCAAAATGGAGTACCTAGATTATTTGGAGTATAAGAAAATATACAGTATATCAATAACCCGCCACAGAAAACCTGCAGACTAAGCGAATTTCCAAATAACCTAATAGAGCTTTCAATTAAATTTATTTAAATAACTTTAGGTTTAACAAGCACCTGAAACTACCTACGGTGTAGGTATGCTGCTACAGGGAGGGTAATAAAGTGTATTTTTTAACAAAATATTAACAGCTTTATAAAAAATAAATAAATTTGCCCAAGTTTCATAAAAATATATCCATAAACGACCACACTAGAACAGTTAACTTTTTCTCCATAACAATCACATGGGAATTTAAAATTTACAATTTTACCAATAGTCTCTGTAGCCAATAACCGTAAAAAACATTTTAAGATATTAATTTGTTTTGTATACTCTTTAAAATACTCTTTACTCTTTAAATTACTCTTTAAAATATTTTAAAGACAAAGATTTATGTTATAGGGGCTAAAATTGAGAAAAAAACTATTTTTATCCTATACAACTCCGGGTTCCCTTGGTCTGATCATGCTGGTTCGCGAACTCATTATGGAGAATCGCGCCTAACACTTTCATGCCAAATTTTAAATCAGACAAAAATTACTCAAGTTATCACGTTTATGGACGTATATACAGGGTGAATTTTAAATGAGTTCCCCCCCCTACTTTTTTCTACATTTCTTAAGATATTATCTCCGGACCACGTCAGATCATTGTTGAGTAGTAAGTACTTCATTTTGACTAGGTATACATTTTTGGCCGCCATCTTGGATTCGCCATATTGGATACAAAGTTTTTTTTTAAATGTAAACGAGGTGTTAGCCCGTCCTACGTACGGGAATTCAGTAGTCAGTTAAAACCGTGTACAATTCAGATCAGCTAGTTTACACATATAAAGACAAAGTTTCTTGCAGTTTTAATGTGAAAAATCATCTTGTAAACATGTGTTGTGTGACAAAATATGTTTTATTCCATAATAGGCCTATACGATAGGTAAATGCATTTCAAATCCGATAATTTTACAATAAAACTGCAATTCTGCAATTTTTACGATGTAAAAAGCGTTGAAGTGAGATTGGCAGACGATTCGCACAGACGCACACTGATTATAAGTAGCCTACAGTAGAGAGAGTAATAGTCAATTGAGAAGTGTATAGTTGTGTAGACCTAGTCAACGATACCACCTTCCTTCCATAGCATACCTGCCTCTTTCATAATTATTATCCCCACAGTACAACTACTATACACAATTTCCAGTAGATTTGAATAGAAACGACCTAAAATAAAACGATACTATCCCATAAAATTCACAGTACACATAATTTAACTTTGGTGTCCTAACATCAAAACTAATCGTCACACCTACCCTTTATATAAATTTCACTGCATTAATTGCTAAATAAATAAGTGTAAACAAAGAAAAGTAAAAACAATAACAGTTTGTTTTGAAACAGCTGTTTGGTTCAAATAACATTCATTTGGTCACATGTAGCAGGAATATAAAAAGTAAACACGCTAGTAAAGCTAATGACGTAATTGTCAATGTTTATTATCCATACCATTATCAGTTCTATCCTTGATAATTACCCACCCTCATTGAATAAATGTACATCATAATTTCCCATATTAGTTAATTTAAACTACAATATATTCATAGTTGAATAATAATTCATAGTTAGATAAAAGTTATATTTTCACGTTTGGGGGCGCTGATATAGGCACCCCCAAACGTAACCACAACTGAACACGATTTCATAAAAGGATGGTTTGTCTAATTGCAGTATCCTAGGCCAATGTTGACGTTGTGTTCAATCTATTTATCCATCTGTTTACCTTTGTACGTATAAAACCCGGCAGAGGTTGTGGTGGTAATTTAAAATCGTGATACCTGATTATTCTTGATCTTTTTTTATGACATCAATATTTCCGGGCCTAATCCAAACAAAGTTAAAGCAGACAAACATGAATTGTAAACAAAAAGCTACAATAAAGAGTTTAAAACATGTAAACATTGTTATTTTTCAATTCTTTCCTTCAAAAGTGGAGCAGTAAAATAATTTGCATTTATCCTTTTTTATTAAGACTCGTGTACAGAGCCTCGATTTGTACTGTGGTTTAATTAATTTTGGTCTATAGTATTTTAAACTGTGTTCTACTAATCTGACTTATTTCCTATAATCAATGACAAAATAAGAGTAAATAAAATAACCTCATAGTTCCATAGTTTATATTTAACCAGCTGTTAGTTAAAACAAATTATATTTCTCTAAAACAAATCGAAGATTACAAAGATTGCTTTAAAAAATAATTTGAACATCGTAGTATTTTACTATGTATATTTAATTAACCTGTCATCCTCTTACAGAAGAATTGAACGTGATAATGATTAGCATTACACATAGTATAAATAAGTCAACCTTAAGTATGTCTTTACATTTTTATCCAAATGCTGAATTTGTGACACAAAAGCTGAATGTTTACAGCTGTTATGTTAAGCAAATTATTTTATACCAAAAGCTAGTTTAGAATCTTAGCGTCGGCTGCTAGACTTTTTAAAAATTAAAACTTAATTTCTAAAAAACTGGGACCCTAAACTAAAATTATGGCTTCGACATTCCCTAGTTCTCAAAATTATCTTTCTTTCAACAAAAAAATCATGAAAATCCGTCGAGTGGTTGATTCAGAATCGTGAAATAAAAAAACACTGTTTCGTTTTAATATTATAGATGTAGGGTTGTGACCCATTATTTCAAACTAGAATTTTACGCTGATTACAATGCCGCAATTAGTTTTTAAAAATCTTGATTCGTTCTAAAGTTATGCGGACTTTTTATAACTTTATTTTTATCCCATTTTAACATTGTGTATTAACAAACTAAGACCATAATCTCAAAATAGTGCTAGATAAACATAAGTATACACCACCATTCATTGTCGACATATTTTCACTTGGTTATGACGGATGTAGTTTTTTCAGCCGCCATCTTGGAGCCGCCATTTTGAAATGTGATCAATTAATTTAAATATGAAGGTGGTGTTGTGACCCATCATTTTGAACTACTTTTTTATACTGGACTCAATGCTGCAATCCGTTTTTGGTTATCGAGCTTTCTTGATGAAATATTAAAATACTCTTATTTAAAATTTCAATATTTCAAAATCCAAAGAGGCAAATGAAAAACGGATTGCGGCATTGAGTTCAGCATAAAAAAGTAACTCAAAATGATGGGTCACAATACCACCTTCATATTTAAATTAATTGATCACATTGCAAAATGGCGGATCCAAGATGGCGGCTGAAAAAACTACATCCGTCATAACCAAGTGAAAATATGTCGACAATGAATGGTGGTGTATACTTATCTTTATCTAGCACTATTTTGAGATTATGGTCTTAGTTTGTAAATGCACAATGTTAAAATGCGCTAAAAATAAAGTTATAAAAAGTCCTCATAACTTTAGAACAAATCAAGATTTTTAAAAACTAATTGCGGCATTGTAATCAGCGTAAAATTCTAGTTTGAAATAATGGGTCACAATCCTACCTTTACATTTGAAAAAAAAACTTTTTATCCAATATGGCGGATCCAAGATGGCGGCCAAAAATGTATACCCAGTCAAAATGAAGTACTTACTACTAAACAATCATCTGACGTGGTCCGGAGATGATATCTTAAGAAATGTAGAAAAAAGTAGGGGGGGAACTCATTTAAAATTCACCCTGTATAATACCTTGCACCTTGTATATATAGGCTATACATATACGGGGTGTCCCACGAAGGGGTTTAAACGTTTGATTTTATATTACGTGCCCATTCATGCATCAAACTTGTTTAAACTTTACACAGTTTTAGAAGTAGGATATAAAAATATTCTGGAAAAATTTCAACTCCCTAACCTTAGTAGAAACAAAATGGTGGCATATTGAAAAACGATGCTTTAAAAAGATTGAAGAAGGTATTTTTGGTTTTATCAAATATTTTTATTGTTACTTTCCAGGGCAATATGACTTAAATAAAGAACTAGATTATAGCCTTAATGGAAAACCTTAATGTCCAAAATTATTCAAACTGTAACCCATCCACAGCAACACACTGATAACAGCGCGTAACAAATTATTCGTAAGCTCTTACAAAGAAACTCCGCGGTATCCGGAGAAGTTCCTCTTCTATTGATCGTTTTAGTTCCTCATCATTATTGAAGCTATAGGTATAAACTTATTCCTTCAAGAAATCCCATAAAAAGATGTCGCAAACAGTTAAATCAGGTGATCGGGGTGGCCAATCTAAAAAATCATTTCCACGACCAATCCAACGGCCATGAAGGTTGCCATTTAGTAATTGCTTGACAGGATTTGCGAAATGAGGTGGTGCACTATCTTGTTGAAAGATTGCTTGATTCAATTCTGGTACCGTCAAATGGGGCAAGACCTGTTCATTTAAAACTCATTTTACAATCAAACAGCTGTTCTTCAACAATGAGCGTTAGAACCGCAACGTAGTAACAAAATCAGATAATTAATCATGAAAGTAGTTTTTATAGGAAGCAAATTGGTAAATTTTTCAATATGCCGCCATTTTGTTTCTACTAAGGTTAGGGAGTTGAAATTTTTCCAGAATATTTTTAGAACCTACTTTGTAAATTGTGTAAAGTTTAAAAAAGTTCGGTGCATGAATGGGCACGTAATATAAAATCAAACGTTTAAACCCCTTCGTGGGACACCCTATATAAAATTTTGAACGAACAGTGTTTTTGGCCTCTAGGGACATCAAAATGGAAAAGTTTATCGGTCCCGGAACTAATAAGTGCTACCTATGGTAATAGATACTTCCCTAGGAAAGTTAGATAAAAAAAAAAGATTTTATATTGACAACAATATTTTTTAAGTACTGTATTAAAAGATTTTTTTTTACATTTACCTTGGCTTCACACAATCATAACCTCCGCAATTACTTTTTATAATTTTTTTTGTCAATACCCCTATATTATACTGGGAAATTACTGTTTAATTTTGAAGCTTTTTACTGCATGAAACTGAGTTTCCGATGTTAATCCTATGTTGCTCTGTACGTATTTATAAGGTGTAGTACTTAAAAGACAACTAGTAGTACTTAAGGACAACTGATTAAATAATTATAAATCGTAAAGTGAAAATAAAGTTAGATCTTAAAAGAATTCAATATAAACAATTACGGTTCTTCAGTCATTGGGATGTAAAACAACGATCTTACAAAACTACATTTTTGCAATGGTACAATGCAGAAACATACACCATAGTCTACTAATTAGCCACCATTGATATACCAAGATAAAATTGTATCCATCTTCAATAAGTGTTCATCTTTTGTTGTTGTCAACGGTAACGGGTTCTGCAATGGCCGTTGCCAACGTCAAAACCTGAATTCCCCGCGATTCCCTGTCCATCTAGCCGCGCTGCAACTTAGGCGCGACTATACTTGATCTACGACCATTTCAACTTAGGCCCGAGCTCCCAAGCCTGGTTTCTGGTCCGGGGACTAAAGTTAGTTAGTTAGTTAGTTGGGCTCGAGCTCCCAAACCGCCCCTTAATTTGCTATTGATTGTTGGTGAAGAGAGGAGAGTTTGCATTAAGCTGAGGTTTGCATTGAATCTATTAAATTGCCCAGTGTAGAAAACTTGATACCAATTTGTGTTTGGAATTTTAAGGTAAATCAATCATATAGACTGAAATGTCGTCTGAATGTACTTTGGTTAAATTAAGTGACTTACATGCTTAAATATTTTCAGTTAAAATGGCCGAATGTTGTGTATTTTAGAATTAATGACCGATTCAGAAAGACCCTAAATCAGTAGTAGTCAACTGCTAATTCTGGAACCTGTTTAAAAATCATTTATGAAACTATTTCCAAAAAGGTTTTGCTATGAAAGAATTTGAAAAACAGTTTCTTGCAAGATGTCAACTGAATTATTTTATCCGAGCCTGTATTTAAATTTAAACTTAAAATTTAAAATTTAAACCACACAAAATTTCTCGGTGTTATCCTTGATAACAAACTAACATGGAAAGAGCACATCAACCACTTAAGCAAAAAAATCAGTACTGGAATATATGTCGTCAGAAGAATAAACTACATAGGCGGACTCTCCGTGGCCAAAACAGCTTACTTCGCACTGGTAGAGTCGCATCTTAGATATGGCTTGACAGTGTGGGGAGGAACTTCAACAAAAAATATGAATCGAATTCTCGTCCTTCAAAAGAAAGCCATAAGAGCCCTCGCCAACCTTGTCCCACCACAGACTTGCAGACTAGCATTCGCAAACCTAGGAATCCTCACAGTGGTGTCTCTCTACATACTTGAATCTATAAAGTATGTGAATGAAATAAACCCCCCAAGAAACCAAGACCTGCACCACTACAACACCCGTCATGGCTCCAAATCTGCACTACCAGTTCACCGAACAACTCTTTGGGAGAAAAAACCTTCCTACACCGGCTGCAAGCTGAGGAACCATCTACCTGACTACCTGAGAGACCTGACTGGCAACAAGCTACACCAGGAGTTGAAGAAGTGGCTAATCGCAAGACCCTTCTACTCAATAAAGGAATTTTATGAAAATTAACATGTACAATTCACTATTGTATTGACACTATTGTAATTCTTGACGAATTAACAATAAAGAATATTGTATTGTATTGTATTGTATTGTAAATTGGTTACAGTATATTTTGGTAATCTATCCTGAAAATGAAATCTTAGTACTAGGTAAATTAACAAAATCTTGTGTTTCCCAGCTAAGGGCAGCATTATCTCAGACTCCCAGCGGCCAGAGGGCTTGGAGAAGATTCGCCAACTCGAATCTGCTCAGCCATTCCAGAGGTTTGTAGTTGATCTTTAATTTTAAACTAAACAAGGTAGGGCAATTTTTTTTTACTGATTAGGTAAAATAAAATTGCAGCATATCCTATTGACTCCAAATAAATAAATTACACTAAAGTTTACTTGCGATATAATTAAGAGAATGTCTGTATTGTGGGTGATTTATTCAAGGTAACTTTCATTACATGGGATTGAATCTGAAGTTCCTCCAGGACTTATGTTTATGTCCTATGTGTGTTTGTAGACCCGAAGTGCCTGAGGCAGCCACCAGACAGCGCCCAGTGTTCACTCAGCCACTACAGAACATTGACTCCATCGCAGAGAGCGCCACCGCTCACTTTGAGTGTCGTCTGATCCCTGTCGGAGATCCTACACTCAAGGTTGAGTGGTTCCGCAATGAGAAACCATTAGAAACCAGTAAGTGTTTAAACTAGTTTTGCTACGGCGATGTATTCCACAACTGAACAATAAGAGTAAGAGCAAAATAATCGTGAACGAACTTAAACAAACCGTGTAGTCAGTATCAGTATGTTTGCCTCAAACAAAAATGTATAGCTCTTATTTACTTATTGATTATTATGCTTTTAATTATTTTAATTTAAGAAATAAACCAGCATTTTACCTGTTTGTGCAGTGGTGTAAATTTGTATTTTGTTCTAATCTAATCTGTAACAGAGTTTCCACACAACTCTGTACTCTGCTGAAGAGTTTTAGTACACATTTTAACAAAACAGATATGTATCAACACAAACACACATATTGGCATATCTAAGGAAAAAGTTGGGGACAAATTGGGACTTTTAAATACACTATAAATGGCAACTATGTTATAGAAAATATTGCAAAATATGACCTTTTGAGTTAAAGTACTTTTCTTGTAAGAAAGTGTCATAAAATATTATTTTTTCCTTCATTATTGCAGCAAGGAGGCTAATGTAAAAATATATGCAATCAACTTGTCATGAACAAAGTCTCACTTATTTAGAAAACTTTAATGCCTTCAACAAGGAATTTAAACTGGAATATATATACATTTTCTTTGTACTCTTTATCTCGCCATAAATACACTTTTTTTAAGATATTAAAACATCTGAATTGATTTTTTCAACAGAGATGTGACAGAATGTTGTTTGACAGGTTCTCGTATCACCAAGACACATGACTTTGGCTTTGTGTCTCTGGACTTGACACATGTGCGAGCGGAGGACGAAGGAGTGTACATGTGTCGGGCGTCCAACGCACTTGGAGAGGCCGTCACCACCGCTTCCATGAAGATAAAGAGTAAGCTGGTGTTACTATTGATAAGATAGGTTCATGGATAAAACATACACCCTTAGTAGATTTGTAATCCTTATGGAACAGCTGAAGCAATTTTATTGTTAGCTCTGTACACCGCACTGTAGAGGTTGTGTTTTGTTCACAGTTTGTTTCCTGTTAAAGCACAAATAGCACAAAAGCACAAAGCAGCAAATAGTAAAGCACAAATCATGAAAATAGCCCTAAAATAATAGAAACAACATTTCGTCTACACTAGCAATCAGTGTCGACAAACATGAACTAGACACGAAAAACAAGCTTCATAATGTGCAATGGGATGAGAAGTCTACTTGTGTCCCTTAGTCCATGATAGGTTCAACAAATTATCTGTGAAGTTTAGGAGTGGGGTTAGTGTCTTTCAATTTTAGCCTATTGGAAGGATTTACTAGATGATCATGGCTAACGTCTATAAAGAAGACAGTATTGATTGATTAGTTGATCTAAGATCATCAAGGGATAGCTTTTGTCATTTTGATGGAGTTGATAGACTGAATGTTGATTAATAAAACAAAGTTGGATTAGTGTCAAAGGATTATGTTTTATTTTTTATTGATTTATTTAGTCTATGGCCACTAAAAAATTGGCAATGCTGGAAAGTGAATACTGCCAAATTAAGTAAATAACATTACAACTGTTACTTCTTAGTTTAACACGTTCGCTACTGAGCGTCGCATATATGCGACGCCGCGGTCATTGCCACAGACCGAGGTATACATTTGAATCTTACACACAGACCGGCTGTCACTTGGATAACAGTACACACAGACCACGGGCGAAAACCTGTAAAACAGTGATCATTTACATTGTAATACGCTACAATCGTGTTTGTATATAAATTATTCTTGTTTTTTGTATTTTTTATAACCTTTAGTAATGTCGCATATTTGCGACGCCCGGTCTACAGCGAAGACAATAGTGAAAATTATCATAGTTTTCTTGAAATAGACTAAGCGTCGCATATATGCGACAGTTCATTTTTTTGTGTTTTAAGGTGAAAGTAAGTAAAAAAATAAACAGATTATTCAAGAACAGTTTATAACTGAACAAATATAAAAGCCACATAGGATAATGCAGCATACGTACTGCATACATACATACAGTGATGCAGAAAAGTAGGGATGGACGAGATTGGATTTTTAGTTCGAGACAAGACGAGACGAGATTTTTTATTTCTCATAAAATTTCGAGACGAGATCGAGACGGGATTTCCCTTCTCATACACAACGGGAAATGCACGTTCAAAATTTTTACCTGATTTTGTAACATTGTTAGATGACTGTTTAAATACAAAAATAATGATAATAGGCAAGAATATTTACAATCTTTTATTAAAAAACATCACATAATAGTTAACAACATCTAGTATGTCAACATGAAGTAAAAAACATCAGCATAACATTTTTTTATTAATCACGCCTAACTTATTAAAAATGCCTACGATTAGGAAACATAGTGATATCAGTTAGGATAGAGTTCAACTTATCCTAAAATAAAATAAATCATAAAATAAAAGCAATATTAATTTTTATAAAATAGTTTTAGTAGCCTATAACTTGTTTTGACTTTTTATAGTAATAAAACATTCCTCACACTGCTTACACTTAACAAAACTTCTCAAATGTTATTAAAGTAATATTATTAAAATAATTAAAGTAATATTTACATTTAAAGAATTTATTAAATAAGAACGCCTTCGCAAAGGAAACGCAACTACAACACGCTCCTGTATTGCGGGTATTGCATTGACTTTCTGCAGGCGTTTTTAATTTTTTTTATTTTTTTTATTTTTTTTTTTATTCTCGTCTCGATAAAAATCTCGGCCAAAAAGAAATCTCGTCTCGTGTAATGAGATTTAAAATTTCCCGAAAATTTCCCGAAATTTCGAGACTAAGCCAGTTTTTCCAACTGTTATATGACGTCACCAATCATCATATCCACAGACCAAGCGACGCAGTTGTGCGTCAGACATCTCTGTAGACCACTGCAGGGAATTCAGTGCCTTCAAATAGACCACTACAAAGATATAAGCATTTTAATAACATTAGAACCCCGACGCAAATATGCATCGGCAGTCTATTTTAATGTGACTAGCCGTCGCATATGGGTGGAAACCGACCGTCGCATATGTGCGTCGCTGGTCCATGTGAATGGAAAATTTCGTACTATTGCAGTAGCGAACGTGTTAAATAGCAATAACTGGTTTCCTTAACATACCCTCACCTGGGTGACTTCTTAAGTTTACATTAACACCTTGAGCAGGTTTTGCAGTTTACAAAGTCTGATATAGTCCATTCTCACCATATGAGAGTATAATGAATACCGTAGCTTAATATATTTATATATCTTCTAACAAATATCAAATCATTGGCAAAACAGAATTTTATTAGTTCTTAATTAGTAAAATAACTTTATTTTTCCCACCATAACACAACATTTGTGATTGTCATAGGATGAAATTGTTCCCTACATTTAACAATTTGTTATTTCATTCTATCATTTGGTAACTCTCATCATTTGGTCCACAGCCAAGGCAGACATACAGTTGGACACTCTCCACCAGGAAGGCATGCGTAAGATTCAGCAACTGGAGTCCCGAGCGCCCACTCGTGACGAGGAGCCGGAGCGCACGTTTGAGAAGCCCATCTTCACTCAACTGCTGACCGGACCCTCGGAACTGTGGGAAGGACAGAATGCACACTTTGAGGCCCGAGTGGTGCCTGTTGGGGACCCCACTCTGAGATACGAGTGGTACGTCAACGGCGTGGAACTGAAAATGGGTAAGTTTATATTTTTGTTTTTAATAGTACAGTAGATTTGCTACAGGTTCTAGAAAGAGTCACTTAACTAAACCTTTTACTATCCTAATCCTATGATGCTATTGATATTTTACAGAAAAGTTTTTTTTTTAGTAAAAGAGTTTTGACGCTATTGTATAGACATATTTGTGTAAAATTAAAGTTAATTTGATTTTGTTTAAACATCCTTCAAATTTTATTATATTGAGGTATATTTCTAAGCTTTTAAAATCTATTATTGACAAAGTAAAGTTGCATTTCTGATTCCTAAACAATATTTCAGGTTCTCGGTTCCGCACAACTCATGACTTTGGCTTTGTCACTCTGGACATCATGACCACAGTCCAGGAAGACTCAGGAGTGTATATGTGCAAAGCAATCAACAGAGCCGGCGAGGCTGTGTCCTCTACTTCTCTCAAAGTCAAACGTAAGTATTACACTTATGTCTTTGGCTACTTTGTCTTTCCACCTCTTCTTTGGGCACCCATTTTTTCTTTTATCTGGGATATTCTCCGGTACTTTCTTTATTAGAGCTTCATCTGCCCTCCTTATCATATTCTCATTGCCTTCCTACCTATTCTTTGGGCCCTCCAAGGAAGTTATTTTTCTCTTCCATATTTATTACATCATACTTCATCTCTCTTAATCACATGTCCAGTCAATATCTAACGTGTAATTTTTTAGGATTTTTTGAGAGGATAGCAGGCTTACCTGAATGGGAAAGAGTCCAAACTGGCACAGGAAACACAAAACAAAACTTTACACTATATACACAAAACATTAGAATATTTCACTGTCACTGACAGCATTTTCAACTAAGGAAGAGAGTTTTCTAGATGTCCAAAATGGTGGCCAGTGAGTTGTTGAGTCGTTGTTGCCAATAGTATGAATTCAAAAAACACAGTTTCAGTTTATCTTATATGCACTATATATATATGAATGAATATGTAAGCCTGCTAGTTGGGTTGGATATTGAAGTGGAGTGGGTTAGATGAAAGGTATTGGGTGGTATCCAACCCAACTAGCAGGCTTACATATTCATTCATATATATATATAGTCTATAGTGCATATAAGATAAACTGAAACTGTGTTTTTTGAATTCATACTATTGGCAACACTGATCCTTAGTTGAAAATGCTGTCAGTGACAGTGAAATATTCTAATGTTTTGTGTATATAGCGTAAAGTTTTGTTTTGTGTTTCCTGTGCCAGTTTGGACTCTTTCCCATTCAGGTAAGCCTGCTATCCTCTCAAAAAATCCTAAAAAATCTAGGCCCTTGTGCTCTATGCTACACCCTTAACGTGTAATTTTGTTGTACATTTTAAAATGTTAAATAACGTATTAAACTTTTAAGATTACAATACTACTTATCATCTTGATTTCTTCTGCAGCCAAGGGCACCATTATGGGTGAGCCATTGCAGCCGGATGCCTGGCAGAAGATCCAGCTGAAGGAGGCGGAGATGAACAAGGTGCCTCCGATGTTCGTGGACACAACTCCGCAGCAGGCCCCGGTGTTCACCACTCATCTGCAGAGTCTAGACAAGCTGCAGGAGGGCCAACATGTCTACTTGGAGGCACAAGTGGAGCCCCGTACAGACCCCAACCTGCGCATTGAGTGGTTCAAGAACGGCATGAGCCTCACCACCGGTAAGTAATAGTTGGAAATAAAGCATATGATAGTTAAAATAGCTACTTTAGCGATTGAGCTTATAGTTCAATACTTTTTCCTTCATCATCCTTATAGACTATTAGTCACTAAAAATAAGTTTTATGTAAACTAAAAAGATTATTTATTCTGGACCACGTAAAGTATACCATTTTGTCCTTAGGTGCCCGTTTGAGAAGTACATTTGACTTTGGCTTGGTGACTCTTTCCATCAACTCACTGAGGGCCGATGATTCGGCTATATACACATGCAAAGCCACTAACCTCCTGGGAGAAGCTGTTTCTACCTGCACACTTAAGATTGAAGGTGAGATGTCAGATATATCATACAGCTATGTCAAATCAAATAATATGACTTAGTGGTATCATTATTTAATTTAGCCAAAAAATTTGTAATGAACATCTTTGATGAAAGTATTATACTGATTATTTTCATTTTTATGACATATAACTTCAAAAATCAAAGGAATTTAGGGAAATGTTGTATATATTATATATTTTATTCGTTTGATTTATTACAGTACTGTTTTGTTATTTCCAACTTTAGGCACTCTTCTCAAAGTGTAATGTTTAGCAAAATGGTTTAAAGTCAAGTTTTTTTTTTTTTTTTTAACTACACCGGTTTTTAACAAGTACTCAATCATATCAGCTGAGAAGAGGTTTCTTAATCCCATTAGTTTGATTTTAAAATTAAGCAACACTTTTTGTAACACGTAATTATTTGCAATTTTTAATCCTAAAAGTTATTATGCAAAGTCATTGTGTACCTAGCAAGGCTACCTACATATTAATGGCAATAAAAAAAAATAATGATCCATTCGAAAATTTAAACAGGTGTAAGATTATTTTAAAATCCCATTGCTAAAACACACCATCTTTGGCTGGATGGTTTTTGTGCTTTCTTAATTGAAAACTGTAGCTTAGTTACACATCGGCTTTTAGTTATGAGTTTTTTTGTCTGTGAAGTGATCGTACCCGGAAGACAATGTTTGTAATACCTTTGTTGTTTATTTAGGTAACCAGTATTACTTTGCTTACCGTCTTGCTGAACAAATACCAATAACTAATTGTCAAAACAGGATGGTAAATATGAATTAGCCAATCATTCAGTTGAATACTACAACTAATGCTGTTTAAGTAGTCTATAACTTGACGTTGTGTTGCAGACAAGCACTGGCTGTTGGGTAAGCCACTCCACCCTGAGGCTCTGCCACTGATAGAGTCTCTAGAGGCACCCAAGGCCAAGCCTACAGAAGGTCCTGAGCCTACCTACGAGTGTCCTGTATTCATATCCCATCTCAACAATGTCGAGTGCAAGGAGAGTGACAATGTGCACTTCGAGTGCCACGTGGAGCCCAGCAAAGACCCGACTATGAATATTGGTATGTATGGTCATGATTTGTTCGATATATTTTAATTAATAATGAGGGAAGATTTAAAAATTTTGGTCAGTTGCCATGTTGAAATCGTTGGACTACTCCTACCAAACTTCTGTTTAGAGTCATTGCCCGAAGACCAGGAATCCGTTGTAGGTGACCAATGAAGCCTATCATTGATGATGATTAAATTTTGGGTATCTTTATTAACAGTGAACGGTTGAAGTATTAATTATAATCTTTATGTAAACAATCAGTAAACCTGAGATCCGTTACATTTCTGAAGTATAATGTGACCTTTAAGTTACCTAACCTTCCCTGTCAAAAAAATTTAACAGTGGGGGGGGGGGATACCATATTATTAGAAATGTCATGATTAAATTTGCAGGTTAATGAAATGTTAAACAATTTATTGTAATTTCTTGACAAAAACATATAAAAACTAAACAAGTGTACAAAATTACGAGCTACACATTTTTTATTTTATAATAAAATATTTTACCAACGTGAATACAGGAGATTTGTTTTTTCCAAAAGTCACGTTTAACAAATTATTCAACCTTAAGTATAATGTTAAAGATAAATTGGTAGCATCACTTTTGGTTACAAACTCTAATAATGTTTTGTTGAAAAATACATTGTTTTTTAATGTGTATTCCTGCTTATAATCTGCAGTTTAAGATTAGCATAATTTATTCTAAACCCTTGCTAAGGAAGTATTACATGTCAGGTCTTGTATCGATTGATATATGAAGTAAATGCAAATAAATGTAAATCCATAATCTTAAACCATACAGTGACAGTAAATACTTTGCTTTCACAGAATGGTTTGTGAACGGCAAGCCTCTCCCGACTGGATCTCGCTACAAGTCCACGTACGACTTTGGCTACGTTTCTCTTGACATCAACCACGCCTACTCTGAAGACTCCGGTGTTTACATGTGCAAAGCCACCAACAGCAAGGGCCAGGCCTCTACTTCAGGAACACTCAGATGTCATGGTGAGAACTATTTGACCATTTTTATTTGGCTTTTAAATTCTACTGCTTTTCTCTAATCTTCTCTAAAGACTCTAACTACTTTCTATATTCAGAATAATCATTCACCATAACAAAATAATTTTCTAAATCTAATATCTTGGCTTGGTTCAATTTTTTTACTTTTACTGACAAATTGTTTGGTCATATATTGGTTTAGTAGTAGTTTAAATAGCTGTTCAGTTAGTAAAAAAGCTAATATGTAGATCTAGGGGAAAGTATTTGAAAGTTCTAATTGACTGTCAATTCTGAACGGTAGTCATTTTGTTATTTGAACTGTCAATAACTGTTTAAAAAGTATTTAAACAAGTACTTTTTATGATAAAAGTCTTTAAATATGCAAGAACTCTTTAATCAACTAGTCTATTTTTTTCATTACAAAAATGCCATACAAAAACTAGACCAACAATCTATATAAAAAGGAACAGATCTACAAAATATTGAATAAACAAAATATACAATCGATTGTCATAATAATTGCTATCTGCAAGAATACTTACTCAAGATAGAAAAACCCCTTTTTTACATACGAAAAAATGCAGTCCCATCCTTAAAAATACTATCCTGTTCATCCCTAATCACAATAAAGACTAACAAAAAATTATGCTAATTAATCTTTGAAAATATCATTGACTTTTTTACACACACTACTGCTTTTATAGGCCTTCTATTATTTTCATGCTTTCTTATGCTTGAATAATAATCCCATGCTTGCCTTGCTACTAATGCTTGTAATTTTTCAGCAATTAAAAAGGAATTTAATAAAGAGGAGGAGTTTTCTTCCTCGTTTGCTTATGGTACCAAAGAATTTGGAATGCACAGCTTTTCTCACCAGGAGAGCTCCAAAACCTCCAGCATGTTTGCCTCCTCATACACCATGTCTTCCACACAAACCATCGTTTCTCAAGAAACGCACGTACAACAGTTCTCGACTGAAAAGAGGAGACCTTCTCTCCTAGCAGAGGGAGATATTAAGATGATTCAGGACCTTGAACTGATCAAAATCAGACTGAAAGGGCCTCAAACTGATGTTGAGATTGGGGAAATTCCTGAAGGCATTCCGGAAGGAGAGGTAGTTTTTGAGACGATGGAAATCCCCAGGAGGCTGACATTGCCTGATATAGAGGTTGCGCATGATGTTCAGCTACAGAGAGTAGATCAGGCTGAGGTGTCTGAGAGGGTGACTAAAAGGAGGTTCTCTACTCACACGGAGGAGGCTTCGGCTCACATCCAAGTAGCGGAGTTGGTAGAAGGGTTGGCCGCTATCGGAGAAGTCTCGGGTATGTTTGGTCGACCCTGAATGTCTCTGCTGTGACTCGTCCGTGAAGTTGTGTTTTCCCCTTCACCTGATCTGATTGGTGTATGTTGTGTCGGTATAATAGTGTAAAATCAACATAAGTTTTCTAGTATTTACTTCAGTTCTGATGGATAAAGAATGGGATTTTCGTAGGTTGTTAATTCAAATGGTAATGGGATGAATATCCTATTCTGTAGGTAAACATTATGAATGTTATATAATATAATAACAGATTTATTAAATTAGTATAATCGTCAGTAATAACAGGCAGAGAAATGAATGGACAGAAATGTGTTGGAATTTGGAACTACAATCTTGGTTCTTGTTTCACACATTATGACATTAAATCAATAAATCTTTTCAAATGCACACATTCATGTTATACATGAACACAAAATTCAATTACTCTTGCCCTAAAAATTGAGTTTATTTTTATGTATTTTTTATTTAAAAAGTTAAAAACCATTATCATTTCAACCAGAACTATTTTTCCTCAACAATCATCACCAAAAATTAACGAAAAATTAATTGAAGAGTTGAAACAGGGAATTATATCCACATATTTTCCTTTTCACTAAGCAAGTTGTCTGTTAGTCCTCTTTTGCTTAACTCATTTACAGCCTCTGTCACTACACTATTCTAGATATTTTTAACATTCCCAATTTACCATTTACATGCGTAATTACATCCAAGACAAATTTTGATGTTTAATTTATTATTGTTGTAAAATGTTTTGTTTTATTAAGATGCATTTCTCTGTTTAGTTAGCTTCAAACTTATGCAAATGTGGTTTGCAGGTGACAAGGATATATACTTTGACACTCAGCATCCTCAGGGCAAAGCTGGTCTGGAAAAGGTAAGTCTTTGCAATTTTTTCATTCAGCCCAGTGTATTATTAAATATATGACTCTAAGTAGATATCTCATTCTTTAATTAAACCTAAAATCAGTTGTAGAATAATAATTGGCATAGTTTTGAATTAAGCAACCCACAGAGTGTGCTAATGTCTGTCAAGTACACAAACTTAAAAACCAAGCCAAACTGAAACTATACCTTCCTTACTGTAAACTATAGCATTTGTTACGTTACTGTGATACACCATAAGAATATCAGTTGTATTTTAAAGTCTGATTTCCATATGTACATCTCGCCACCATGTAACGGTACTATCGTATGATTTTTTATAAACAGCATTGGCTACAAAACATCACCTGATCCCCTCTCCACCTAGATCATGCCACCATCCATGTCTGTACGTCCCTTCAACAGCCTAGTCTACCTCCAGAAGTCGAACCCTAACCTATGTGGGCGTGTTATAAACATGTAACTCTCATATTTATTTAGTCCACTTCCAAAATTCATTTAGCCCATGAACCACAAATGTCATCGTACCAAAAACTAAATGATAAAAAACTTTTATAAGTGTGTTAATGGGTGATTAAACTGTATACTATTTGAATAAAAGATTGGCTACAGCTGGCCTATACAAATGGGAATTTAGAAAGCTAGAAAGCAGAATTTAGAATAAACAAACATGAAGAAGACACCCTGAATTTGGTCCTGAATTTCTTCCCAAAAGGCTTTATTTAATTTGACACTAAAATATTCTCTAAAAAAAAAGAAATGATTAACAAGAAAACAACAAGCTGTAAGTATTATTCTAGTGTAAATTAGTTGCATAGATTACCTGCACCAAGCTTACACCACATTTACATTGTTGTGATGGCGCAGGTACAAGAGGTGGAGGACGCAGTCGCTGGCAAGTACCAGAGACAGTCGTCTGCGCCAGAGGCTCAGTTCCCTGCGCCAGTCTGGACAATCCCTGTCAACCCAGAGTTCCACCTGGGAGAGGCCCAGCCTCTACATCTGGAGGCTACTGTGGAGCCCAAGGATGACCCCAAGCTCAAGATTGAATGGTTCTTCAATGGCAAGGCTCTTGAACATGGTGAGCATCCTAGTCCATAATGAATTGCAGATATTGAAGATTTAGATAGAATGGAAAAAATAATATTTTTTTTGTACGCTGTGACTTTTTTGTAATGTTTACAGTTTTGTAGGTTTCATAATTTGAAGATTAAAGAACTCCCCCCCCCCCCCTAGTGAGGTGTGGAAAAAGTTAATTGTTTTATTTTTTTCTTTAGTCCTTAAGTTAGGATAAGATCCCTTTTCCTCTTTCATATTTTTTTACTATCTTATGTTTGTTATCATTATTATCATTGATTTATTGAGCTCTGAAACACTATCCACTATTATGGCCTGTTGTTCAGTATTTTCTTCTTTTTCCTTCTGAAAAAACTCATTTATTGACTTTAATTTTTTTATTTCTCCCTTTTGTGTTCTTTTTTTCTGGCCATTGGTCTTAAGTTATTTGTGTAATTCTTAGTATCCCAATGGATAACTATGATGGCTGCTTGTTTATTTTGAATATGCATGTGCCTTCGAAACAATGTTAATACCCACTAGATGGCAAGAAGAAGCTATGCATTCACACCCTCAGTAATAACACGTTCAGTCCATTGAGAATATATAATTGAAGTTTGTGTTTTATTTAGGGTCCCGTTTCAAGATGACAAGTGACTTTGGCTTTGTCACTCTGGACCTGACCGAGGTGTATGAACGTGACCAAGGCATCTACACTTGTAAGGCGTCCAACGCAGCAGGTGAAGCGTTCACGTCCACCACCATCTACTGCACCAGCAAGGCGGGACTCATCGAACAGACACAGCATCCCAAGGGTGAGGAGGGCCTGGAGAAGATCCAGACTCTGGAGGAGTCCCTCAGGAGACAAGAGGCCGGACTGCCGGAGAGTGACCTGGGACAACCACCTGTGTTCACATCGCAGGTAGGGATTGAACAGAGTGTATAGATAGCTAATGTATATGTTTTATTAGTTTATTTTTGGATTAGAAAATTCCAAAATTGTGCAGTGCTGTGATTCTGTCATAAATAGTGTAAACTTATGTTATGACATGTGGGTGAATTACCGCTTGTTCATATATCATTTCCTCGATGGATCTTTACAGTAGACTCCATCTTATCCGGACTCCTCCGGACCGAGGCCAGTCCAGATAACGGTTTTTTCGTTTAAATGGACATCCCCAAAATATCTTTAAACGGACCGTTTAAATGCATACTCTATACAGTATTTGACTTAAAATTAGGAGAGCATTGTATTTAGACACGTAATCACTGGTCTCAAATCTTTCCCACAAGAACAGTCCTTTCAGTACCGCCCACTTCCTACCAATCTAGTCCGGTTAAACCGATGTGCTGATAAAAATTATCCGGATAAAGAGATGTCACTTCTACCGAGTGTAGTCCGGTCAAACCGATGTCCGGTTAAAAGATGTCCGGATAAGAGGGAGTCTACTGTATATGAGTTGTAGAATACATTTAATGTGCGGTATTTTTTGTAGTTTTGTCAAAATGTTAAAATATAACACTTTTTTACATAATGTTTAATTTTTTCTTAAAAATCTTCGTTTACTGATTGGTGACAAAAATATTGTCATTGGTATCAGAAAGTAGGCGTTTATGATGTTAAAACTATTTTATCAACAAAAAACATTAAGCAAACTTATGCTGTATTGCAATGGTCTGGGAGTTATAAAAAGGCACATGTACACTATAGTACAATGTCATTGATTAATAACTCGCTCATTTAATCATGAATGGTCCAATGTCTTTATAAATTGTGACATTAATCCACATTTTATGTAAAAATCTGTAATTCGTCCTTAAGATTTACTTTTGAAATAGTAGTACACGTAATGACAACTCAAGTAGATGCTTGAATATTCAACTAAACTAAAATAAGAAAACCACTACTTACAAACCTCTATTTATTTGTATTGGCATTAGAATGATTTTTGTGTGAGTACTATAAACTGCTTAATCAACAACCTTTGACTAGGAAATTCTTATATTGCAGTTTGAGAAGTTGACAAACCTGAGCGAAGGAGAGATCGCTCACTTTGAAGCCTCCTTATCACCTGTTGGTGATCAGACCATGGTGGTGGAGTGGTTTTACAACGGCAAAACTTTGGAAGCAAGTAAGTTTAGAACAATTGTCATTGTATTTTCATTCTCTGGTGAAATTAATGATGATGATAATGAAATTAATGATGACTGGACTGCAGCAGTGAATTGTCAACAATTCATTTTCATTTTGTATTTGTTGTCAACTTAACTTTTTTGTTTGCCTTTTGTAGAGGAGTGATGTAGCCTATAACAATAGTCATGATATCAAGACCTAGGACAGAAATCTATTTTATTTTATTTCCAGGGTCACCAGAAACCAAAAACACTATCTATTCAAATTGTGGACATTTTTTTATACCTTGAATGTCAACACGTGGGGTGTAACATACATCTATTTAAAAATGATTTGTTACGAGAAATATTCAAGGAAAACCAATGTCTGTAAAAGGGATTTTGAAACGTTAATGGTAACAATGCCTGAAATAGTTGAATATGAATAGAGCTAGACATCTTATATGCCCATGATGAAGTTGTAGACAGTTTTAGAGTAATAATCAACTTGATTGTTTTTATTTAACCCAGACTATATGGGCAACCTTTTTGTAAAATATAACATCCTTTTATGCCATCTGAACTATTGGTAGTCTATATAGACGGGCAAATGAAAGGTTAAATGAGGCCACCAACCTCTTTTTTATTAAAAAAGTAAATAAAAACACAGTAACGCAAATTAAGGGAGAAAACAGAATTTTAGATTGAAACACACTCTGTGGATAACTCACTCATCTATGTTCTTTGTTAGTGACACATTTTACTACAGCTGGTACGATGTAAACAATATGTATTCTTTAGTATCCCAATAAGTTAGTTGTGAAATTGAAAGGTGTGACATGCAAATGTATTGTGTAGGTCACAGGACCAGGACGGTGCATGCGTTTGGCATGGTGGTGCTGGAGATCCTGGGTACTAAGATAGAGGACTCTGGCAGCTACACTTGTAGAGCCACAAACAAATGGGGCACGGCAGAGATCAGTGTGGAGCTGGAGTGTGTGGACAAGAGCAAGGGACAGAAACCACAATTTACCACACATATACAGGTATGTATCCAGTCTAGAGAAACTTGGACACAATATGAATTCAGTTAATTGACTTCTGTCATAAAAAAAAAATGGAAATCCAACCAAGATCAATGTAAAACCTGTGTACTGTTTCAGGTATTCTTCTAATGTTTGTTTTTCCTCTTGTTTATTGTTCTAACAATTCAGAAATGTTCTATAGAAATCATAATTTAAACATATTTACTTTAAAGATTAGGACTTCACTATTTTAGATATAATGCTTAAAGGAGTAAAATTAGGTATGGGAAATTAGCACAGTTTCAGCTTAGCAAATAAAAACCTGTTAATACTAGTGTTGGTTGACTTAAGAATTTATTGTAAGCGAGGACAATAGATCCCGTAGATCCCATCCTGAATATTTGTTGTGACTAAAATTAGTTTGTGTCTAGTTTTTGTAATTCTACTTTTTGAGGCTTACAATTACATTTTAATTTTTAATTCAATTCAATTCAATTAGTTTATTCACAGCAGAAGCCATTGTACAATAATACCATTACATACGGGAGATAACAAGCAATGATAAATACTAAATAATACAATAGATGAACACAAGATGCATAAGAATAGTAATACTACTAAATAGAACGAACACAAATAAGTAACAGGTGGACTCTGAACAAATGAAGCTAGCGTTACAAGAAGATATGCACGAGGATATACAGGTAACGTGCAACATGCAAAAGGCATAATAATAATACTGAAAGAGAAACAAGATGCATACAAATCATAATGTAACACTAGTCAATATAGTCATACAGCATTTAAACTCAACATAACAGAAAAAAACACAAAATTTGTAATATTGAGTTGGGAATAAATTTCACAACTAACTAGCTAAATTGTGGCTTTAGAGAAAAAAGTGTTACAACTGGGAACAATTTCTCATTTAAATAATGTGTTTTTAGAGCGTTGATGGACTGAAGGACGGAGACTCGGCTCACTTTGAATGCACTCTGATCCCAGTCGGAGACCCCAACATGAAGGTGGAGTGGTTCCACAATGGTAAACCTCTCAGACATTCTACCAGGATCAAGTCTGTATCAGACTTTGGCTTTGTTCTGCTGGACATCGCCTACACACAGAGTCACGACAGTGGTGAATACGTCTGCAAAGCAAGCAACAGGTAAAGTAGTTGATTACATACGTTAATGGAATATATGGGTGGAATATGTGGGGTAAATTAATACACATCGGTTTGTTGGGCGGAAAATAAATGTTTCAACCTATTGCAAAAAGATGTTTGATCTGCTTTTTTTTAACGAGAACTGTTTATTGGAATGTTAGTTATTATAGAACACAAGACCAGAAACTGCTCAAGCACCCACTTTACCCCACATTTACATTCATGTTTGGAGAACTAATGTTCGTTCATGGCTGTAGTCATTGTAAACTGTGCCATGTTTTTAACACTTACTTTGAAGATGCATACTTTTAGTTTAGCCATCGAGGATGTCTCTTCAAAGTAAGGAAATAATGTGTGGCAGTAATCTCCAATAGACATGATTGATGCAGAAAACTGTATGAATTAGGTTAATTTATTTCAATTAGTAAAAAATGTAACAAATGTGAAGGAATTTAGGGCCAAAGGTTGGTAATAATTAAGACTTTGATATACATAACTGGCTCTTTTATGGAGGTGAAGGTTGTAACTTTGTGTCTGTCCTAGGTATGGTGAAGACTACACCAAGGCTACCGTCCGGTGTGTAGGCAAGGGAGGAGTGTATCTGGACACTCTCCAGCCCGACTCTCTGGCCCGTATTCGGGAACTCGAGTTGGGAGCAACTCCTTCTCAGGTATTTATCATATATTTATTTTATTTAGAACAGGGTGTACGCCCTTAGTTCAGGAGAAACACATCGTTTGTAACAGTATTATAGCTTATGTAGATTTCTGGGAATGTTTCTTAATGAGTATGTTCGTCAATAAATTTTAATTTCAAATTTTGTCGTTTTGACTAAACTAAAAACAACAACAACAAAAGGGGGGGGGGGGAAAGGGAAAATGGTAAAAATTGAATTTAGTTTTTGTTGTTTTGGTTAAAATAAGGTGTTCTTGTACAGTTTTTTTCTGTCCTTTACAAATTGAGCAAGATTATGTTAACAAGACCATTTTGGAAAAAAAATTTAACAATTGGCTTCAATAGTCTGAAACTAAGCACTATTCTGTTAAATGCATAAAGCTTTGTATATATAGTTATTTTGCAGTTTTTGAGGAGTTATTTTTTATTTTTACTAGAATGTTTTAAATAACCAGAATATAGACTTTTTTTTAACAGACCTTAGTGTCACTCAGTGTAACAAGATTATATAAACAAGCTTAGCAATCAAAGAGTGATTCTCCTTGAAACTGAAAGCTACTTTTAACTGCTATTAGTACACCTATATGTATTTACTTAGCTTATCATTTTGTTAGATCATTGAGGTTTAGTAGATAGTCAATATTTTGTTCTAACGATGTCTGTTCTCACCAGATACCAACGTCACCAGTCCTGGAGCCACCCAAGTTTATCACACAGATCAAGGAGGTGGTGAATCTCAAGGAGGGACAGAGCGCTCACTTTGAGGCCCGTCTCACTCCAATCCACGACCCGGACCTGGTGGTTAGTATAAAACACATCTAGTAGCATGTTAGTGCTGCCTTATAGGCTACTCCTATCAGCTCTCTTTGCTGTCTCCTATAAGTAGTGTACACAGTTGATGAGAAAGTTTGTCTCATTAATTACTTTAAACATTGTATTTAGACAGTTTCTAAAAACTTGTATTTAAAAGTACTCATCAAGGGAGGTTCAATTTAAATTTGATACGCACGGCTTTTCACTTGCTTAAAACATTGGACCTTTGTCCTGGAGCCTAGTTCCATATCAATGGATTTAAAAACAATTTAATGACTCAGAGATTCAATTTCTCCCTTCATCTGTTAAAAATATACCTATACATCCCTCAAGTCAGAACAGCTTGCTGAATTGAACAATATTCAAGATACAATATTATTTAATTATTGGTGGTAATATATTGGTGAGTCAGTGGCTCAGTTGGTAGCGTCACAGACTTCAGGCCCAAGGCAGTGATGTCGTCCTGGTCACTGCCACAAAAATTTTATCAGTACAGTTCACCTTTGTACTGTACCGGCTCACCCCTTGCTTTGCTGGATATGTTCCACGCACAGATCTGTAGTCTATGTGGACAGGCAAATGCAAGGTTAAAAGAGGAGAGGCCACCAACCTCTTTATATAAAAAAAAATAAAAAAAATAATAATGAGAGTGACATTTTGTAATATTTTGATTATTCACACGTTGTTCACATTTTACTCTACTTATTACTAACTAATGTTTCACAGGTTGAATGGTATTTCAATGGCAAGAAACTGCCACATGGCCACCGTTACCGTACATTCCACGACTTTGGCATCGTCATCCTCGACATTCTGTACTGCTACGAAGAGAACTCTGGCGAGTACGAGTGTCGCGCTGTCAACAAGGTCGGCCAAGACTCTACCAAGGCTTCTCTCAAGTGTTCCAGCAAAGCCAGTCTTATTTTGGAGAGCCAACTGCCCCAGGTAGGTTGAAATACCTAACTGTCTAATTAGCAATGTTAAATTAGTGTTGGTGGTGGCCAAAACCATTAGCGAACCTAAAGAAGCAGTTATCCACGGTTCCTGTGCAAAATGCTTGTGTTCATGTAAGATATAACAACCTTAAAACTCAATTCCTTTTATTATTCTTCCTAAGAAGTAAAAAAAAAGCAATTTTAATTTTTAACTCTGAAGGGAAAAAATTTATTGATTTGATACCCTTAGAGTAGGGATGGACGAGATTGGATTTTTAGTTCGAGACGAGACGAGACGAGATTTTTTATTTCTCATAAACTTTCGAGACGAGATCGAGACGGGATTTCCCTTCTCATACACAACGGGAAATGCACGTTCAAAATTTTTACCTGATTTTGTAACATTGTTAGATGACTGTTTAAATACAAAAATAATGATAATAGGCAAGAATATTTACAATCTTTTATTAAAAAACATCAGCATAACATTTTTTTATTAATCACGCCTAACTTATTAAAAATGCCTACGATTCGGAAACATAGTGATATCAGTTAGGATAGAGTTCAACTTATCCTAAAATAAAATAAATCATAAAATAAAAGCAATATTAATTTTTATAAAATAGTTAGGTACTTGTTTTGACTTTTTATAGTAATAAACATTCCTCACACTGCTTACATTTAACAAAACTTCTCAAATGTTATTAAAGTAATATTATTAAAATAATTAAAGTAATATTTACATTTAAAGAATTAATTAAGTAAGAACGCCTTCGCAAAGGAAACGCAACTACAACACACTCCTGTATTGCAGGTATTGCATTGACTTTCTGCAGCCGTTTTAAATTTTTTTTAATTTTTTTTTATTCTCATCTCGATAAAAATCTCGGCCAAAAAGAAATCTCGTCTCGTGTAACGAGATTTAAAATTTCCCGAAATTTCGAGACTTGACCATCCCTACCTTAGAGGTATTGAGATACCTGTAGGCATTTTGGATTTAAATATCCTTAATCCATCACATACTCTGTATCAGTTCACTTAGTTGAAACTCCAGAGAAATTGCCATAAATTGTCAAGTGATACTTAATTTTTATTATTGAATTAACGACAGTAAAAATCTTACAGGACCTTTATAAAATATTAAACCATAAGTATTTGTTAAACATTATTCTTAAAGGTCTTATTTCCTAATGAAATAAAGACAGATATCCCTTTAGTAGGGATCCACAAATTTAAAATTTAAATGTTTTAATTAAAACCCCCAGATTTAATTCCAAACAATTTTCCCCCATTAATTTTACATTACGATCATATTGCATGTATAATGTTAGAATGAAACAAATGTAAAATGTAACTCACCTCGCAGAAAAGTATATGAATTTTAATACTTTAACCAGGGAATGGAAGGTGGTTTGGAGAAGATTCAGACCCTGGAAGACTCGTTGATCCGACAGAGGGATGAGAAGTCGTCAGAAGAGAGGGGGCAAGCTCCCGTGTTCACTGTACCTCTGGCTAACATTGAAAGTCTACGTGAGGGCGAGAGTGCTCACTTTGAGGGTCGCCTCACACCCACCAACGACCCCAGGCTTAAGGTGAGAATACCAATAAAACGTCGATACCTCAGTCGATTTTCCTTGTCGGCGATTATGAAATAGTTTCACCCTTCTCAGGAAATTACTTCTAAGTAGGCCTACATGAACCATCTATTTTTTAGTCCAAAGATATATTCTTTGGGATATAATGGAAAACAGAAATAACCTGTTTATTTAGCTAAGACACTTTTCAAACTAAATAAACAGGTTATTTTACCTCAGATTCTCTCTGTATATAATTAGGATATAGTTTCTATCAAATCGCTAAGTGCAGGACTATGTATTCTCAGAAACTGAGGGATTCTACTTGGCCACTATTGTTATCAGCTTATCATTATTTGTAGATGTTTTCTGTTTTCTATAAAGTCTAAACTATTTCTAATCAATTGATGTTTTAGCAAACTGTGTAAGCACACTGATTGTTTATTTTAGGTTGAGTGGTTCTGGAACGGTAAACCACTGAAGACCGGCTCAAGGTTCCGCACTTTCTGTGACTTTGGCTTTGTCATTCTTGAGATATCTCCGGTGTACCCTGAGGACTCTGGAGAGTACTCTTGCAGAGCATTCAACGAGTATGGAGAAGCTGTCACTACTGCCTCCATGAAAGTACAAGGTAATCTATGTTCTCACTACAAGTTCTCATGTTAAAGTAAATGTATTTTTACCACACTACGGTACACAGTAAGCAGCTGGTTTCTACTATTTAAACTTCATATTTTAATTACCTTGACATATTTTTATCAAATGAAGCCTCTTACACCCAGTGTGCCGCTTTTAGATTTTAAAAGTCTAGCTTTTCCTTATTAGCTTAAGTTTTATTTAGTGAAATGAGTTATATGTTGTCAGATGATGGTTGTTAGTTAATTTCTTTGTCAGTTATTTTATTACGGTGAACAAATTGATAAGAAAAATGTCTAACTATTATTTCTATGTTTATTGTGTCTATTCCAATCTTAAAAACCAATAAGCTATTTAATTATGCTTGATTTAATTTAATCATCAGGTTGACTCATTGAGCTTGTAAGGACAACATCGATCCAAGTATTACTTCAATTGACCTTATTCAACGTACATTAAATTACTTAGCATTTAAATACTTATATTTCAGGCAAACGCAGTATCGTTTTGGAATCACAGCTGCCCAAGGGTATGGAGGGCACCATTGACAAGATAGCTGAGCTGGAAGGTCTGGGACAAGCGCCCTCCGACCTGACACCGGACGCAGACTCCGGTAAACCACCGGAGTTCATCACCACACCAGCTGACCTGACCCTGGCCGAGAACCAGCTGGCACACTTTGAATGTCGTCTGACGCCGGTCAACGACCCCAGCATGAGAGTGGAGTGGTACCACAACGGAAAACCACTGTGGGCCGGCTCACGTGTCAAGACTATCAACGACTTTGGGTTCGTCATACTTGAGATTGCCGGTTGCTACATCAGGGAGTCCGGATTGTACACTTGCAAGGTGAGTCAGGAAGAGGGTGAGAACTGTAATAAATTCTGGTGAGGTATTGTGTGAGTTATTACTTCATTTAGTGTCCATTAATAGCCTACTTAAAAAAATGATTACCAAACTTAAAAAAAACCTATTAAAAAATCATTCTTCTTTTATTTAGTGTTGTGTATTAAAAATAACATATTTTAAAACTATTAATGAAAAGTCCAAGTGTTTCTTGTTTTTAGTTATTTTAGCAAGCCTTCATTCAATACAGATTTCTTTTTATAAAAGAAAGCAGGATTTTTAGGAGGTTTGTGAGGTTATTGAGTGTCTCACTACCCCATGAAGAAAAGAGTGTGTAACTTCTGAAGAAAATGCAAAGAGCTGTTGGAGTTTAATGAGTAGTGTTAAAGTGATACAGTGATGACAGTGACAGTAGTTTTGTTTATTTGTGCTATCTACGCCACTGTAAGGGAATGGATTGAACTACATGATGTCAACCTGTTGTTAGATAGCATTATTGATGGTATGATTGTTGTGCAGGCCACCAACAAGCACGGTGAGGCGTCAGTGTCGTGTAAGCTACAGGTTCACGGCCGCCAAGGTATCATCATGGAGCCTCAGCTGCCCTCCAACTTCCGCACAGGCACTGAGAGTCTGCAGAAGTTAGAAGAGTCTCTGTACAAGCGGGAGGAGATCCAGCCCGACGCTGAGGAGGCCAAGCCGCCCAAGTTCATTGTTGAACTCAAGGTTAGTGTCAATAAATCAATCAATAATTTTTTTTCAGAACGTACAGACACATCATACATGAATGTGTCAATATGTTTGGATTTCTGTCTTGTTTGTTCGATGTGTGGATTTCTGTTGTCACTTATGTTTTGGAACATCTTTCAGAAAAATCTAAATGCAGGTAATTCAGTCCTAGTTTGCACGATTTTACATATAAAGATATTCAACATCGATAGGAATAACTTTGCTGTTTAAAACATTAAAATAACAGGAGTAAAAAGAACAAAGTTGAAGGTCTTGTTTGAAGGAGCTGGGAAATTTATATTTTCCTCCCATAGCGTCAGTTGTTTGTAGTTTGGTTAAAACAGGGGTTAATAAACACTCAAGTAACATTAAAATGACTATTAGGGGTAAAAAGGAAATTTTAATATATCCTTTACAAAAAAATAGACAAGAAATGACAAACAATTTTCAATATTAAGTATTTTTTACATTTTCCTCAGATATGTTTTTTTTTTACATAATAATTTGTAAGTGACATGTTATGCCAAGCTATAATGAGCATTTTTACTCAAGTCAAAATATCTGGTTAGGACACGGAAGTGACAGAAGCAACTGCTGCTCATTTCGATTGCCGAGTGGAGCCTGTCGGTGACTCGTCTATGCGTATCGACTGGTTCTTCAACGGCAGACCGTTTGCAACCGGCTCCCGAGTACACATGCTCAACGACTTTGGCTTCATAGTGCTCGACATGGACTACGTCTACGCTCGAGACTCTGGCGAATACATCTGTCGTGCCACCAACAAATGGGGCACGGCCACCACCAAAGCCAAGCTCACTGTCAAAGGTATTGTGGATTGTTTGTAAATCTTGTATTATGAAAAATAAATCCAATTTAAAATGTAATATAAATCAGTATGATGATGGTTAAATAGAAATAAAGTAGACTTTATTTAGTTTAGACACTTTGGGACCGAATCCTTGTTAAAAATAAACTGAGTCTGAACCGATAGAAATTAATAGAAGAGTTGAATGGAAATGCAGCTCATGCACAGATCTGAATCATAGGGAGAGGACTACTATTTGGTCTCATACACTGTTCCCTCTAAATTAGGGATGGGTCAAGTCAGTTGTTGGTTTTACCGGTTTTTGCAAAGAATCCATAACCGAGGATGGATGGAAAATGTCTGCTTCAGTTGATTGGCTGTCAAGCAATAATTTATCTCATGATGGGTTAGCCTCTGGATCGTAAATTGCAATATAAAAATGGTTTATTTTACCTTTTTGCGTCGAACGATCCGTGTGTAGTTAGTACAACTACAGCTGTTTCATACCACTAGGGTACATCATCAGGTTGTTGGCAGAACGTTAGATAAAACAGCATTCATTCATAGATGAACTTGTCGAAATAAATATGTCTATATATACACATAATACACAAAAACATTTAAAAAACACGAATTTACGGACTTGGCCAAGTAACGAACACACGAGACAGGCGCCGATGGATGTTGCGTCATGACTGCTGTCGTGTGATGCCCGAGCTTTTACATCGGCCAAACTGCTCGCTCTTTCGCTACTAGGTTTAAAGAACACCTACCCAAAAAGAACTCGAAATCAGCATTTGCCAACCACATAATTAACGCAAACCACAACTACACGGACATACATAGTAATCTAGAAATTATGCATTTATGTACTAAAGGCAGATACATGGACACAATAGAGGAGTTCGAAATATACAAGGCATCCAAAGAACACCCTGACCATATATTGAACGAAAAAATTTCATTCAGATCTAATATCATCTACAATACTGCCATTCATTTAAACCAAAACAAAACTGGTCCTGATAAAGGAGTTGGGGGGGAGGGGTAACAGCTGATGCTTGGACACACGACAGCAGTCATGACGCAACATCCATCGGCGCCTGTCTCGTGTGTTCGTTACTTGGACAAGTCCGTAAATTTGTGTTTTTTAAATGTTTTTCGTGTATTATGTGTATATAGACATATTTATTTCGACAAGTTCATCTATGAATGAATGCTGTTTTATCTAACGTTCTGCCAACAACCTGATGATGTACCCTAGTGGTATGAAAAAGCTGTAGTTGTACTAACCACACACGGATCGTTCGACGCAAAAAGGTAAAATAAACCATTTTTATATAATAATTTATCTGCGATCCTGTGACTCAGTTGCAACATCTATCATCAATTTAATATTTTGTTTCATACACAGTGAAACAAGACATCGTGGTAGACTCGCAACTGCCGAAGGGCATGAGTGGGGAGAAACTGAAGGAGTTGGAGAGAGGACACATTCCAGACGAGAAGCCAGAAGAGAAACTCCCAGCTGAGCCTCCTAGATTCATAACACAGGTTGGTTTTGTATTCAAAACCTGGCATTCTTATCTAATGATCTGTTTCTCTCTATCTATTACCTTGTTATATTTGGCAGTATTCTTAATTTATTAAGTTTTATTACCAGACTTTTCAACCAAGGCATGTTTTTCTCTGTAGATCGAGTCGGTGGGAGTAGGAGAGGCAGAGCCGGTCCACTTTGAGTGTCGCGTCGAGCCCAAGAAGGACCCTAGCCTGAGGATAGAGTGGTACCGCAACGGAAAACTGCTGCCAACTGGGCATCGGTACCGCAGGTTAGTAGTCTATTTATATTATTCTTTGAGTTGGTTCTTTGTTAGATGTGATTTATTAAGTTTGAGAACAGATTTTATTAGGCCTATTTCTCCCAATCGTCCTAACATACCTTAGTTTAAAAAGCAACTTAATAAAAAAAAATCAGAAATAATACTGTTGCTCAAAACGTAGTTTTTTTTTGTTTTAATCATAGCGTTATCTGGCATCTAAAATCTAATCCATACATAGATATGAATCTAAATATAGATTGTAATGCAAAATCACTTTCAGGATCATTATACTTTATCTACTACTTCAGTTAAAGAACAATAAACATGTGTTTTTAAGTGATGATGATGTTTAAATGATAGTTTGTACTAGAATGTTTTACTATGTTGTACAGCTTGTTTGACTTGGGCTACGTGTCCCTGGACATCCTGTATGTCTACCCAGAAGACTCTGGAGATTACGTCTGCAAGGCCATCAACGATTACGGAGAGGACACTACCAAAGCCACAATTCAATGCAAGAGTAAGTTGAACTTAATCTCTTCAGTTTTCTTTAATTATCATTCAACAATTTTATGGCCATACTAGTTTTGACTGTAGTAAGAAAAAAAATTAATTAGATATACTTCATGGTGATTCATCTGGGCTAGACCTTGATGTCTGGGTGAAGTAATATGCCTGACAAATACTTAGAAAAAAATTTTACACTCATGGAAATGCTGATTTTTAATTCTGCCACAGTTGCTTACAATAATCTATTTATTGCCCAAACATCCTAAAATGTAGTGGCTTAGTGGTTGCTCATATAAGAGGAAATATCTCAAAGATTTAAAACACTTATTAATTCTCACCCGACAATACATTTATGCGAGGATGCCTGATTATGCGGCCTTCTAATATTGTCTGTGACTCTGTATGTTACCTTACTTATACCGTCGGTTATGTTACCATGTGTTTTCTACTTTAAGACACAGATTTCTGACGTGCTGCTAATAAAACATTTAATATTAATTGTTGACTTTGTTTTCCACAGAAATTCCCCAAATTATTCTTCAAAGCCAGGTGCCAAAGGGCATGAAGCGCTCAGAGGCTTTGATGCAGATGGAGGCCACCATCAAGAAGTACACTTCTGAGGTCCATCTGACAGAGGATGACCTGTATGAGCCGGAGAAGAAACAACCTCCAAGGTAGGCCTACTTACTGTATTACTGCTTTGTTTAAACACAGATTGATATGAAATATTTACAGTCAATTTAATTATTAAATAATTTTAATATTACATTTTCTAATGCATTATGGCATTTTTCATTATCTTTAACCATACTTCCACTGGCAGTATTGGCACTAAGACCATGTTTTGTGTTATTTTTCATGTTTCTACCTGTATATTGAGTGAAATTTTCAATAAATTAATTGTGTTCACTCTTTTAAAATATACATTTAATTTCATGACTTCAATGTCAAGTATATATTTTTTTTCCTTTTGTAATTTTTGTTATGTAATGTGAATATATTGTACATATTTCATAAGTTTTAATTTCAGATTATAGGATTAGGCCGTTTGTATTAGTATTAGGATTAGTAGACAATTGTTATTCAGAAAATCTGATGTTTCAGAGGAAAACTAGTAAATAAAGAGATTGTAATTCATTAATTTATTATTGTTGTTAATTTTGGTATGTTTGCCAGATTTGTGACCCAGATTGAAGACCAAACCAGCCTGGTGGAAATGCAGACGACCAAGTTTGAGTGCCAGCTCGCCCCGGTGGGAGACCCTAACATGAAGGTGGAGTGGTTCCTCAACGGCAAACCTCTCCCTTACAGTGAGTATTGTACAAAAGAAAATCATTCTTCTGAGAGAATAGCTAGAGATTTATTTAGTAAATGTGATGTCAAGAAAACAAATGTTGGTTTTGTATGACCAAACAAAAAAACTATTGTGACCATTGAAGATAAATAACCGATAGGGCAAAATATCATCTTGGACTGTGGATAGAAATTGACATTTCATTCCAACATTTAGATTGTTAGCAGTTTTTGAATGAAAATTAATTTGTTTAAATTGAGCCACTGAGGGAGGATGATGATGTAAATTACTGATTTTTGTCGGATATGCAAATGTTTTAACAAAACAAACTGAAAGGACCGCTCTTTGTAAGGTAAACCATCTTGTTTGTCACATCAACTATCACAGTAACAAAGACTAAAGAATAAATTTTAATTTGATACTATAGCACGATCTCTCAGTGACTCTGTCAATATATTATTTTTAAATAAGAATTGACTAAGCCTATACCTGGTTCAAAATAATATATATAATACATAAATAGGATGTTCACTTCAGTATCCAAAAGTCAATGGTAGTATACTGTTAAATTTGTATGTTTTTAATTATTGGTGGGACCTAAAGTTTTCTTTAGCTTCTCTAGGAACAATTAACAGGCTTTTTAAAAACACAAACGTAGTGACATTAACTAATAATTAATTAATTATTAGTGTATAGGATTTTTTGTAAGGATATCAGGCTTACCTGAATGGTAAAGAGTCCAAGCTGGCACCAGAGACAGTAAAGTTTACACTATATAGGCTACACAATACATTAGAATATTTCACTGTCATTCACAGCATTTTCAACTAAGGAAGAGAGAGCACCTCTTCTCTCAGTGACAGTAAACATTCCAATGGTTTGTGTATATACTGTAAGGTTTTGTGTCTCTTGTGCCAGTTTGGACTCTTTCCCATTCAGCTATGCCTGCTATCCTACCAAAAGTTTCGAAAAACCTAGGCCCTTGTGCTCTATGTTACACACTTAACCTCGAGTCATTAGTTTACTTGTACACATTATAAATCATAAATTACAACATGTTTTCATTTAAATAACTATGCTTGTTTTACAGAGAACCGTTTCACGCCAATCTACGATTTTGGATATGTTGCAATGAACTTTGGCTGGGTCTACCCTGAGGACAGTGGAGAATACTTGTGCAGAGCTACCAACCTGTACGGCATGGATGAGACTAGAGCCACCATCAAGACCACTGGCAAGCCTGGTATCATCTATGACAGCCAGCTGCCGAAGGGTATGAACAGCATCGAGCGCATCAGAGAACTGGAGGCTATTTCGTAAGTCCGCATGGTGTTTGTAGAGTAATAGAATTTTATGTAATTTAAGGGATGATTATGAACTATTCTCCATCACGATAAGTAAATACAAAGTTTTCTTAACATTTTGGACTCTAGAATCTGATCCTTATCCTGTCCTTAGGTGAGAACTGTTCCAGTTTGGCTTGAAAATATTGTACTCGTCAAAAATTAGTTATAACATCGACACACTTTGTAAGTGGCTCAAATAAACTGCATTCATTTTCATTCTAAAACTGTCTACAGCTTTATCATAGCAATGATTTTTTAGCCCTATTTATAATATAGTCAAAGAAATTTTGCAGGATATCAAGACTCACTTGATAAACACCCCTTAAATGAAATCAAATTAAATTGTAGAAGTATTTTATTTCATTCATGTTTTTGTTTCAAGGATCCCAGACGAGGTGGAGGAAGGTGAGAAGCAGAAGGAGAAGCCAGTGTTTGTGACCAAGCCTGAGCCATACACCACGGCGGAGGGTGAACCAGCCAGGTTCTGCTGCAGAGTGACAGGCTTCCCTCGGCCTCGCGTCATGTGGCTCATCAACGGCCACACTGTAGTCAATGTGAGTAAACATCAACTTTGGAATACTTCTGAGATCTATTTACACGAAAGGAACTTGAAAGGAGGTTTGAGTTTTTAAATGATCACTAGCCTATCCTCTTAAATCACTAGAAGAAAGAAAGAAAAAGAAGAAAAAGAAGAAAAAGAAAGAAAATATCACACTTTACAAAAAAAGAAAGTAACAGTATAAATAAACCTTGATTTTAAACACCTATGTTGTTTTTGGTACAGTATAATATCCTTTTTGTGAAATAACATAGTTTATGTTCAAAAATATACATGTAAGTTTGAAAACAAAGAAATTGTTTAAAAATACTTTTAACATGTGGTGGGGGAGCGGGCAACTTGGCACATACATTCAACTAAATTCACTTAACATACTTAAAACATTTATGCAATGAAATAATAGGATGAAAGAAATACCTTATTATAGAGTGTCTTTTCAAAGCTATACTTTCTTATTCATTCTCATCTATATTTCCAAGTGGCTTTCAAATAGCTGTTAAATATACAGATTTTTCTTGTTAATGATGGTTCCTTGACAAATTTTTCTCTTAAGTTCTGGAAAACAAGATGTGTGGCTATGAAGTAAAATAATATTTTATTTCCTTTATCAATATTTACTACTTATAACCTTATCTTTGCAAAAGCCAACTAAAATGTCGCCAAACCGAAGTTGACACAATTGCTTCATTCTGTCGCAGGGCATGAGGTACCGACTAACATACGACGGCATGTGGCACTTGGATATCCCCAAGACACGCCAGTACGACCACGGCAAAATTGAGGTGGTCGCTCGTAACAGCTCGGGCGAGACCAGGGTGGAGACTACGCTCACTGTGAAGGCGAGGGGTGACGACTACCGTGGCGTACTCAAGAACTCTCCCAGACGTGAGTCTTATCATATAAGTTACAGGTGGTGTTACGCTGTAGACCATCTTGTGGTGGCTGAACAACTGCCAAATAGGTGAAAAGTCTAAATTTAAGCTAATTGATCCGACTTAAGAAAAATAAAGAGAATTCTAAAACTAATTAGTTTACTCTAAGCTCTAACATAATATTGATACAATTCAAGACATTTTTAATGAAGATCAACTTTAAATGGCCTAACAGCTTAAGAAGGATGGAAACTTCATTAAAATAATTCATTTGAACGCACTAATTTTCTCTAAACTTGTGCATTTGGCTACAAGAGTTAATACACTTTAGTTGAAGATTTACACACAAACACTATTTCTTATTCCTACTCTTTTCAGTAGTTGTTCAGCCAAGCGAAGAAAGACATGGTCATCATAGATTAGTATATCTATCAATTTATTAGATGACTAGAATTTGTGAAATAACATGACTCTTTTGGCACTCACATAATCGCTATACTCTACTTTGTGCTATCTCTACAAGCAAGCTCACCAAAACTCAACTTAACACAACCTGGTTTGACATTCACTAAACCAGCAATGCGATGCAACGCACACACCAAGTGCATTTCACTAACTGTTTCTACAGTTTCATAACCCTTCTGATCTTATAAGCATGGAGCTGCTGAAAGGGCCTAAATCGAGATGGGGCCCTTTTTAAGGAGGCTTCATAATCATCTTTTTTGTTGGAAAACAAGTAACAACTTTGGGAGACACTTGTTTTCAAATTCAAAATCAAACCACTAAATCAATTACACTGTAATTTTGGTAAATATCGATTGAAAAACTATTTGTTTGCACACTTGGTACTTCACAGCCATCACTAAACAGTTTCAGTTTGTTAGTGAAATGCCCTTGGACAGTAACACCGCCATCTAACACGTTTCATCCACTGACACACATCCCACATTTCCCTCCCTCCCCCCCTAGCCGCTGCTTCTCTAATGGTTGCGTGCTGCGCTGCCGACGGCCCTGTCACCGTCATTGGCTAATGATTTGCGTCTTCGTTTCCTCTGCTTTCACCCAGGTATGACGACAAGATAGTTGCCAGGTATGAAATTAAATCTTATAAATAAATATGTTTGTCGTAATTTTGTCGTTCTCCCTACAAATTTTCTTGGCATGCCCCTCTCCTGCTGACCAAGGTTTTGCTTGCTCCTTGCTATAATTTGTATTATGGTGGTGGGCGTTCTTCCATGTATTGTGGCATTGTTAGAAAATGTGATTTCTAAGAGGTAATTCTTTGATTTAATTTATAAACAAAAATTCAGTCATTAGTTTGGCTAATTTCACAGTTATTTGTTGTAAGCAGCACTCAGCAGTGGTATTATTATTGTTTGATACCGAAAAAAATTGTCTCATTATTTTAAATGAGCATTTTACCTTTTACAACCAAACCCAATAAATATTTCAGTAAATAAATGTAAAACTTGAAATATGTAAAAAAAATTAAAATTGATAACAACTTGAAAACATTGTTATAGTCCAGGAGCTGAGGGGGGTTGAGCATGCATGAAAGTAGTACGCAATGTTATTGCTGATTATTGTAATATGGACTGTGGTGATCAAAATTACGTATGTCGCCTATTTCAAAAGTGGTCGATAAGGTGGGGGGGAGGGGGCAAACATGGCGGTTTGCGCTATGCGTTAAAACGCTGATAGTTCGAAAACGGTAAAAGATAGAACATCGGTTAAAACGTCGTTGTAATCCTAAAAATGTGGACAACAATAATGGTTATTGGGTCCGAGGTCGTATCTCTATAAATAAACAAGTTATTGTATAAAATATGTAAAAATGGACTTTTCATGTAGATTTTTTACCGAAAGTAGAATTAATTTGTGAGTGTCGCAAAGAAGTAATATCAAATATCTTTGCTGATAGTTGTAATATGGACTGTGGTGATACAAAATACGCATGTCGCCTACTTTTCAGGGGGTTGAGAACTTGGGGGGAGGGGGGCAAAGATGGCGGAACGCGCTATACATCGAAATGACTGTAGCTCGAGAACTGTAGGAGATAGGACATCGGTTAAAACGTAGTTTTAATCCAAAAAATATTACCAATAGAAAAGGTCATTGGGTAAAAAGTCGTATCTTAACTAATAAAAAAGTTATAACAATAATAAGTTTAACAAAATCTACATCGTACAGCTATTTTTTTCGAAAATCGTATGGATTGTTGATAAATAATAGTGTAATTACTTAATTACTCGGCTAAATATTAACTAGATGCATTTTCTTATAAGAAAAAAATATTTTATTACGAATACATTTGGTTTAAAATGTAAAACACGGCCTCCAAACTACATATAATACTTGGGGTTTCGCCGCAATCAAATGCATAATACAGACTACCACTACAAATTCAATTTTAATTATTATAATGTTGTAGGTTATTACAATATGATTATGTAACAGATTCTTATTTAATACAGTTATATGAAATAAAAAAACATTACTACAAAAGTAAATACCTTATAATAAAAAATACGGCAAATCTCTTCATTCTATCCATAACAATTACACTGGTTGTTCATATTATTTGTTGAATTTAAATAGGTACCTTTTTAATTTCTCTTAGCACCTGTAATACAAATAAAAAATTATAAATATTTTCTTTGATACAAATGTATATACATCTATATATAATTAATGAATGAGAGCGGTCAAGAAATTTAATGTTTATGGTGTTTATATTTACAATGGAATTAAACTACTAGCCTATATATTATATTTCATATTTAATTATTATCTTATTTGTTTGATTATTTATTTATCATTATTTCATTTATATACTCAGTGTATAATGAAATACAAAATACAAGCAATCATTATTTTAAAAACAGCATCAATTATAACGCAACCTAACGGGCGAACCCCAAGGCGTTTGGAGGCCGTGTTTTACATTTTAAACCATATGTATTCGTAATAATATATTTTTTTCTTATAAGAAAATGCATCTAGTTAATATTTAGCCGAGTAATTAAGTAATTACACTATTATTTATCAACAATCCATACGATTTTCGAAAAAAATAGCTGTACGATGTAGATTTTGTTAAACTTATTATTGTTATAACTTTTTTATTAGTTAAGATACGACTTTTTACCCAATGACCTTTTCTATTGGTAATATTTTTTGGATTAAAACTACGTTTTAACCGATGTCCTATCTCGTACAGTTCTCGAGCTACAGTCATTTCGATGTATAGCGCGTTCCGCCATCTTTGCCCCCCTCCCCCCAAGTTCTCGACCACCTGAAAAGTAGGCGACATGCGTATTTTGTATCACCACAGTCCATATTACAACTATCAGCAAAGATATTTGATATTACTTCTTTGCGACACTCACAAATTAATTCTACTTTCGGTAAAAAAAACTACACGAAAAGTCCATTTTTACATATTTTATACAATAACTTGTTTATTTATAGAGATACGACCTCGGACCCAATAACCATTATTGTTGTCCACATTTTTAGGATTACAACGACGTTTTAACCGATGTTCTATCTTTTACCGTTTCCGAACTATCAGCGTTTTAACGCATAGCGCAAACCGCCATGTTTGCCCCCTCCCCCCCACCTTATCGACCACTTTTGAAATAGGCGACATACGTAATTTTGATCACCACAGTCCATATTACAATAATCAGCAATAACATTGCGTACTACTTTCATGCATGCTCAACCCCCCTCAGCTCCTGGACTATTACTATAAACTACATTTTCTATCGTCATAACAAATTTTTGTTTTTATTTGTTTTTGTGGCTAGGCACCTATATTATTTTTGGTCATTTATGAGATACAGTAAGTTTTGCTTCATATTGGTTATGTATGGTTTAGTTTTTGTATCCCTTCCCTTCTTGTTATTTCTAACTTTTTATCATATTTTGACTCAATTTTCACATCTCTTTTAATAGTAATCAATATAATTCAGGAAAACCTAGGAATGTATTTTACAGAAAACTCATAGAACACACGAATTTTGGAATAAAAGTCACTTTGATTAACTTGCAAAAAAAAGTGTAAACTAAACTACCAATTTTAAAAACTCATTTTTAAAACTTCTTAACTATACAATTTCCAATCAGTATTATTATTCAATTATCTAACACAACTAGTAAATATTTTCAATATTGAGGTTTCTGATTTATTGTTGTATTAACCTTCCGTCGGACGCATTGATTTTCAAAAACCAAAGGGCGATCATGGAAGTTACTTCCGGGAGTACAAAAACTTTACATTGATGAGTAGAAAACATATTAATAACTATAAAACTGTATGAAAAACATTTGTTATGAGTTATTACACTATTACTTCAATTGTATATCAAATAGAAAATGTTATAATAAAAAATAAAAATACATAAGTGTCGTGGATAAAAAACATTTACTTTTTGTAACATAGTTCGGCCGCTTAGAAAGCGACCTCCTCCAGCATTGCTTTAGCATTAGCACGCAGGTCGTTTTCTAAGCGGCCGAACTATAATGCAGTACTATCGTATATTAGAACACAATTTGAATATTGTATGACATAAACACATGTATATGGTCTAATAAAATAATAGTTTTGTACAAGGACAACTCATTCAATCAAAGCTCTTAGACAAAAATTGCATCAGTGTATGACACCTATGGTATTATGAAAAGAGATATTTCATAAGGACTTTGTCAAGGCTCTTTAGAAAAAAATGCAATGGTGTTTGAAATAAAATACCTATTGTATTATGCAAAAAATCATTTGTTAGAAGGACTACACATTTTGTCAAAGCTCTTTTTCTTGAAAAAAAAACGGTTTCCGATCTCACGCACCATTAGTTCTTTCTATTAAATGTTGTTCCTTGTCTTCCCTTTCAACACTAACCAACAATCTCGCAATTAGTTCTTCTTCATCCATTTTATAATATTGCTAAATAAGGTCAAACACAAGGGCGTACACGGAACTAGGCTCCGGGAAACCCGTTGCATCACAGGGCGCTCACGGAAGCTACTTCCAGTAGTGACACAAATCACTCCCCAAGGTCGGCTGACAACTGGGAAAGGGGTAAGATAGTAAAAAACCGATTCAGCAAAAAAGGTTCGTGAGGTAAATCAGACCACAGCCCTGCCGGACACATACTATGGTTTTCTTAACGAAAAAAGTAGTGACCCGGAGGTAACCTCTGTGATGCGCCCGATGAAAGGTTAAAAAATTCAAAATTTAAACTGTAGAGAAGGACATAGCCTACAAACAACACCTGTAGATAATTGACCGTACACAGTTGATAATTTGAATATCTTGCTTGCATGTATGTTTGTATGACTGTGTAGTAATATGAAATGCTAATGTGAAAAGTGTTAAGTTTTTATAAAGTTTTGCCGAGTAAAAATTATTTCCGTGTTACTAACAATTTTATTAAATTGCATTTAAACCTATTCCCCATTAACTTTATATTTACATTTTTTGAAAGTATATACTAAAACGGCCCAGTTTATTAGATGTCATCACTGCTGAATTTAATGTCTATAATTTCTAATCTAACTAAAAAGATTTACGGTGCATAAAAAAACTAAATTAATTTTCTGTGTACTTATGAGTAAAAAAACCGCAAAGAAAACACTGTTCTTGTAAATAGCTATGCCTCGGGAAAAAAAATACTAACAAGAAGTTAAAAATTTTAAACCAAAATAGATAGAGGACTAATGCTTTGTAACCAATCGCTTCTAGAGCATTCCCTCATTATGGTAATTTATCGATGACGTAGTCAGAGTGTGTATTGAGGTGGAGATTTGTTGATAGCGTGGTACGACTATGAGCTGACCTCGTACCAGAAGGAACGACAGGAGACAGAGTTGACAAAGGTGTTTGAGGAGCGAGCACAGCAAGACAAGGACATCATCTTGGACCATCTGATACCCAAGGATGTGGGCCAGGACCAGCCAGAATGGACACAGGCTGTGAAGCAAAAGAGGGGCGAGGAGTACTACAACAAGCTCAAAGAGGTAAGAACAAACAAGGTTAGATTACAATCACTAGCTACTATTTTATCGAATAATTGGCGAGTGGTTGGTGGGAGTTAAATTATGATACTTGAGAAAACAGAAAGTTGTTAGATTAGAAAAATCTTTGGATTAACAAACATAGTACTAAAACTTACTACTATCATACTATTCTTAGACTGTTAGAGGTTCAAATTTAAAAAATTTAGTCTTAATTTACAAAAAAAAACCATTCTTATTGAAATGTAACACTTTGTTTGGCTTATCAATTAAATTTTACATCACGTAGACCTGTGTAACGTTAAGTGCAACTTTTAATGTTGCTTGAACATTACACCAAAAGCAACAATGCATAAACTGTTAGTAACTCTTTTTAAAGTTGGTAACGATCCCGGTTACTAACTATAATCAGTTCTGGACACTACCAATTGGCCCGAGCCCTGTTGTTACAAAAGTACTGATACTGATATTTTAAAGTTGGTTCCTAAGACTGATACATTTTCATTTTTAAAAGAACTGATGGACCTGGGAATCCTATTCAGGTGCCAGTTCATCACTAAGTACAACTACATTTTACATGTATGCTGTATACGCAGTTTTACATGTTTTAAAAGTTACTTGAAAATATGTTCAACCATAGTTTTCAACAAGTGAAACTCAGTAATGTATTTTTTCTACCTACTAATATCTAAAAGGATGCACAGAACTGAACTGAAATGTGCAAACATTAATTGTGGTTTTGCATTGGTGTTGAACAGCTGGAGGAGGAACAGGTGGTGAAGGAGGCAAGGCTGAGAGAAGCTTCTCATCAGTTTGCCATCCCTGGGGAGAGAGTGTCACAGAAGTCATTGGCCAGAGGCATGGCTGACCAGTACGAGAGCAATGTGTGAGTAAATAACACAACCTTATAATTGAGTAGCGTAACTATATAAGATAGAAAATATAATGCACTGTACCTATACAAGATGATAAGTGTTTATAATCATCTATCATGATTACTCATTATGTTGTACCCTACCACCATTCTTTCCAAACCCTCTTCACTTTGAAGTCAGATTTGATAAGTCATTTGTCCCAAAATTATTAATCCATTGACTCATTAAAAGACTGAAGACTGACAAGTTGGGTTAACATTTTTTTATATATTGCATTAGATTTCACTTTGGAAAAATGTAAAATATATGTACATAGCATTATACACGCAAGTTATTAATCCCAAACCTATGTATTGTTCTCAGTGAAAAGAAAGAAGAGCTGATGCCTTGGCAGAAGGGAGTGAACCTCCGTCGTGTGGAGAGAAAGGAGAACCAAGGAGACGAAGCTCTGCATCAGATAACCACAGCGTTGCGACAGACACTACGGGACGACGTCACTCAGGAGACCCAGCAACAACAACAGAGGCCTTGGGTGAAACCCAGCCCTGACCAGACGGCATCATCAGTACATGGCAAGGAGGTGCATGTGGCCACACAGAAACAGACACAGAAGGAGGTCAGTGGGGGTTTAAACTGAGAACAATTGTAAAACAATTAAGTACAGTAGGTTCTATGTTCTATGCGACATTGGTAAATTACAGTACTGCTCTAGACAATAAAACAATACAGCAATATCATTTGTATGTACCATCAGTGTTGTAAAAACATATTGCACCTTTGTGTGGCTATAAAAAAGTTGGTGCAAGTAAGCAAGTGTGTGAGTCAAGTCAGAGTCATACTCTTGGCCATCTGGAGCAAGAGGAAAAATTTACTGTAATGGTGAAAAACTCAACTCACATATTATGTATAGCGCATATTGAGAGCTAACCTATCAGCTATTTATATTTTTCCATTTACATACAACATTTAATGGATTGTACAAGTGTTTTTGTAACATATAGAAAAATCGCAAGATCTATTTGTAACATTATTTCACAAAAGTTTTTGTTACAGGTGCAAGGTGACACGGAAATAACCAGAAAGATCACAGCAACAGAAACCACAGAAGTTGAGCATAAAGGCAAAGTGGAAGAAAGAGTGGTCTCAGGAGCAGTGGTGAGTGTGATGTGGCGTTACTATATTGTCTTAGTTAGTAGGGCCAAGTCCAGGGTAGCATCTGTAAAAAAATAAAAAGTATTCACAAGGTTTTTAGATATGAAATCTTGTCTTGTCCTTAGGTGAGAAAGTATCTATGAAATTAGTGTACAAACCAAGATAAGACTAGAAAATCAATTCAAAAACCCCAAAGAGTACTGTATAGTAATCAAACACAAACAAAAACCCTTAATTAAAACAATTAAATAATGACAAACAAGATTAGGATAACACATTGGTCATTGCTTATGTCTCCAATTGCTTATGTCTAAATTGCGATAGAAAATGTTTGCAATAATAATCTCCTAAATATCTGTAGCATAATAGAGTTTTTATAGATCTTTGGTCTGTCTAAGAAGTTAGAATGTAGTTAACCTGTTTAAGGAGTTAGAATGTAGTTAACCTGTTTAAGGAGTAAGAATGTATGTAAACAACATTATTAGAACTGCTTTAGAGAAAAAGTTAAACTAAGCCCAGCTATGACTCGACCATGTAGTCTTTGTGAAAGCGCTAATTTATAAGTTTTGAATTACAATTGTTCTGAATTTGAATTACAGAAACCAGCCAAGCCTCCACTTTTCACCAAAAAGATTCAGCCTTGTCGAGCATTTGAGCAGGAGCAAGCCAGATTTGAGGTGGAGTTTGATGGAGATCCACTGCCAACAATCCAGTGGTTCCGGGAGGACTTCCCCATCCAGAACTCTCCTGACTTCCAGATACACACCTTCAGCACCAAGTCCATCCTTGTCATTCGTCAGGTAAAAAAAAAAACAAGTCTATCAGTCAGACTCACATTAGTAATAAAGTGGATTGATATGTCTTGTATAGCTTTGTTAACGACCAAAACAAGACCAGCTATATTTTTAGCCAGGATCGTTTATTACCTAATGATCAAGAATATTTTAATTTAAAAGTAAGTACAGTAATCAAAACCTTCAAACATTGTGTACCACAGAAATATCATTCCTCAACATGATGTATTTAAAAGACAAAAGTTAAATCAAGAAATGCTCCAGACAAGCCTTTTATTAGGCTTATGTAGCTCATTGTTAAAATGGATGTGTATTGCATTGGTGTTGATGACTGTTGACGAGGTTTATGTACTTACTTTGTCATTTTTCTAGGTGTTCATGGAGGACTCTGGTGTGTTTGCGGCTGTGGCTGAGAACAGAGGAGGTCGCGCCAAGTGTAGCGCCAACTTGGTGGTGCAAGAGAGGCGTCAGCCTGGTCGTGGTGGTGTCGTACCTCCCAGCTTTGTCACGACGGCACAAAGTGTCTCAGTCAAGTCAGGACAGCTCGTCCGCTTTGACGCTAGAATTGCCGGCACCAAACCTCTAGACGTGCATTGGCTCAAGGTAATGAGTTTTGCATCCTGTGGTAACATAAAAAAATTAGGTCGTTAGTCATCATGGGTTAGTTACTAACTTAACTTTTTTTTTTTTATGGGTGATTTAACTTTTTTTAATTTTAACAAATAAATCTGAAACTAATCTACTATGAAATCAGTTTTAATACTAAATTTCTTAAATAAAAACACAAGTTTTACATCAAACAACACTTTTTCCCCACTGTAAATAAAAAGTTACTCAGTAGTTAATTTTGAAAGAAAGTACTTGGCTTAGGTGAAGGAAAGTACTTGGCTCAGAAATACACCAAGGAAAGAAAGAAGTAATGGATAAATTCCCTAAACAAGTTCACTATAAAGGGACATGCTCAAAGTTTTCAAAGTGCTTATGAACCCTTTAAACACGAAAGTTCTTGAAACTATCATAAGAACAATTGATCTTTTTACAATGTGGTATAAAAATTTGTACTATGGAAATAAAGCGTAATTAATCTATTGTCGGGAGGAACTAATAAATTGTTGATTGCTTCAGAACGGTAAGAAGATAACTCCTGACATCAGGTACAAGACATTAGAGGAAGACAACACGTTCACTCTGCTCATCATAGAGACAGTACCTGGGGACAGTGGCCAGTACGAGTGTGTGGCCATTAACTCAGCAGGTACGGTATATCACTATTTCAAAATCGTAATGCAGAATATAAAATGCAGTATCCACCCTGTCGAATCTGTTTGGTAAGGCTTTAGCAAATTTCCCTGTTTATTGTTCAGATGGTCACCTATGCATGACAGTCATGTCTGTGCAAGTGGGAACCAAACTGTGTAAAACTTATTCCTTCTCTAAATTGTTTTTCTGAACTTTCCAACTCATGGTTTTAACGAGATAGTATACTAATGTATCAGCTAAGAACTATGAGCTAATGTATCATTTAAGAACGACATTGACATTGGAAAGAGATATAGGTAAATAAAAAAAGGAGTGTTTAACTAGCTCACCTGAGAGAAAATAAGAGTCTAGGTAACAAAACATAGAAGTAATATTATGTCATAGGTAATATAGGATTTCTTGAGAGATTGGATTGAAGAGGATTCTATAATTTTCACAGGTAAAATAGTTCTAAATATTAACACTATAAATTATAATTTACTGGTCATTGTGTACTACAGGAGAGGCAAGATGTGAAGCAGAGTGTTTAGTAACAGCCCCGTCCAGCCCCGCTCCATCCAAAGCCGCCAAGGCCCCAACAGCTGATCAGGCCCCCACCGTCATACAACCTCTCACAGACCAATCCATCAAGGAAGGACAGCCTGTACTCTTCAGGTGCAAGATCTCAGGAAAACCTGGTAACTACTTTATTATATTTGTATCTAATGTGGGATTTAAATACAACTCTTTGGCATTGATAGAAGAGTATACATCCCATTCCCTAAAGCTGTAGCCAGTTTGGGAATGAAAATTGTCATTGTTGAATTGAGTACTTTAAACTGTGTACTGTTTGAATATAAAATTGGCTACAGCTGTTTGATGTAGATGGATTTTGTACTTCAGTATTCAAGAGTACAATACATTGTGATGGTGAGGTGGTTCATAATAACAAGTATATATATATATATATATATATATATATATACGGTCAGGAATCTCACCATTAATTTTGTTGAACTATTCTTACAATCTTTTAATGTTTTTTAACTTGGTTAAGGTTAGAGTAGGTAACATAGTGTAAGTTGGTGTATTTAGAATTTTTATGGAAGTTTTGTATATTTTAGGTACCGGTATAGAAAGGTATATTTTAAGGTATAGAAATAGAATATTCAATTACATCCACAAATAGTGTGGATAGTAACAAATAATATTGACTTTAGTAATAGAATTGTCATTGTAAAAAGATGCATTAACTATTCTGACAATAGTTATACCTATATACTAAATTTCTTAACAAATTATTAATAAAAAAGGTGTGTCATTTATTTTTATAATGATGATTATTTTCAGTTCCCCAAATCAAGTGGATGAAGGCAGACCAGGTGATCAAACCCTCCAAGTACTTCCAGATGTTAAAGGAAGGAGACGTTTACTCTCTCAAGATCTCTGAAGCCTTCCCTGAAGACGAGGGAACATACAAATGTGTTGCATCAAACCCAGGAGGACAAGTAAGACACTATTTAGATACGGTATACATTCTATGTATCTTGTTAAGGAGAAAGGAAGGATACACAACTAACTCACCTGAAGAAAGAGTCCCAGGAAGTTAAAACAACACATTTAAACTAATATTTCGCCAATTTCAGGGGCTTCTTCAGAGGTAGAATCTCTGAATCTCACCTTTAATTTTGTTGAATTATTCTTGCAATCCTCGAATGTTTCTTAACTTGATAAGGGAAGGGTAGTTACATAGTGTAAGCTGGTGTATTTGGACTATTTATGGAAGTTTTTCATATTTTGCATGGATATTTCTTTAAGTTTTGGATATTTTATCGTCCCAATTCTAGGGAAATTCCACCAATTATTGTTTATTCCTTGTCAATAAACCTTGGTATTTCAATAATAAGAGGGGGGCTTTTATTTGGATCTCACTTTACAATTAAGGTTGTCTGTGTCCCATCAAAATTAGTTTTCTTAAAGGGGAGGCTATAGGCTAGGATTATTGATTTTTTAATAAAGGGGCAGAAACAGAAAAGACGGGAAGTATGGAGGTAAACTAATGCCTACATGGACTCTTCCTAAGATAGCTAGCTCTGTATTCTTTTCCCCATAAAAGTTTATTCTATACAACCCATTTTCAAATCCAAATTTCCTAACCTATTCTCCTTCATATCAACGGATGAAGTCGAAAAATTCACACCTATGTAAACTGTTTGAACATAGAATTTTGGCTTGATTTTGATTTTAATCATTTATGGATTGTAAAGAGGTTTACCTGCCATTAAATATAAGTTGTTCATCACATTGTATGTCTGTGACAGGTGATTCTGACCTGTGCTCTGAGTGTGTTGGCCCCCGACACCTTAGAAGTAGCCCCCACCTTGGCACCGATGGCGGATGTCACTGTGTTAGAGGGAAGCCCCGCTCAGTTCCGCACACAGTTGGGGGGTAAACCTACTCCAGGCTTGCAGTGGTATAGGGAGGGAGCTCTCATACCTCAATCCCCTGACTTCCAGGTTAGTTAGTGCTTGTTTGTGGTCACTCGTGTAAGATTTAAGAAAATTGTCAAAAGACATGGAAGAAAAATCTTTAAAAATTTTCTTTTACAAAAAAAAGACTTGAAAACATCTGACATAACATTTCAATGACTAAATTTGAACTTAACACTTTTCAAGTGGGCGTTGCCTACGTCAATCAGCTCAAAGGTGTAACTGTTTCACAGCTATTTTGGCATTTCAATGCCATCATCAGGCATTTAAATCTTCTGTTGAAGCAGTGTTGTTGAAGTTAGAACAGATAACACCCACAAATATTTACATTACGAATAAAAATTACCAAAACCAACAGGCCTGTTGCACACACGGTACTGGTTGACATTGTCACAATCCGAGCAAGACACAGACTAATTACTGTCAGAGGTAAATTTAACTAAATAGAAAAATGTTTGTAACAGTTAAATACTGTATTTTTTTTATTTTTTTATCTCCACCTAATGTTTATAATTTTTTTACTAATAGGCTATAAATATACCAGCATACCTGTCCAAAAGTATCCATTTCTATAGCACATAAAAGCAGACCCTGAGCTAAAGATTCATTAAAATAAAATACATATTTTCAGATCCTTTAAATGTAATTATAGCTTTATTATGCCTACTTAGACATAAAAAATTACTGTACTCTCGAACACCTATCGCAATTGTGGTTGATGGATTTCCTAAACACATAATATTAAAAACCTAGATAAATAAAACAAGACTTTTGTCTATTTGTTGCTTGGATGAGTAAGATTTTTTATAAACCCATCCCATTTCTATTTTTCCGTAAGTTTTGCATTCAGGGTGCTTCAATTTATGTTCAAATTCACTTAGTACACAGTGCACATTACGTATACTGTGTACATAGTAGTGATGTGTCAAAACTCAAAACCAAATCTCAAATTTAAAAACCATCAAAACTTTGGAAAAGTTTCTGTTTCGAGATTTGATAGGCGAGTTTCGAGATTCAAAAGTTTCAAAATAGGAAGTTTTGGCACTTATATTTTTGAAAATAATGACATTTTCTGTGTCATTATTATTGTTTATAACATTGTTTACACACAGGCTGGTTGCAATGGAGCAAACACATCTCCATTAACACTAATGAAACAAGTAAATTCAAATTTTATTCTGAACCGCAAAAGGCATCTTAAATACTGGAACAACTTACAATTCAGTTTCATATCGATATTCGATATTTATTAAACACAAAAAAAAATTGAGCACAAAATGTTCTAATTAATGTAGTATTCATGTTTATTTCAATGTCAAGAGTTTCTATATTTTAATGTTAGTCGTTTATAAAAAAATATGTTATTTTGGATTTGAAGTTTATCTGTCACATTTATGTTATTATGTCTGGATCAGGAGTAAATCTCTTTCAGTTTTGATTACATAATCATAATGAAAATCTTATCATTACCTGTATTTTCATTTTTTAGCATCTTGACCAGGTAGTTAAAATGTTTCGCGTTTAGGTTTTAAAGATTCGAGATTCGGGATTTGATTTTTTAAGTTTCGGTTTTGGTTTCGAGATTCAAAATTTCTGGTTTTGACCATTGCTAGTACATAGGGTAAGCTGAATACGAACTCAGCATCAGTATAGAATGGAGTGAATGTTTTACTGTTAGCCATAAAAGTTAATATCAATTTATTGTACACTTCTTAGCTAAGTAAAACCAAGGCTCTCTCTGTTGTGCAACACAAATATTGTAGAAATTATTTATTTTGTTATATGACGACAAACACTTAATTAACGAGTGAAGGTACTCGGTTCCTCCACATAAGCTGTGCTTTGCAGAGTAACGTGTCTTTTTTATTTGAACGTCCTAGTTTGACTCTTTGATAGAGTGTTTTGGTTAATTGTAAATCATCATTGCTATCAATCAAATTATGGTTTCCCTCCTTTACATTAAAGATCAACAATTTTATTTTGTACTATCTACTATGTTTTTTGCAAGTTAACTTACACTTACAATAAAGAAGAAATTGTGTTTAAGTCTACAAAGCATTTCCTTACTACTTTAAAGTTTTTACTCAAAATATGAAAGATTAATTGGTTATTTTTATCTTAAATCTTTAGTTATCCAACAAACTTATAAAAATTCATAGCTGGTTACTTAATTGATTTCCTTAACAATGGATTGGTACAAACACTGCATTCAGTTTTAATTATTTGCAGCATTGTAACTGTTGCAGACCAAGAATATGACATTTAACATAGCCCTTCTTAGCGAAGAAGAACTTATTTTGTCTAACTGAGCTTGTCCATCCTCCATTGTATCTCTTGCCTAACCACATTATAGGCAAGAGAACTTCATATTGAATTTTGTGGCATCAAAAAATACTAGTCTGGATGGAGGGGGGGGGGGTGCAAAAATAAAAAAGTAGGCCTAATAACCTCTACAAATGTAAAGAAATTACTGTTGAAAACAAGGTTAAACACCAAGGGTCAAACCCAAGGCCTATGCAGCAGCAGATAAGAAAGAATAATATTTGCAATACTAAAAATGTTAAACAAGAGGAATTGTTAACAGGCTTCCATAGTTTCTATGTTAATTTAAATCTTCATGAAACTGTTTAACTAATGCATTGGTTTAAAACGCTTTAGAATTTAATTTAAGTTCTAACGTTTTATGATTGCTTTCAAGAATAAAAAGTCTAGTTATGTCTGCATTTTGGTACCAAACTAAAGGTCAATTTTTGTGTTGAAAGGTTAGAATTCCAATGAAATACATCCATGTTAATGGCAGAGCAGCTATTTCCAGCGCCTATAAAACCACCCACTCATAAATATGCCAAAAATATAAACTCATAAATAGCTCAACACCACTTGGCTCTCATTCTTTCAACCTTGACTTAACGTCCAGAATATTTATGACCTCATTCAAGTTAACAGCTTTCAATTCAAATTTGATTTTATGGAAATGGTGTTGTGACTAGATGAAAGGTTACAGAAAGCTTATCTTTTAAAAGGCAGTTTTCTGTGCACATAGTAACCTATTTTTCCTCAATTAAGATTTTTCATTTTAAACATTTAGTTCTTTATTAATACATATCTATCTTCACTGGTAATTCATAAAAAAATTGATATGCAATGGAAAGTATTCACACAGTTCAGAATCACCAAACACAAACTTATCTTGAACACACATTGCTATCACATGGAAAGTAAACTAGTTAATTTTAAATAGAAAGTGTTTTACATATTGGAATAGTTACAAAACTTGCAAATGATTTGGTTTATCTTTAAAATGTATGTAAATTACATTTTAAATATATCTTGTTTTTTTTCATCTCCTTCATTAGTAAGTTTAACTTCTGTAACCACTTGATAGACTGAAGTATTGCGGAAACAGTAATAACAATAACCCTTTCTCTGTTCATTTTAAAGTTTAAATAGAATATTTTGTGTGTAAAATATGTTACTTCTGTAATAATTTTATGTGGGCTTGAAGATACGTGTTGACTCAAAATTGACATACATAGATTAATCTGTAACTGGCTAATGTTCTATTTTTATTCCCTAGATACTATTTATACTGCAATTCTAGTGTCATTTATTAATTTATTAGATTGAAAAAGATGGTTAGATACAGTTTTATTTTATTGTAAACAAATCTTATTCAACTAACTTTCTTGATAACGGTCTCGATTTCAATTACTGGTGACTCGTGTATGCAAATATATTTTTTTCAAAATTGAGAAAAATTATTTTTTTGAGTTTATTTTCTTGCAATTCATTTGATTTAATTTTGTTTGCATAATGTTGTGGATCCTAATATTAGTTCCAATGATCAATTGCACATCAAGTAAGGCTGTATTTACTGTGTGCAGATGATCGTAGAAGGTGACAAGGCAGTTTTGTTGATCGCCTCCACGTATGAAGAGGACTCAGGAACCTTCACATGTAAAGCGACCAACTCTGCCGGCCAGGCTCAAGTTTCTGCTAAGCTCATTGTCAAAAGTAAGAACTGATTTAGGATTGCCACATAGCTTTGGTTAACACTAGCTTCAGCTAAGGGATGTTCTATGTCAGATTATATTTTAGCTGTTTTATACATAATTGTTAATTTTTTTACTGAAAATTGTACAGTTTATATTTATTACAAATAGTATAATAATCAGGCTAGAAGTGAATTTGTACGAAGAGAAACAATGTACCTGCCAGATCTGAGTAAGTTCCTCCCTATCGTTGCAGTTTGTTTCTTTTCATCTATCTATTAACCTTGAACTAACCTCACTTTGTTCTGTGGTGGATTTTTACTCACTGTTGGATCCTCGGTACAGTCAGTTAAACAAAGGAAACAGTTTAAAATGTTTGGTGCCATATTTTTAATTCAGAATATTAAAAACAATTAAAAATACAATTCTTGTCTGACTATACGAGGCTGAATAAACCTTTGCTTCATTTTTCCCTGACCAACAAGATTCACGCCGTGAGTTAAGATTCGCCACTGCTTTTGTTTCTAGTCAAAGGTACTTTATTTATTGTAGTTACTCTACCCTACTTTTTGTTTACACCATCATTGTTAACTAATTGTTATTTATTATTAAGCTATTGTATGATTATTTCTTGCTACAGATTCTATATTTTTCCAAGTGATTTGAGTCAGTGTAAGGCTAGGATAGGCTGCTTCCACATTCTGTAGCTGCGAGTGCAATAAATGATTTGACATTATAACGTTGTCTCCTTCTCCCAGATCCTGGTGGGCTAAATGCGGCACCGGCTCTCACCTGCCCTCTTTACTTGTGTATTTTGGGTCTAGTCACTCCCGTTTGGTGGAATCAAGTTTCAGCGGATACTAAGTCAAAAGAAAACGCCAATTGACACTTAAGTGTTTGCTTAACATAAAAATCTTTCTCTCACTACCAAAAACTACTGGAATGGTTAGTGTTGTAATCATTGATGATTAGGAACAGTTTCCTAAAACAGTTGAGTCAATCTGTATGTTGTAAAAAAATCTAAAATATTTGGCATCCAATAGGATATTTCAAAGTCTAAGTTAAAACTCTAAATTATTATTGAGGTAGCCTCGTTTATTTCCCAAATCTGACAAACTGATAGGTATTGTCTATTGAATTATAATTAATTGGGCTTGTCAAAATCACAGTCCAACAGAAGATAGTGGGACCAATAAATATTCTGATTTTATCCAAAAAATAGTTTTAAAGAATTCATTGTAACTTTACACTAATACTTTGGTGCAACTGAGAGTGTTATTTAATGGTCCGAGATGGAGAGCTGGTGGTGAGCCATAAACAAGAACAAAGGCCCAACTGTGTAGCCAAATCAGGTCAACCAAGGCAGCTGTTGTTTTCACTGCATTGGGTTATATATAGCTCCACAAATCACTAGCAGTGAGTCAGACGTGTGCTGTGGATAGAGTTTGACTCACTCGCTCAATCCCTCACTTGGCCCACCTCCACCAGTCTTTGGCCGAATTAATTTGTAATACCTACCTCTTGGCTTTCCACCAACACCAGAATCGTGTCTTCTATCTGGAAAACAAGACCGATTCCTTCCAACATATTTCAGCTTTATGACTCAGCGTTGAGTTGTACTTTGATTTATTTTCAAAGCTTTTTTTAGAAGTGAGAAATAGTCTGCATGCCTTCATTCTAAGAATGTTTTTATAGCTTGATAGCATATCTACAAGTCAACAGATAAATTTAAACTTAAATAAACATATATAACCTTATCTTTCAGTTTGATTTTAAAATAAACAAAATATCAGATTATTCCAATTTAAATTCAGTTTTATGAACTATAAAATATAATAATACTTTCAAATTAATAAATTCAATTGTCAATTGCAAAATTTATATAAAAACACAATCTATCAACAAATAGACATACAAATTGTGACAAAACTAATAAACCACTGATCAGTTCACAAATCATGACAGGGATTGAAAACAACACCATATAGGGAAAACAAGTTTATTGATACAAGTGTTTACATAGCATCAGGTCAGGGAGGTAGGCAAATGAAGGCCGAGGAAGTAGAATATGGAAGTAGAGGAGAGAGAGAGAGAGAGAGAGAGAGAGAGAGAGAGAGAGAGAGAGAGAAGGAACAAGGTCAGCTGGTGATGAAGCGGACATATATGGTCAACAATTTGCAGATCTGCCCCAGGCTAGATAATCTACTGATCACCGGGTGTTCCACAAATGGTGTCCTGTTCACCTACAAACTGAGGTCACGGTCCGCACCTATAGCGCTTACACTAGACTTGAATCACTTGGAAAACTAAAATCACATTTAGAATGTAGTATTGTTTTGTATTTGTGTGTTTTAGTTTAAGTTAAAGTTTAGATTTTGTACATAGATGGATTTAAAAAATAAGGAGGGGTCCTATTAAAACTCAGGAAATGTGTTAAATTGCTGGTCTAAACAAACAATATTAAACTAAAAAAGTTCAAATTTATGTAAGTAATTTATTATGGCTGTATGTACTAATTAATAACTTGTAGGTACTTCTTTTAAAATGTATTGTTTAAATTTTCATTCATTGTTTGTTTGAAAAATCTAAATTAGTAATGTTTTTAAAAGTTACTTGCAATTGCAATATTTGATAACTATTCAAATTAACCTATGGTGCAAATATATTGTTTTAAAGTAATGTATCAAATTAAAACGGTGTAAAATTTTATGTTATTTATATTTACTTAGTTCAATACTCATTTAAAACGTTATCATCTATTTAAAATTACAAGGAAAATATTTTTTTTATTTATTCAGCAAATTTGATCTTTAATGATTTAAACAAATATTTAACAAGTCATAATCAACTGGTTATCTCAAAAGTGATCAAACTTATCAAATTAATTAAATAAAATTAATTTAATGTAGTTTGAATCCTAATTGCATGCACTTAATTTTAAGTCACTATTCACTAATGTTTCACTCAGCACTGCACTTCACTGGACACTTCACCACAAACTGCAGCCACCAGCACAGCACTGCACCACAGCTCACACCACTCTGTGTGAGAGAGTATGACTGTGGGGGAGGGGGGGCCACCCCCACCGTGTGTCACGGTCTAATCATACGTTGAGTCAACATGTGTGTCTAAGGTCTAACTATAGCCTGCCACACGTGAGGCAACTGTTTGTGGCGTTCTTGCAGTCTTACGTTTCATTACACTCTGCATTGTTCATACTCTATGAGTAGCCTGCAAATAAAATCACATGTGTAATTGTTTTTAACGTAATCTGTCTTACAATACTGTGCGATATTGCACAATTATTACAAAAACATTGTCCAGCCTCTTGATATCTGTACTTTGTACTGTGGTAGTATACTGTCTTGTAAATTGGCACATTATGTAGACTTATCAAGTTGTGTTGCACATCTTTATTTAACTTATAAATGCATTAAGCTAATAAAAAAAAAAATTGGGTTTGAAGTACACTCATATAAAGAGTTACCAATAAGTTAATAACATTAAATTTAATTATGGAGTAAAAATGTATTGTCGGATTAAGTTAAAAAATCTGCCAATAGTTGTTTTATTCTTTTTGCATGGAATAGATGTCAGGATTTGAATCATTTGTGCTCAATCAGTAGGAATTAGTTGGAAAATTGAAGTAGTGTTTGTGTTTAGAAGATGTCTTGCAGGAAATATGGCTTAATTTTAGTATTTAAATGCGCTATTCGTTCATCTGCATTGAAAACATTTCTAATCTATGATAAATATTGTTAATTCTTTTTTATCTGTGCTATCTTAAATGATCAGGAAATACATGTTTCAGTTTAATGAAGAAGAGGTAGTTTGATATTTTTAATGTAAGAATAAGAAATATTTATTTTCATTTATCTTTATAAAAGAAATAGGACACGTCATTACATACTAGTTACAAGGTGATTCAGTGTTTACAGTACAATATATCTGAAATTTAAATAACTACTTACATGAAAACAAAAGCTTTATTTGAACTAACTCTTCAAAATCTAATATTTATTTCACAACTTATATAATCATCAATTTTGTAAAATGGGTTTTTAACCATCCAGTCATACAGTTTATTTTTAAAAATGCTGTAAGAAAACATCAGAAGTACATAAGAACATAAGAAAACAATTTTGCTTCTTCAGGCAGCTTATTAAAAATCTTTATAAAATTTAATTTATGTGAATGCTTGTTCGGTTTTCGCCAATCTGTGCTGCAATACATCTATTTTATCCCTACCTCTTGTATAGTGGTTGTGTACTTGTGTGTCTTTTCTGAAAGAGAATTGATCTAAAAGACAAACACAACCACTATACAAGAGGTAGGGATCAAATAGATGTATTGCAGTATTGCGGCACAGATTGGCAAAACCAAACACTCACATAAATTAAATTGTATACAGATTTTTAATAAGTAATTAAAAGCTTTGAAAATATGACTTTTAAACAGTAAAAAAAATGCAATAGACTCATTTGATTTAAAGTATTTAAAGATTTTGAGTTCATATACTGATATATCATATATCAGCAAATGTTAATCTCTGATTATAGCTACTAAAGCGTAAGCCCAGCAGGTGGGTTATAGCTCAGTGTGAGAAGTATCCCAGAATAGTCTCTATCCCCCACAGATGGAGATCATTCATCTGGAACTAAGTACCACTTTAAAGAAGACTTTTATCACATAACCTCTTCACACTTAGTCTGTCCTCTCTCATATTGCCAGTAAAGTGTCAGGAAACATAATTGTAATAAATATGTTATGTGCAGATTTTTTGCTTTGACATAATTAATTGTGTAACCACGTGAAGGCTGATAACCTTAAATCCAGCCAGCTGATTCCTTTTGGCCCAGAAACCACTTTGAACCAATTTAGCATGGAAAATATGTATTGAAAACATCTGTTTCAACATTATTTCAAAATTAATAATTTGTTATCACAGATACCGTTCACTATTGGGTACTGAAGTAGACATCCTATCTACAGGGTGAGTTTTAATTGTCCCCCCCCCCAACTTTTTTCTACATTTTTTCAAATATCAATCCCAGACCACTTCCAAACATTGTTGGGTAGTAAGTACTTCATTTTGACAAGGTGGTCATTTCCGGCCGCCATCTTGGATCCGCCATCTTGGATGCAAAATATTTTTTTCAAATGTAAAGGTGGGGTTGTGACCCATTATTTCGAACTAGATTTTTACCCTGATTACAATGCCGCAAACCGTTTAAAAAAATCTTGATTCATTCTAAAGTTATGAGGCCTTTTTAAAACTTTATTTTTAGCCCATTTTAACATTGTGCTTGTACAAACTAAGACCATAATCTCAAAATAGTGCTAGATAAAGATAAGTATACACTACCAGTCATTGCCAACCTATTTCCACTTGGTTATGAATGATATATTTTTTTCGGCCGCCATCTTGGATCCGCCATTTTGAAATGTGAAAAATTATTTTTAATATAAAAGGGGTGTTGTGACCCATCATTTCGGATTACTTTTTTAAGCTGAACTCAATTCCATGGTCCATTTTTTATTTTCATATTTTAATTTTGAAATATTAACATTTTTAACAAAAATATTGCAATAATTCATAAATAAAACTTGATAACAAAAAATGGATTGCGGCATTGTGTTTAACTTAAAAAAGTAGTTCAAAATGATGGGTCACAACACACCCTTCATATTTAAAATAATTTATCCCATTTCAAAATGGCGGATCCAAGATGGCGGCCGAAAAAAATGCATCAGTCATAAATAAGTGAAAATAGGTTTACAATAACTGGTAGTGTATACTTATCATTATCTAGCACTATTTTGAGATTATGGTCTTAGTTTGTAAATGCACAATGTTAAAATGGGCTAAAAATAAAGTTTTAAAAAGGCCTCATAACTTTAGAATGAATCAAGATTTTTAAAAACGGTTTGCGGCATTGTAATCAGGATAAAAATCTAGTTCGAAATAATGGGTCACAACCCCACCTTTACATTTGAAAAAAATATTTTGCATCCAATATGGCGGATCCAAGATGGCGGCCGGAAATGACCACAATGTCAAAATGAAGTACTTACTACCCAACAATGTTTGGAAGTGGTCTGGGATTGAAATTTGAAAAAAATGTAGAAAAAATTTGGGGGGGGGACAATTAAAACTCACCCTGTATATGGACCTGCTGTCGCTAATTTTTTTGTATTAAAAAGAACATAGTTGTGTGAGCCAGTAATGTGCTAGTTTCTACAATTTTATTTCCTACCTTATTTGTTCTTGCTGAAATAATTGCTGGGTCATGACAGTTACTATAGCTCACAATAAGTCATTCCATCAGTGTGACGTAGTAAAAAAGTTTGTGTATTCTACAGATATTGGTCATTTAGATCATCATAAATAATCGGCTTACATCAACTACGACAATTTTGGTTAAAAACTGACAATAACTTTAGTGTGGGGATGGAATGTCGAGTAATCAATAGTCAAAGCTAGTACCAAGTTGATACTTTCCTGTAATACGTAGAACTAGTGGTACGTTCTTTTATCTTGCAACCATTGTCATATGTAGGTAACTAACTAACAACACACTGTAGTCGCAAGGACAAAATGAAAATACACATGACAATGTTGGCAATAAGGTTGAGGATTTAATGTTGACTCTTGGATCGGCATAAGCTGCCGATGTTAGCTGAAGATGTTAAAATACAATGTAATCAGCCCACTAAAATGAGTTAGGATACTTATCAGAGTGTTTGTGGGTCGATGGGTTCTAGGGGTGGACAAGTCACATAAACGTAATGACAAACTACTGTATATTGTATCATCAATAAAATTTTAGTTATGTTATTGTTTCTATCAGTGGCATTTTGAATTAAATATTCACAAACACTTTGAAGGGAAAGCTGAATGTGATGTATTTTTAGATATGCCAGGGGATTGATCCCGTCCCTCTCACATGAAAGTCAAAGACACTAACCATTGGACAAGCAAATCAAAATCACCCAATTCTTTTATTTTTAATAAATCTTTCAACCTAGGAGAGGGTTTTTTTAAGTAAGGGCTGTTTTTGCGTATGAATCCGTAGTTCGCTTCTATGCCGTAACAAGGCTCCTTGCCACTTACTGGCATGATTTGTGAACAGAATTACACCATATGTAGCTCTGTAGCTAATATGTACGCTTCCCTGGGTGTTATTTTAACTATCGAATCTCCCCCTCCGCGTGCGAGATAAAGTCAGTGATACGTTTTTGATTACAAGAAACATATCTGATGCCAACATTCATCGCCCGATAACTGAAGACAATGGCCTTAACGCAAGGATTGAGGGTAATGCGTGGGAATGGGTTATAGAGTGTAAAATGACCATGAAACCCCTTTTCCTTTGTGGTCTTCTGTGAGAAGTCGGGGTACCCACTAAAAACCCAATTCCTTTCGATATGAACATTTTCACAGTCATTTTTAAACTCCCTAGCCTATTTCTGCTCTTTTTCAAGATTCAAAATCTTTATTTGTCATTATGTAATAGGCATCGTAAAAGTTTTCTGTTGTGTTGCATACAGTTTATTTTCTGTTAGAGTAACAGCAAGAATGCACCAAGTGAGTAGCAATCACTCTTTAAAATAAAACTGTTAACCTAACTATTAACTCTAAAATAAATTAATTAACTATTTACCAATCAACAATTTATGTAATGATCAAAAATAAAATCTTTAAATATATTAACATTGATGTTCTAAAAACATAGAGAACTAATATCACAGGCCAGATAATCGTCTATGGAATAAAACACATTTTCCTTAAACCATTGTTTTATAATGGAAACAAATTGTTTAAAGGGTACAGTCCATGCTTTTTTGGCAATTTATTGAATAGTTGAATCTTCATACATATGTGGCTGTTCTTAGTTTTTTCTAATCTTACATAAGCTAAATCTAATTGATAGTTATTCCTAGTATAATACTGATGAGTTTCGTTTCTAGTTGTAAAATTTTTCAATGATATAGGATAATGTATATAGGATATGATATGATATGGATATAGGATATGATATAGGATGTGTGTAGTGAGTCGGTGGCTCAGTTGGTAGCGTCGCGGACTTCGGGCCCAAGGCAGCGATGTCGTGGGTTCGGATCCTGGTCACTGCTGATAAAATTTTATCAGTATAGTTCACCTTTGTACTGTACCGGCTCACTCCTTGCCTTGCTGTTAACGATCCACGCACGGGCGCTTAGTCTATGTGTACGGGCAAATGCAAGGTTAAAAGAGGCCGCCAACCTCTTTAAAAGAAAAAAAAAAATGTATAATTTCTCCGCTATCATTGCATCAGGGTCATAAACTTCAATCATCTAACGATGCATGTTGGCATCGGACATGTTTCTTGTAATCATAACACGTACCACTGACTTTATCTCGCACGCGATGGGAGATATGAGTGTTTAATAAATATTAGAGGCACACAGCAAAGAATGCATGTCAGCTACAGAGCTGCAAATGGGGCCATTCTGTTCACAAATGGGGCCATTCTGTTCACAAATGGGGCCATTCTGTTCACAAATGATGCCAGTAAATGGTGAAAAGCTTCACGCAAAAACGACCCCTACTTATAAAACTGCCCTCCTATATTTATCTTACTTACTTACTCCTGTAGCCACACAAATCCCAAGTGATTTTTGGCCTCGCCAACAATGCTCCTCCACCGCTGCCTGTCCTCTGCTGCCTCCAAACTTGCTCCTAACCTCCTGAGGTCCTGCCTCACTTGGTCATTCCATCTTATCTGGGCCGTCCCAGCGGCCGTCGTCCTTCTGGTTGCCCCATCCATACTCTTTTAATCATACTGTTAACATATCTTCTATAAACAATTCCCAGCCATCATAATCTTCTGCTCTTTACCATTGCTATAATATCTGGGTCATTATAAAGTTCTCTTAATTCTTGGTTCTTCCTTATCCGCCATTCACCATTGTCATTAATAGGTCCAAATACTCTACGTAAGATTTTATTTTCAAAAACTATTAATTTCTTTTCATTTTGCTTTGTAAGCGTCCAGACTTCGGCTCCATATAGTAGAACTGGTTGTATTATTACTTTATACATCTTTATTTTAGTTCTTCTGGTCAGGAGTCTACTTCTAAATAGTTTTGTTAGACTCCAACAGCACCGTTGAGCTGCTGCCAATCTACATTGTATTTCGTCGTCTTGTCTGCTTTCACTTGTTATTGTCACTCCAAGATATTTAAAATTGTCAGTTTTTGTGAATTTAAAATTTAAGACTTCCAAGTCTGGTTGGTTATCAGGTAGTCTACTAATCTTCGTTATCTTAGTTTTCTCTTCATTTATTTTTAGTCCCACTTTTTGTGTTTCAGTGATTAGCTTTTCTGCTAGCTCCTTAATATCCTTTTTATTTTCTGCTATAAGTGCCACATCGTCTGCAAATGCTAGAACGTTTGTCTTCTCGTTATATTTATCTTGTATAGAAAAAAATTGAAATTGTTGACACATCTAAGTATGATCACGAGTATGTGTAAAATCTTGAGAAGTAGTAAGTTTCAGATAGAACTAATATATCAGATATACCAGAGTATAGAAAATTAAATCATCTGAAAGGTATTTTATAGCAATTTTAGTCAATGTGTTTTGTTTATGTTTATTACTAGTTTTGGCTCTGTAGTTTTCAGTTTTTCTCAAACTATTTATGTATTTTTCCACTATAGAAAACTGTTATTACACCTTGTCTTGAATGTCTGGGGCCTTATTTGGAATTGACCAAATGTCTCATGTTTTTAAATTGTATACAAATTTAATTTTACTTACAGGAAGACCAGCTCAAACTCAGAGAGGAGCAGTCCCAGACCAAAGTAGTAAAAGTGCAAAAAAGGTACCAACTAAGGGTTTTCCAAGTCAGACACCTCAAGTAGAGTCAGACCTGTCATACAGTGAGGAGGGGGAGGGGACTACCAGTGATGAACCAAGTGAGTCTCTTCCTGAAGGAGATGAAAGTTTGCCTTGGCGTCAACCTCGGCGGACAGAACGAACAGCCCCCTGGCGTCGTACAAGAGATAGATCACTCGATAGTCAACTTACAAGACACCCTAAGTTGCCAAGACAGTCAAGAGACAGATCATTAGATATTCAGAGACGTGATAGCAGTAAAAAAGTGATACCTTGGACCCAAGAGGGCGTAAAATTAAAAAAGTCTACAACGGGGAAAAAGGAGATAGAAAAAGAAAAGGTTGAGCAAGTACAGCTGAAACCACTGAGAAAAATCTCAAAAGATGAGGTTACAGTGGACAGACGGATGTCACAAGATTTGTCCGAAGAGAAGAAAGTAAAACCATGGACTGAGGAAGAGGTGAGTCTTAAAAAAGTGTCGGTTGAGAAAAAGCAAATAGAAAAAGAGAAATTAGAGACAGTGCAACTGAAACAAACTACACGAAGGTTGTCAAAGGACATCGAGGTAAAAGAAAGGAAACTGTCTATAGATAAAACAGATAAAAAGGCCACACCATGGACTGAAGAAGGAGTAAAACTAAGAAAAGTTTCAATTGACAAAAAACAACCAGAAAAAGAAAAATTGGAAGAGGTTCAATTAAAAGCTACGAAAAAGCCAAATGACATTGAAACACCAGAAATGAAGTATTCCTTACTTTCACCTGTGCAAGAAAAGAAAACAACTCCCTGGGCGGAGGAAGCAGTGAAATTAAAGAAAGTATCTGTTGATAAAAAAGCTCCAGAAAAAGAAAAAATTGAAGATATTCAGTTGAAACCAACTAAAATAGCGCAAAAAAGTACACCTGAATCTTCAGAAAGAAAAATGTCAGTTGATAAATCAATTTTTGATAGTAAGTCAGCACCGTGGTCTGAAGAGTCAGTCAAATTAAAAAAGGTTTCATTGTCTAAAAAACCAATAGATAAAACTGCACAAGAAGCCTATTTAACACAACCACTGAAGACTGAGACTCCACAAAAGATGCCTTTGTCACACGAGATTTCAGACTCTACTACTGAAATTTCTGAAGATACTCTTAAAGCCCAAGAATCAATCAAACTTAGAAGGGCTAAAAAACACATTGGTGACATTTTGAAATCTGCTGTTGAAAAAGACCAAACATTTGTTGATCAATCATTAGAACAGATATCGACGATTGAGAGCAGCGAACTAATCAATCTTAAATCAAGACTAGAGGTTGAAAAACAACCTATAATTGATCTTGACAAACAAGTTCCTCAAGACACAACTAAGGAAAAAATTATGCCAGAAAAATTTAAAACAGCTTCAGATGTTACAGAGCTAAAACAAAATGTAATACAGGAGGGAGTCAAACAGAAGCGATCCTCAGTACAGAAAAAGGAAGTTTCAAAAGAAACACATGAGTCGGTTGAATTAAAACCCACAAGGAGAGATTCACAAAGACCAGAATTGAAAGATAATGAGGGAGATAAGCTGGAATCTAAAACAGAAGAGTCAATAGTTAGTATTAAAGACACTGAATCAATAGAAATAACTAAGCAAACTGACCTAAACGAAGAAGTAACTAAACAACCATGGCAAATGAAAGCTCAAAAAACAAAATCAATAAAAATTACAGATGAGACTAATCAAAAATCTACTTTTGAATCTTTTCCAGAAGAATGCCAATCCATACTCCAAAAAGACGAGAAATCTAAGGTGCCTTGGGCACAAGAAGCTATGAAATTGAGAAGATCATCGATACAGAAAAGTGAAATTGTTAAAGAGAAATTAGAAAGTGTTCAACTGAGGCCTTTAAAATCTAAAGTTGTAGAAGAAACCATCAAAGATGTCAATAGTGAAATTTGCAAAGAAGATCAAACTATGATAAAAATAAAATATAAGAAAAAAACTTTACCAACAGATTTGGAACCATTAACTACAACAGATGGAGATGATTTTAAAGTACCAGAATCTGAAATTATATTGTCCAGAGCTGAAACTGGGGTTTCTGAAGATAAATCAATTTCTGAAAACAGTGAAGCACTGAAGAGACATCCTAAAAAACAAGTTAAATTCATTCCTGAACCAACAATTCAACCCATAGAACCTTTTTCAGCTGATGAACTACCTTTAGAAAGACAGCCTACAGAAATAGAACCTCTGGACACAGGAAAAGTGGTGAAAAAGGGTATTATGAAAAAATCTCAAGCTAATGCACAAGACAACATAAATTTGGAAATTCAGGTCAAAGAGGTATTTAAACCAAAAGTTGAGAGAGATATTAGTCCTATTGAGCTCTCAGAAAAGCCTACTTTGCCTTGGAGAAGAGGAAAGCAACCAAAAGAGAAACAAGAGCACAAGGGAACTGAGGAATCACCTGCAGCAGTGACTGATCAGCCAAAGGAAGTACATCCTGAATTACCTTGGAGAAGACAAAAGCCACTCAAAAGTGAGGAATCCTTGGTGAAACCTACTGCTACTGATGAAGAAATCCCATCATTGCAAAAGTCACAGATTGAAAAGGGTTTACTTAAGGACGATAGAAAACAAACAACTGATATACAATCTGAAGTACTAATTGATGAAAGACAGCCACCTTGGAGAAGAAAAAAGTCTGATCATCTACCTTTAAAACACGAAGAATCAAAAGTAGGTCCCTATTCAGATAAACCAGTTTCTTTTGTTCCAAGTGAGACAGCTGCTGAACTGAAAGATAACCAGCCAGAAAGTAATCAGATAACAGGAGGTGCACAGACACCTACTACAAAAACACCAGAAGAACCAGGGTTGCCATGGCGTACGAGTAAAAAACCAGAGAAGCAAGATGTTACTATACCGAAAGATGATTCCTCAATAAAGACTGATGATCAGCCTAAAAGACCTAAAACAAAAAGAGGAAAAGATCAAAAACTTGATGCTGCAGTATTCAAGGACAGTCCAGCTATAGGAGAAGCATTGGAGACACCTGAAACAAATGTAAAAATAAAACAAGATGGTGTAGACAAAGTCGATATGAAGCCTTTAAAAACTAAACTAAAGATTGCCCAAGACGTTCCCAGTTTTGCTGAAGTAAAACTAAAACAAGTTCCCAAAAAAACAAAATCACATGTAGAAGAAATGGAGATTCCCAAAGTAATGTTGAAAAGTAGAATACAACATATAAAATATCCACCTTGTGAACAACTATCAATTATTACTGATCTTCAACCAGTTTATGTTGATAATGGTATTTTATCTCGAAACTGTGAAGAAGCAAAAACCATTAAAAAGACAAAGAGAAGGAAGGTCAAACTACCAGAACTAGAAAAACCTGTGTTAGAAACATACGTTCCATTTGAAGATGAACCGAAAAAACCCAAAGAAGATGTTCCTGATCTAGAAAAGATGCCAAAAGACAAGAAATCAAAAGAAACACCTGAGGAACCTGAACACAAAAAATTAATTATTGGTAAAGGTAAGCTACCAGGTCCTGATGAAGAACCAGAAACTGTCAAACTAAAGAAAATTCCACCAAAACCAAAGGAAGAAAAACCTGAAGAAGATACTAAATCAAAGAAGCCTGTTCCTGAAAAACCGTTGGAATCAAAACCTGAGGATGACTTTTCTTTCAAATTAAAACCTATCAAAGATCTTCCAACTGGCAAGGGGCCCGAGGAAATCGAACCTGCTGAGAAAGTGGAAGATATTCCTGAACCGGCTCAACCTGTTGATGAAAAAGAAAAGAAGCCTAAACCAAAACAACCAAAGTCAGATCAACCAACAGAAGAAAGAAAACTTATCATGGGTAAAGGTAAGAAACCTCCAGATGAGGAAGAAAAGGACATTAAATTAAGGAAAAAACAAGGCCCTCCTCCTGAAGAGAAACCTGAAGACATTAAACTCAAGCCATGGACAAAAGACAAACCTGTTGAAGAAGTTAAGACTAAAGAACCTACTGTTGGTAAGCCAAAACCTGTTGATAGAGAAGACATAGAAGAAGAAATACCAATGCCAAAGTTCAAGGATTCTCCAGATAAAATTATAAAGAAAAAGATAATTAAGATTAAAAAGCCTAAAGAGGGTAAAGACGATGAAGTGCCTGATCTAGTTGAAGAATCTCCTGGTGACAGTAAGCCAACAGAGTCATTACCTAGTGAAACCATTGAGGAGCCTGTAGACACAGTTTCTGATATTCCATTGAATATGGAAGCTACAGAGAGTAAAGATATTGCAGAATTGCCACCATGGAGAAGAGGAAGAAAACCAAAGAAGGAAGAACCAATTCAAATGGATGAACAACCTTTAGAAAGTGATCAAGATTTACTGAAAAAACCAAAGGTTAAGAAGACGAAAAAGAAAGATTTACCTGGTGAACAAGAAGAAGCAAAGCCCGAAGAGACGCCAAGATTAAAAACGGACCAAGAAAATAAGAAACCTCTGTTACAAAAATTAGAACGTAGAGAAATAAAACCTCAGAAAGTTCAAGTGACACCAGTTCAAGACATTCCTCAATTTGCTTCGATCAAACTGAAAAAGGCACCAGCAAAACCGAAAAAAGAAATTGAATCAGTAAAATTACCAAAAGTTATGTTAAAGAGCAGAATACAACGTCATGAATACCCTCCTAAAGAATTCAAGCCGGTTATAACTGACCTTGAACCAGTTTATGTTGATAATGGTATTTTGTCTCGAAACTACGAAGAAGCAAAAACCATCAAAAAGACAAAGAGAAGGAAAGTTAAACTTCCAGAACTGGAAAAACCTGTGCTAGAAACATACGTTCCGTTTGAAGATGAACCGAAGAAACCTAAAGAAGATGTTCCAGATCTAGAAAAGATGCCAAAAGACAAGAAACCAAAAGATACACCTGAGCAACCTGAACCCAAAAAACTAATTATCGGTAAAGGTAAGCTACCAGGTCCAGATGAAGAACCAGAAACTGTCAAACTAAAGAAAATTCCACCAAAACCAAAGGAAGAAAAACCTGAAGAAGATACTAAACCAAAGAAGCCTGTTCCTGAAAAACCATTGGAATCAAAACCTGAGAATGACTTTTCTTTCAAATTAAAACCTATCAAAGATCTTCCAACTGGCAAGGGACCCGAGGAAATCGAACCTGCTGAGAAAGTGGAAGATATTCCTGAACCGACTCAACCTGTCGATGAAAAAGAAAGGAAACCAAAACCAAAACAACCAAAGTCAGATCAACCAACAGAAGAAAGAAAACTTATCATGGGTAAAGGTAAGAAACCTCCAGATGAGGAAGAAAAGGACATTAAATTAAGGAAAAAACAAGGCCCTCCTCCTGAAGAGAAGCCTGATGATATCAAACTCAAGCCATGGACAAAAGACAAACCTGTTGAAGAAGTTAAGACTAAAGAACCTACTGTTGGTAAGCCAAAACCTGTTGATAGAGAAGACATAGAAGAAGAAATACCAATGCCAAAGTTCAAGGATTCTCCAGATAAAATTAAAAAGAAAAAGATAATTAAGATTAAAAAGCCTAAAGAGGGTAAAGACGATGAAGTGCCTGATCTAGTTGAAGAATCTCCTTGTGACAGTAAGCCAACAGAGTCATTACCTAGTGAAACCATTGAGGAGCCTGCAGACACAGTTTCTGATATTCCATTGAATGTGGAAGCTACAGAGAGTAAAGATATTGCAGAATTGCCACCATGGAGAAGAGGAAGAAAACCAAAGAAGGAAGAACCAATTCAAATGGATGAACAACCTTTAGAAAGTGATCAAGATTTACCGAAAAAACCAAAGGTTAAGAAGACGAAAAAGAAAGATTTACCTGGTGAACAAGAAGAAGCAAAGCCCGAAGAGACGCCAAGATTAAAAACGGACCAAGAAAATAAGAAACCTCTGTTACAAAAATTAGAACGTAGAGAAATAAAACCTCAGAAAGTTCAAGTGACACCAGTTCAAGACATTCCTCAATTTGCTTCGATCAAACTGAAAAAGGCACCAGCAAAACCGAAAAAAGAAATTGAATCAGTAAAATTACCAAAAGTTATGTTAAAGAGCAGAATACAACGTCATGAATACCCTCCTAAAGAATTCAAGCCGGTTATAACTGACCTTGAACCAGTTTATGTTGATAATGGTATTTTGTCTCGAAACTACGAAGAAGCAAAAACCATCAAAAAGACAAAGAGAAGGAAAGTTAAACTTCCAGAACTGGAAAAACCTGTGCTAGAAACATACGTTCCGTTTGAAGATGAACCGAAGAAACCTAAAGAAGATGTTCCAGATCTAGAAAAGATGCCAAAAGACAAGAAACCAAAAGATACACCTGAGCAACCTGAACCCAAAAAACTAATTATCGGTAAAGGTAAGCTACCAGGTCCAGATGAAGAACCAGAAACTGTCAAACTAAAGAAAATTCCACCAAAACCAAAGGAAGAAAAACCTGAAGAAGATACTAAACCAAAGAAGCCTGTTCCTGAAAAACCATTGGAATCAAAACCTGAGGATGACTTTTCTTTCAAATTAAAACCTATCAAAGATCTTCCAACTGGCAAGGGACCCGAGGAAATCGAACCTGCTGAGAAAGTGGAAGATATTCCTGAACCGACTCAACCTGTCGATGAAAAAGAAAGGAAACCAAAACCAAAACAACCAAAGTCAGATCAACCAATGGAAGAAAGAAAACTTATCATGGGTAAAGGTAAGAAACCTCCAGATGAGGAAGAAAAGGACATTAAATTAAGGAAAAAACAAGGCCCTCCTCCTGAAGAGAAGCCTGATGATATCAAACTCAAGCCATGGACAAAAGACAAACCTGTTGAAGAAGTTAAGACTAAAGAACCTACTGTTGGTAAGCCAAAACCTGTTGATAGAGATGATGTGGAAGAAGAAATACCAATGCCAACGTTTAAGGATTCTCCAGATAAAAATAAAAAGAAAAAGATAGTTAAGGTTAAAAAGCCAAAAGATGATCAACCAGAAGAACCTCTAGATGAAAAGCCATCAGAGGAAAATAAAATGGTTGAACCAGAAGTAGAACCAGAGATATTGCAAACAGATGAAGTACCTGAAACTGTAAAAGTTGTAGAATTACCTGATGTACCTGTTGAAGAATCTGCCCCAGCTCTTGAAACCCCAAGTCAACCATGGCGAAAAAAGAAACGTGTGCTTGTATCCACTTCTAAGGCTCCACCTGTTGAGGAACCGTTGGAATCTGAGTTAGTTCCTACACAAGTTGTAGAGTCTGAAGTTGTAGAGACAAAAGAAGAAATGAAATCGCTTGCAGCTGTAACATTAAAACAGCAAAAAACCACACATAAAAAGCAGGACCTAACTGAAGAAGCAGAGGTTGTGGAAGAAGTTACGTGGAGACAAGAATTGAATATCGCAACACATTCACACAGAAAACAGCCAGAAAGACAAGGTCTTCTTCAGCTGGACTACGATAAACCTATCGGGGATTTAGAAATCATATCACAAAAGAGAGTGGTGAAGGATACAACTACAGTGGAAAAGGTAGAATCACTTTCACCACCTCGATTTATTCAACGTATCGAACCGATCATCACTGAGAAAGAGGCCCCAGTTTTGTTCACATGTAAAGTTGAAGGTGTACCGTTTCCTGAACTCACTTGGTATCATAATGGTAAGGAACTGAAACCCTCCAAACGCACCTTGATGACAGTTGTTGAAGAGGTTGCCACCCTTGAAATTATTAGGTCTGAGGAAAAGGATGTTGGAGTGTATTCATGCAGAGCTACAAACAGAGCTGGCGTTGCCACATGCTCAGCAAATCTTGTAATTTTAGGTATTGTCAAAAGAATTCGGTTTGCTGTTTGTGTGATTTTTCTTTTTTATTATATGTTACTCTGACCTAACATTGCACATCCTATTGACAAATTAATAATGCTTTGTTTTGTTTTTTGTGATGTATTACCTTTAATGTAATGTTTCAATTAACAAACAGGATCATACTGCTGAATCTTTGGTTTGCTATTTTTTACAGTTTTTGTTTGCACACTGTCTTTCAGTCTCACCCTAAAGCTTTAAATGTATCAAGTACCTGGTTGTCGTTTACATTATTTGCAATCAAAATCAAAAAATCATCAAATTAAACATGGTAAATATTAAGTCCGAAATAAAAATTTAAAGCTAATTCACAGTTAAAAAGTAAATGTAAAAATTTAAGGTGTATATCATACTATTATTCTATAAGACAACTTATTTCTCACAACATACAGGTTCTAGACATGTTGTTAATGGTATCGGTACACACTATTCATACATAAACAAGATATAGTTCTTTACATTAACAAAATACATTGGGTAATTGGCGGGCAATATTGAATGTTAAAGTGTAGTGCATTAACTTTTAATGTCTAGTAAACAAAAATACTTGTAAATTTAAGTATAGTTGTTATTCTTATAATCTTATCAACCCCAGTAACCTTGGATTATATAAACAATGGAATATTACTTTTTACCTAGTTTTCTAATAAACTCCCATAACAATATAATAAAAATTTTTTGAATCCGTTAACAATATTATTTTTACCTTTGTTGTTACTCAAATTAGCTTTTGTTGTTATTTTTTGGCTTGTGTATCACTTACTTGTGTGTTTCAGGTTTTTTTTTACTAAATCAGAATGTACCTACAGTGATACAATTTACTAATATGTTTTCCCATTGTTATATGTGTGTCTTCTGTTGAACTCATGACTACTTTATGTTTTGTCTTTTTGAGCTGTTGACAGTTCATATGCTCTTGGTAGTTTTATATGTTGTATTATTTTATTTGTCAGCATGGATATTTTATTTTGTTTCTTGATGTTAAAGACCATTCGTTAAATCATCCTCCAACCTTGGTTAATATTAGTTTAGTTAAGATTATTTTTTAGAAAGAAAAGCTAGTGACATCTTAGTTTTTTGCACATGGGTCAGTATGTACAATGATTGTATAAATTAAATTAATGGAAGATGGCTAAGTAGTAAGTACAAAAATAAATTAAACCATAGTACATTCAAAATACAAAAGAGAGATGCATGTTTAAAATTAGTTTTACATTGTAAAATGATCTTACTAACTTATTCATGATATTAGATAAATACTTTCAAATATTTCTAAAATATATATATATATAATTTTTTTTTATTAGTGTGTATTTGGTCTATTTTTAATTTCTCGAACAATTTTAGATCTTATAATAATAATAAAGTAGAAATTTTGTCATAAATCAGAGGATGTACCTTTTAAACAGGTTATTAAAACTTAGAATCCATATTTACATTTTGTTAAATACAGTAGCACTGTTTTGATATAGGCATATGTGATATTTATATTCCCAACCAATTTGAAAATATTAAAAGAAAAATGGATACTTTTCCAGAAAAAGAAGAGGACGGAATTGCTCCACAGTTTACAATCCCGATCAAGCCACAAGTGGCAAAACGCAAGAAGACAGCGAAACTGAAGTGTGCTGTTATTGGCAAACCGATCCCGACAGTGAAGTGGTACAGAAATGAAGAAGAGATAATCCCTGATGAAGGGCATCAACTAACACACATTCCAGAGACCAATGAGCATGTGTTGACCATCGTGTCGATAGATGAACGAGACGAGTGCGTCTACTCAGTGCAAGCAGTCAACAAGTTCGGACGAGCGGAATGCCGAGCTAACATTGTGCTCAGTAAGTTGTTTGGAAAGTCAATTCTAATGGTTCCCTACCAAGGTAAACCCACAGATTTTGCTCTGCAACTAGTGTTGGAACAGAAACATAGGGTGTACTTGATCATCATGGTTTGTCAACTTCTTCTAGGGACCGTAATTTTAAACACCTAAAAACTGTGTCACACACACACATGACAAACATAAGCAAGTGTCTAAGTACAGCCTGGAACCTGAGAAGGCACTGCTTTGTGTCAAAACTAGGAGCTGAACGTGAATCTGTGAAACCTGAAATCTGAACACCTTGGTAAAGCATGTGAATAATGTTTTCTATTAACTTATCTAGCAAACATTATTTAAAGAAAATAGTTCAAGCAAACTACTCTTGTTCATGATAAAAAAACTACAAAATTTCAGTTTGTGTTGGTTTGTTGAGTTGATTTACTCTGTAACAGCATTATTCAAATTCAAAATAATTTTACTGTTTGGTTTTGAAGCATTTTTCATATTTTATTTCTGTTCTTGCATCTTATTAGTTAATTGAACTATTTATCAAATTTCATGCTCTGAATCCAAACTCCTGTCAAAATTTAACAAGCTCTGTTGCACAAGTTGTCCTTGGCTGTGGCCCAAACGGAGGTTTGTTTATTTTAAAATTACAAGTTCAATATGAGTGGTTGGAAGTAGAGCGTTTATGCCAACTAGCAGAACCGTTTAAAAGTATTACCAACATAATTAATCTTCCACACATCAAAGGAAATTTAATTGTGCATAAGACAGTATATTTAAAACAGTATCCTTGTTTCTATTTATTTATTCATTCTTGTTGTTTGGTTATCATACTTTTGTTTTGTTATTTGTACCATGATTATCTTCTATAAAACAACCACAAACTATTTTATTATAATCGCTTTGTTTTTATTATAGTTATTGTTTAGGATCCCATATGCTGTTTGCCACTGAGCTATCTATTAATGACGAGAGGCCTGTGAGCAAATTGTGCATTTAAATATGATAAGTTCTGAGGCAAAAAGAATAATACAACATGTACTTTTCAAATATTATGTTTGTTTGAGATAGTTATTAGGCCGAATGGAAATAAATCTACAATAAATTGAATTTGTTGTGTTAAGATCTACAAAACGAAGAGTGATAAAAATAAAATGCCAATGACTTTGGAAAACACAAAATAGACAAATTATCGTAATTTTAAGTATTAGTTACTGTGCGACCACTTAAATTGTGTTAATTTTAAGAAATACTATTTAGTACAAAATTGGATTATTATTACACACAATAGGTGATAATATTTACAAAATATATAAATCACTCTTTACATACCAAGTGGAGTGAAACTACGTCTATGATGTTAATAATAGAAACATGATTTTATCTTCCCTATTACCTATACAATTTTATGTAATTAATTAATAAATAAATAACTGAAAGATGGTATGAAACCTGTTAAAGGTGAAGCTAAGCTGGTCTCTAAGCCAGCAGTGATGGAAGCACCCAAGATAACCAAGCCTCTGCAAGCACTGGTGGTGCCGAAGGGGTCATCAGTGGTCCTGGAGGTAGAGTTCACCGGGACTCCCACTCCGGAAGTCAGCTGGTTCCGGAACGGCAAGGAGATTGTTCCCACAGGAGACATGACGAAACAGCCTGGTGTCACCACTCTTACCTTGAGGGACATTAACAAGAAAGTAACTGGGAAATATGAAGTGCGAGCGATGAATCCGGCCGGAGAGGCTCGTACTTCCGGCTCAGTTGGGGTGGCAGGTCAGTAGTCAGCGATTTTATTCTTTGTTTAATTTAAACTTGCATTTCAAACAAGTACTTTTCTAGTACAAGAACAGTTAATGTCCATTTCACAAGTCAACTCTTAGCTACTGTTATGGCCCTGCTTGCAAAGGTTTATTTTTTAAATATTTTTTTTAGGCGTTGCCTGATTATGTTACTGTATATAGACTGAAGTACAAATGTAACTAAAGTTAGAGGTACCAACTAAATTTCATGGTAGTTATTCCTACAGATATTTAGTTTTTCACCTCAGAGTATTTACAACAGATTGTTCAATCTTTGCTAGTGGCTTCCTACTATTTCAATTTTCAATTATGTGTAAGAATTAAAGGTTCTATTCATTCGCACTTAGTACACACATTAAGATTCAAAATATATTTAAGATGTGTCCTCCAGCATATATTGGCATTTTAGTAGTTTTGATTAGAAAAGGGTGTTTTTCACTATTCATGAAGCTGTAATTCATTGTGTTAAACTATATTGTAAATTTGAAAGAATTCTGATTTATCCAAAAATATGTAAGTCACAAAGCATTATGAAAGAAAAGTATGCATGGTAGAGAGTACTTGTTAACTACCAATTAGAGGAAACCAAACCGGTAAAATTGTTTTGAATATCTTCCATCATGCGTTTCATTTTGTCTACTAGATGCTGAAGAACTATTGGAGATGGAAGGTGTGAAAGCTCCAAGATTCATCCAGCCTCTGCAGCCGCAGACTGTAGCTCCTGGCCAAGTAGTTCTCATGGAGGCCATCGTACAGTCATACCCTACGTGCTCCTTCCAATGGTTCAGCCACAACACAGCAATCAAGGTAAACATATAGTAGAGTGTTAGACTCTGATTGTGGCTTAACATTGGTAACTTTGCATTATGCAATCCAACGTATGAAACGGTATTCATTGTTTGCATCATTGGGTTCGTTGAGTGACAAGCTATTTCGAGACATAAAGACAATACACAGTATTAACACCGCTTGAAATAGTTGTTTGTGTTCATAAAATATTTGTTGCTAAATAAAGTTATTACCAGGAAGTAAATTCAATATTGGGGAATAAACATCTGTTGAGCACTATCTTCTGTTCATTTTTTATGCAAGCCGTATTAATATTTTATTTGTCTCATAAAACAATTCACTTATACGAAGATTACTGGTTCAATCTTAAGAAGAAATGTTTTAAGGAATTACGATGGCTTGAAACTGGACTAAAATTTCCTCGACCATCCAATAACTGATAAATTACCCTGGGAAAAACCAGCTGATCTATGATGGTAAAAAAACTAACATAACATTTGTTCAACACACCTAAAGTGTTGGCATTTCTATCTATGAGTGGAGAAAGGCTATGAAGAATATATACTGAAAATTTAAATCAGCTATTGATGGTTCCACTGTTTACCCAATTTGGCTAAAACCTCACAAAACAATCTATCAATCAATTCCTTGAGACAGTGAGGCACCCTTGGGTGAGTAGCGTAAAGCAGAATATGAATTAAAGGTGAGTGTAGAATGGTGTGAAACCACCTGTGTAGCTTTGTTACTAAGACCAGCTGTTTCATCAGTCAAGGTCATTTATTAAAAGTTCAACGGTCAAGGACAGCTGAGTACAATTTCTAGCCATAAAAAAGGTAAAATTTATATCATTTCTCAAACTTGTTTTGAGTTTTAGGGTTTATTTTTTTCTATTAATTGACCTGTGAAAAGAACAAAAATTCAACTATGTCATACTTCCTTTTACAACTGATGTAAAGGGCATTGCATGGGACTAACACTTGTTCAATGTTGATTTACAGTCCAGCGTAGAGACGAGGATTATGACGGATGGAAACAAGTCAGTGTTGATGTTGCCAGCAGCTCTGTCTGAGAGTGCAGGAGACTACACTTGTCGTGCAGAGAACGTCGCAGGCTCTGTGACATGCAGTGCCACACTGAGTGTCACACCTGCCACGGAGACTGCTGCGGAACTACAGTCACCGGTGTTCACAGTCACGCCACAACGTGCCAAAGTCATGGACGGCGAACCCACAGAGTTTGTGGCTAAGGTGAGGTGTACTCTTCTGTATTCACAATTTAGTATGGCTGGAGAAAAGGTGTTTTAAAAAAATTAATTCTGATTCAACCATAGTCAGACTTGTATTACAATCGAGTATTCCATTGAATAATTGGCATAATAATTGAGTAATATTCTTTATGAAGGATTCTGTAGCAGTTGAGCTAGAGGTGATATGACATGACATGATATTCGACACAAGATGAGATTACAATAAAATCCCTTGTGTGTAGAATACAATAATGCAATATACACTTTATTGAATATGTTTGTTTGGCCATGGAAAGTATATTACAGCATGAAAATTTAAATGTGTATACATTTTTAACTTAAACACCTTATAATTTTAATTTTTAAATAAAAGTCTGTACTTTTGAGTCTGCAGTTTTGATGGTGTGGTTTAGCAATAAATATTCACTGTCACATTATGATCAAAGGATACGCTAACTTAAGACCAGTAGATTTTAGAGCCATCGCGGTAGTTCAGTGAGTTCACATTCCAGTGCTTCCACTGACTATTATAAATACCTGCAATTTTACTGTTCAGTTCACTTTGCTTTCCTTGATGACTTCCACAAATATTTTAGAGGCATTTTTGAATAGGCCTAGTCTTTCTATGTTTCAAGGACAAAAACAGGTTATTGACAGAGTAATTTCTGGGTTGCAGGTTATTGGCAAACCAGTGCCGGTGGTCACGTGGTACCACAACGGGCAACTGATGAAGGAAGGCAAGCAGGTGTCCATGTATCAGGACTCGGAAGGTCTGTGCAAACTGGCCATTACGGAAGTGTTCCCAGAGGATGCCGGTGTCTACTCATGCAGGGCTACCAACCCTGTAGGCGAGGCTGTGTGTGCTACGGCCCTGGTTGTTGAAGGTGAGTTTAAGTATTTACTCATTGATGGATTGTTGAAGTAGACATTCCATCTACATGTACCGGGTGTAGTTCATAGTTGAATGAGCCGTTCACAGATTGAGCTAGTATCAAAACTCTTATTTCCTGTCTTAATTTTCAGTATTCTCTTCATTAATGACATAAAAGTTGCTTTGATTTACAAAAATTTGTTCTTTTAAACAACTAACGTTTGAATAAAAAAAAGTTTAATTTTGGTTAAAAAGTTTCTATACGACATAATCAGTAATTAGAATCAGCACTATCTGTCAGTAGGCCAATTCTTTCACAATACAAAAAAAATCTTTTATAATATTGTTCGTGGGGTTGTTTTAAAAATAAAATAAAATAACATTAAATAAAGTTAACTTATTTTGAAACTTCAGGCTCTCGACCCCCGCAATTTGTTTGCTACATTCTTACACCTGAGTCTGAGACGCTTACCCCTAAGCTAGCATGAATCCCAATTATCCCCCAACAATCTTATCATATTTTGTTTTTCTGATTGAAGAAGTTGAATAATTAAATCTTTTTTCCAGCATATGAGTATGTGCCGGACTCTGAAATCGCATCAATCACTGTAGCAACTTCCCTGCTCACTGGGCAGAGCGGCTCGGAAGAAGACCTGCTGGCTGACAAGGTACGTTCTTCAACAATAAATGTAAATTATTGGCGAGTCAATAAATTACGAGTAATTTAAAGAGAAGCTTCATCCAGGTCAGGGCTGATCTATGGTCAAGCCATTGGACCAGATAGGCCCTTTAGGTGTTGTTATACTATTAACATACCTAATAGTTAAAAAAATATTTGTATGCACATTGATTAATGAATAACCAATTAGAACCTATTAGGTCGTTGCTGATTAAATTGATTATTAACAGACCATTTCATTGCAGGACATTTTGTCTGAAGTATCAGAAGAAAAGCCTGAGGATCTGGGAAGCGCTCCTTACTTTGTAACACCTTTACCAGAGGAGGTACAGGCTAGAGAAGGAGAACTATTGAGGTAACTAACTAAATAAAACATTTCAAAAATGTATTTTGCATCATTCCAATAGGTATGAACAAGGATTATAGCTTATTATCTTATTCCTGCATAATTGCATGATGAGGCTATAGTAAGTCCTATTGAATTTTACATTTTTTGTATCAACAGATATCTACTTTTTATGTATAAGATAGTATGAGAGTGAAAGTGTATTTAGGTTATTGAAAGTTATTTAAGCTGGAATATTTATTTTACTTTTATTGATTCAAAATAAAGTAAACGGCAGATAAAGAATTTGAAGTAGGCCATATTTTATATTGTAAAACTATTTTAAGTCCTTCAGAAATTCCACTTAAAAATGGATAGTGTTTTATTAAATTTACACTCCTCTAATTAAAAACTTCTGCAAGAGTTACATCAGGAGTTTTGATTGTTTTTATCACATTTTTATCCAACTTTGAATATTGTTCCACAACTAGTAAAACGTTTTCATGAATCACCCCGTACCCATTGACTGTGCTTTACAGGCTGGAAGTGAAAGTGGAAGGCACACCAACGCCTCAGATGCGATGGTACAAGCAGGGCATTGAGATCATCCCTTGTGAGGAGTTCCAGATAGAGTACCTGGAGGATGACTCAAGCGTACTGACTGTGACGGAGGTGTACCCGGACGACGCAGGCGAGATTGTCTGCGAAGCTCACAATGAGCTGGGTGTAGCTACAACAACGACTGTGCTGCAAGTAGCAGGTACTGATATGCACCCAAGCTTCACCTGTAAACAGACAACTAGATGCTTTGGAGTCGGTTAAAGCTTAGGAAATGTCATGCTGAACTCATTGCTTGAGGATTTAAAAAAAAATATAGCGTTTGATGTAGCAAAAAGTTCATAGATGCTTTGAAGATGACTTAAGCGTAGTGAAGGCCGTGAAAAATTCATTGCTTGAGGATTTAAAAGAGTTTAATATCGGAATGTGCACATATGACTAGATGCTTTGGAGCTGGTTTAAGCGTAGTGAAGTTCGTCACTTGTGGACTTAAAATAATAAATAGTTTAAAATGCTGTGAATTGTACAGGAAAGACAGATCCTTAGTTTAATGTTCTCAGTGAGTAGATTAAAAATTTATAAACTGTGTTTGTTTGAATATTCTCTATAAATTGCGATAGATAAATTGTTTAGTTGAATTTTACTATAATTTACTACTGAAAATTAACTAAATAGTATTACAAGTGTGTAGTTATTTAAGAAGATGTTTTTAACGTGCCAGCTTAGTTCGGTTCTTTCCAAGTGTTATCATTTGATCTACAGTAAAGTTATAGTTAAGTTTGAATAATAAAATATTTTCAAACACTTTAACTCATTAATTAAATTGTTTACTTTTCTTATGGATTTACTTACATAGTGCTAAAACAAGTAAAAGATTTACTCTATAGGTACTGTAAGAAATAAATGTAATTAAATAGTATAACATAAAAATTAAAACCCATTTTAACTTTTAAATTTAATTAGGCATTACAAAGTACTTAGTACTTAATTAATATTCAGGTAGATTCAGTCGTGGTTATTTTCTACCTACCCTTAAAATTCTTCTTGCAACTTTGCTGTTCTAATTATTTCTTTAGCTTAAATCTTGATAACACCATAGATCACTATATGTATAGTTTTTGCTTTTGTAAACTCTCAGAGTATATATATACTTAAAAGTATGTATTTATTACTCTTAGGTAAAATGTAACATACAATTTTACCACAGTTAAAATGCTTAAAATATCAATAGTTTCATTCCTAGCTTTTTGAGTTTGGATTTGAAGGGATTTCTTGTTTTGCTGATAACTCTTGCTTTTTTTCAGTGAGGTGGTGGTTTTTTTCAGCTTTCGCAGACTGGAATTCTTCTTGCCCTTTATACAATAGTTTGCCCCTACCAAATTTTCCCTACACGCAAACATAACAGCTTCATTAACATTCATTCCACTGTCAAAATATATTAATCCATTGTTAAGGTGATTATTATTGTTCATATTTAAATCTAAGAAATTATACATGCAGTTTAAATTTGCATTTTATTAATAATGTTTTTTTCAGCTTTATAGATACGAGTTATTTAGAGTTATATTCTTGATAACTTTCAGGCTAAAAATATTTTTTTCTATAGAAAACAGTATTCTTTTAACTCAAAATAAATTTGATTGAATCTGATTTTGATTAAAAATAATAAAAATAAAATTTGAATTGATTCTGAAATAACTTTGATTGATTCAAAAATAAATGTTAACGATTCTGAAATAATTTTTATTTATACTAAATAATTGTCATTGATCCTGAAATAGTTCTTGTTGATTCTGAAATAATTGTGTAGCCTACTGAAAGTTTTGATCTTGAAGAAATGTTTAGTAAATTAATTTTTTAATTAGAAGATGTATGCTGAAGATATTGATTGATGCTACAACTGTTGTTGTGTGATGCTATAGGTATCCTGGGCACTAAGGAGTACAGGAAGCCTGAGTGGGTTACACACATGGAGGAGATGAAGACCCAGCTACAAGGTAAAGAGCGCACATTGTCATTGGACAGTCTAGAGCATGTGGTTGTGCGAGAGTGTGATAACACGTACGAGGACGAGGAAGAGATGGAACCGTCACTCCCAGGAGGGAGTTTCTACCTACTCCCTCCCATCACAGAGCTCAGTGAACCCTCTAGCAGTGAGTCGGAGCGGCAGATGTCCTCGTCGTGTCAGAACTTGGCCACGTTCACCGCGGAGTTCCCCAGGGCTAGGTCGCAGTCGTTCCCTCGAGCCACGCTCTCCCGCCCGGCTCACCACTCAATGTTCCCCTTCCCCCTGGAGCCCCGGGAGCTGGACCCGGACACGTTTCATCAGCTGCATACGGCTGACAGTTGTGAAGAACTGCAGGAGTTCCTGTTGCTGGAGAGTCAATGCATGTCTGTTGATACTGGCCTTGCGCATGCCTTCCTCTCAGGTACTAACACACTACCCTCGAGGTGGCTAATGGTCACTGAAGGCACTGATTTCAGTAGGGGGTTACAAAAGTTAATTTTAAGTAGGGAGCTACAGAAATCACAGATTTTAGTAGGGGGTTAAAAAAGTCACCAATTTCAATCAAGGGTCATTAGAAGCGCTTATTAAAGTAGGGAATCAAAAAGTAGCTTTATTAATAGAAAGCTATAAAAGTTATTTATTTTCGTAGGTTGCAGTATGGATGGGATCACAAAAGTCACAGTGCATTAACCCAGTCTCATAATTTATTTAGTGATCGTTTAGAGTGAAGTTTAAAGAATTGTCCTTAAACATCAGATAAACTACGCACTTTTCTGATAATTTTTTACAGAAAATATTAATTTAAAAATCTTAATAGTAGACATCTTTTATTTACGTTTACTTAAAATTCTGTCTATTTTCATGGCTTCTAGATCAACATAAAGCAGTTACATTTTTGTTTTAAATAGTAGCCTATTATATAACTTTTGATTTGGGTATATTTTTTATAGTTTCAGTGATATTTTAATAAATCACGTTAAAATATATTGAGTTTGAGTTAGAAGCTTTTACCAGTTAAATTAGAAGATGTATGCAAAAAGAAGCATACATAAAAGAACACTATAAAAGAATACTTTAGGTTTTGGACACACAAATGAAATTGGTTTTAGTAGTTTCTTCCAGACTTTGTAGATTTAGAATATTCTATAAATTTTAAACATTTATTTTTTTATTTTTTTATTAACAATATGAATATACTTTTTACAAGCAAAACTAATTAATTCATTTAAAGCCCTGACCCTTTATGTAGATTTATTTATTTATATACTAACTACTTTTATAACACCAAGATTTTTATTTTTATTTTATGATTACTCTAGTGAGTTTTTTCAAGAAAAATGTCTTTCCTATGCCAGTCTAGTTGATTTATTCGTTTGTTGTGATGTTTTGCTTTGTTTGTTTGTTTTGGTTTTATGCTCTTAACATTAAGTTTGCTAACTGTTTGTTCACTAGACCAATGACCAGCAGTCTTCACCCAACTACCAAAGAAACATTTTCTAGTCATATTATTTAAGGTGAGTTGTTGTGATATAAACTTAGAGAAATTCTATGAGGAAACATTTTATTGACTCCTGGATTGCTTGGATAGTATTTATTTATTATTATTGTGTTGTAACTGTGTATTGGTAAAAGATTTACTAGTGATTTGTGCTTGCTTGGTAAGCCAGTGACTCATTCGGTAGTGTGACAGATTGTGAAACAAAAAAAAACGAGTTCAGAGTTCACAATGCCACCACCTAAAACATTTCAGGATAGTTCATTCTTGTCAGGGGTGCCCATCCCCCCCCCAAGGCTTATGACGCAAATTCCCCCCCCCCCCAAAACTGGCCAAGACCATACCACCAAATCTGTCGTAGAGTTCTGAGTCCACCATCCTATTGTTTACCCCCGTAAATTTTGATAGTACAAATGACAATATTTGCTATACATACTTCAATATTTGGTACTTATTTACCACTAATATTGAAATGCTGGTTAAAACCTTTGTTACAAGATTAGTTGTATAAACTGTAAACTTTCTGCAGTTTTGACGTTATTGCACTTAGAAAATTGTGATAGCAAATTTTTTTTCAACAGAAACTTTAATCAAACTATTACCTGTTCCCTTGCCTTGGAGGGATCTTTAAATCTATTATGAAATAATTACACATCCACTATTGGTTTTAGAAATATAATTCAACTATAGCGCATAGTTTGATGAAATTCTCTGTCTTTTAATTCAAATAAGTGGTAAGAAAATATCAAGCTACATAGAACGGTGTAAGTAGCACTGATGCTCGTCTCATAATACTGTAATAGCATTCAAACGGTTTTAATTTTAATTCAATAATAATTTAGTTACAGTGTTTAAATTTGCATCCCTAACCAGTGCTCGATTTGTAGAAAATAAGGTGACGGAACTGTAACCTATTTATTGTGTTTTGTACCTATTTATGACAATATTTTTATCTTTCCGAAAGAGAGGTGCTTCCGTCGCGTTCCCCCGCAAATCAAGCACTGTCCCCAACTATAATTAAAGTGAGTAGGCTAAAGCAAATAAAGTTTTTTATTGATGTTGAAGTCACATAAAAGATATATTTTAAAAGAAATGCTTCAATTTTGGTCAGACATCTGTGAAATGACATCTTGAAATTTTAGTGCAAGGTATTATAATAGAAATGAAACGAGGTGCTAGAGATTTTTATTACTGCATATACCCTGGCCACTAAACCTACTTCACCGATAGAATGCAAAACACCGGTGTTTGTGCAACAACAAACTACAGTAGGCCCTATTGGTGTCGCAAGCCGAACAGTAGTTAAAGAAATAGTTTTTAAAATTACTTTTTTCACATAAAAAGAAAACAAAAGCATTAGTTGCTGAAACAATGTGTTTAAAAAAATTAGATTACTTCAAACATGATCTATTTTTACAGATATTTACTATACTCTCAATTTGAATATAACTAGACATTCCAAACCCATGTTAAATTTTTAGCCAGATTTTTTTTCAAAATCGTAGTTGATGTGAGCCACCTACAGATTTTGATTTTGCTGATATAAATTACTAAGTTCTGTCAAATACACAGACTTTTTTACCAAGTCAAACTTAGGGAATGACTTATGATGAGTTATAGCAACTGTTATGACACATCAACCTGGTCAGCAACAAAAAATAAGGTATAAAATAGAATTTTTATACACTAGTGCATTCTGTGACTCGCTCACACAATTATGTTCTTTTTTAATAAAAAATTGGCTAGAGCTGGTCCATATAGATGGGAAGTCTACTTCAGTATCCAATAGTCAATGATATTACTTAGGTCAACGAGTTCAAAGGTTTTATGCCATCTTTGTATTGTTTTACAGCTGCCCTGAGTGCCCCCACATTTATCCAAGAAATCACAGATATACGAGCTCGAGAAATGGAAACCGTCAAGTTTGAGGCAGTGTTTGCTGGAACTCCAACTCCAGGTAAACATATGTTTTGCTATATCATGTACATGGTGGATTTCAATTCGGTATACTGTACATTGCATTTAATTATGAATATGATTATGACTTTCTCAGTGTTCCTAAGTATTTGTACACGTTGCCAAGAATGAATTGACATGATTGAAATTTAAAATTATTAAAAATGTTCCTTTATTTCATGTACAGTAAATTTTTCTAAAAGTATCTTGGGTAATGCCTTTTACTCAACCAACGTCTACAATTATTTTTATGTGTATTATAATTTGGTGTGAATCAAAACACATTTAGAAAAGAATATTTGATTTTTTGTGTGTATGTGTTGTTGTAGGGGTCCCCTCCGTGCCTTCTTTTGTTATTGTTTTGTCTCAGTGTGCCTCTAGCAGCCAATTGATTGTACTCTTGTTGCATCAAATTCTAATCATGGACCACTGGTTCTAGATGTTATTTGGTACCATAATGACAAGATTATCAGAAACACCAAAAATGTCAAGGTGACAATTAAAGAGAACAGAACGATTGTTACCATCAAGAAAGTAACAGAAGAAGATGCAGGAAAGTACGTCTGCAAGGTCACTAGTGAGGCAGGGTTGGCTGTGACCAAAGCTACACTGTCCTACACAGGTCAGTGAGATTGAGAAGTATTACTAGTTATCCAAACCAAACATTGTAACCATTCATGTTAAAAACCATTCATTCAAAAACACCCTCAACCATAGTTTAGATGTGATTCAATTGGTTACACTGGTAAAGGGGGCATATTTTAAGGAGAAATGTGTAAAAAATAAGTACTGGTTCTCTTTAGTCAGGACCATTTATAAGCCCACAAACTTAGTAAGAAATAAATGTTCCATTTCTTCAGTGTATAAAAAATCTAATTGCCATATTCAAAAGTATAAACAAGTAGAAGTTTTGTTATTTTCCCACTTTTCCTACACTTCCCATGTGACTGCCACTGGAACTAGCACACTATACTATACACTATACTACGAGGGCTGTTTGGAAATAAACCTCCGGTTTTCTATAAATAAAACACAGAAGTAAAACAATCATTTTTATTGTATACATCTTAAAACTATGTCTTTCCTCTACTTTTCAACATAGTTTACTTAAATAGGAGTTTTGAGAAAAACTTAGTTTTCACTTCTTATTTAAACCATGGTGGCTTTTATTTAAACAATGGTGGTGGCTTTGAGTCAAGTCCTGTACTATAAACGTTTTTGCAATGAAAAAATTTCACAAATAATTAATATTTGAATACTTTCAGGCCTGACTACTGAACAACGGAAAGAACAGGAAATCAAGTCAGCACACGAGGAAATGGAGAAGATCAGGCTGGAACAGGCTAAGATCATGAAGAAGAAGGTTCAGCAGAAGCGAGCTGAAGTGATCAAGCCCGAGAAGTAAATAAACTAGTTATTATGTTAAAACATTTGTTTTTTAATCAATAAAGGTAGTGATATCAGTAGTTATTGATGCCTGATATCTAGGCTTCAAGCTGCAATATCAGTAGTTATCTGATTTTACTCCCACAATTCGGGCAAAAATCATATCTACTCACATAATTGCAGAAGAATTTCTAGACATCATCACTGTGAACGCAATAATGATTTTTGTAATGGTTGGCTGACAATTTTTGTCTAGCGCTCAATCCCTAATTTTGTAGTTGATGCTCATCGTGGTTAAATGTTTCAGTCCCTTATTCACCATGAGCAATAATAAATAATATTATTAAGTACTACCATTGACAATTGAATACTGAAGTAGACAACCCATCTATATAGACCATTGTCACTAGTTTTTTTTTATTTAAAAAAAAACATAGTCGTGTAAGCCAGTTACAGAATGCGCTAGTGTATAAAATTCGATTTTCTACCTTTTTTTAGCTGATAAAATTGATGAGTCATAACAGTTGCTATAGCTCACAATAAGTCATTCCAACAAGTTTGTGTATTCGACAACAATTTGTAATTATCCATATCAGCACAATTTGTCAGTGGCTCTCATCAACTACGATGATTTTTATTGAACTGGCAACAATTTTAACATGGGGATGGAATCTCTAATTGTTTAAATAGTCAAAGGTACTACTTAATCATACATATTCATATTATTAAAACACACATTGGTTGTCAAGTAACAAGTTTTTACGTTTTTAGGGAGTCTGTTCAGCAGGAAGAACAACAACCATTGGAGAGTACAACCACATTTGTAGAAACTTCAGAATCGGTAAGTCAATCTTCGCAGCATATGACCATTACTGTAGGCTACCTATTAGAAATTATTTGCATTCATTTCAGATAATCAATAATAGTTTACCTTGTTCAAACTGTGAAACGGTTTATTATAAAGTCTAGAATCAAAGAATTTACTTTTAAGGGAATACAACCTTTCTATTAAAATTATAAATTAATAAAAAATAAATAAATCAAAAATAAAATCAAAACCATTCTGAAAGTTACTTGAGTTAATATGTAAAAGAGAACTTTACTTAAGTTTACTAATAAATAAAATGTATGCTTAAATCCTATTCAAGCTTTTCTAACACCCATAGAGTAGTTTTTGTAATGCGAGATTAACTTCTGAAACCTTAAGATTGTTGTCAAACTGATGAGATTGTTTGAATGATAAATGAATGAATGAATTATATTTATTGGCACAAAACGTACAGAGTATTGTTGTACATTTTTAAACTTTTCAGGCAAAAGCGACAATGAAACAAGACATTCAAGAGTCAGTACAAGTGTCTGCTGTGGCGTCCTCGAAGAAAGTGCCGGATGATTTGACGTTCACCGAGAAACCTGAGGTGGCCAAAGTGGTGACAACACCACAGGAGTCCGTAACTGTGACGGAGGTTGGTACCGGAGTAGTGGCTCAGGAGGAGTACAAAAAGGTTAAGGGGAAGAAAAAAGTAACCATACAAGAGTCAGTGCAGGTGCAGGAGTTTGAGAGAGAGGAAGAAGTTTATGAGGCACAAACGATCACCTCGGTACAGGACATGGTCGTCAGTGAGGTTGGTGCTGCTCAGAGGCATGAGCGAGTCACGTGGTGCATGTCGGCAACGTTAGATATAGTGCACCATGAATCTGGATAGAATATAGGCCTGTGCCACCTTAGCTTTCATACTGTACTGTCTGTGAGTAGAATTATCAGAAGTCGATGTACAATGTGAGTTTTCTATCCAATTTATATTATGGAATGTGTTACAAAAGATTCTGTAAATATCCTCCGATGTATCATTGTATATACAGTTTCATGTTTCACATCATCATATTCTCATCAGCATTTTCATTACCAAAGACTCTAAATGTTTATAATTTAATCGAAATAAGTTCATATCTGCTGATATAATTAGCTACTGCCTACAATTCGATCCAGATTTGGTTTTACTTTATGTACACAGTCAGACTATTGCAGTGCAAGCAGCATGACTCAACTTGGCGTAAATTCAGCCAATGTGATGAATGTTTGTGGTTCTTCAACTATCTTTCGCTTTAAATGTGTAAAAACATTTACAGTGAGGTTTAGATTCCAATCACATTTGTTAGCGCTCAAATTGTTTTTGTATGCATGAAATAGGCGGGATTAACAATTTATAGTTACAAAAGGAACACACTATGGTCTCTATTTTTAAACCCAGTATGATGAAAATTGTGGCAGATTGCCAAAATTGTTGGTAATACATCAGACTGACAGAATGTTATCACTTTCAATCATTCACTAAAATTTCTGTTCATGCATTTATCATTTTTTGATTTCTTGCAGTTCCATTAACCATTTAAAAACAATGAACACATTACGTGGTGTGTGAAACACGCATGCTTTTCTTGTTTAACTGTTTTATACTTTCAAGATTACTCTATTAAGTTCAAGGAACAAAATGTTGCAGTCAATTTTTCACTTTAAATATGTAAATCTCATTGATTTGCAAATGCTTTTCTTTTTCATACCCTTTTCACTTTCACAGCTCATGTTTTTTATTTACTTAATAACTCAGTTTTTTTTTTTTTATAAGTAGCTAACAAACTATCAGTGTCACAGTTGGTGTAAGCACTATTTTGTCTCATAGACTCAGCCGCAAGCAGTTGTACAAGAAATCACCGAGAAGAAAGTAACTAAGAAGAAGGCTAGGAAGACAGAAGCGAGGGAGCTGATCCCCGCAGCTGAGGTGTCTGAAGTGTTGCAGTTTGTCAATGTGGCTGAGTTTGGACCTGCAGAGAGTCCACTCAGAGAGCTGGCGACCGTGGGACTGCTGCTGAGGCATGGCATGACTGTGGACGAGGTAATCGTCCTACGCTTACTCTGATTCTGATAGTTTCCCCTAACTTCTGTTCTAATGTTAAACATTATGTTGTGCAGGGAATCAAAACGCTTTGTTTTAATTCCAAATTAAGGCTTACATATGTTTCTTGGCCACACTTGATTATTGTGGTGTTCTGGGTCAAACGGTGCCACATAATTACTGTATAATGTTAATGAAGATTGTTTTGTGGGCTTCCCTCACCTTTATTTATGTATAGTGATATCCAGGACTCGTCATATGGCTTCAAAGCGTGTCGCGGAACTCAAAAAAACACTTTCCGCTTTCTCAGGGTGAGGAAAAAACTATTTCTATCCCACATGCAGGTAGAACGTCTAAGCACGACTTGTTTAAGGTTTCCATGAAATGTCAGACTTTGATGCCATTTGAGTGTCGTGTATATATGTGTGTGTTATGACGAGTCCTTGACATCATTAGGCAAAAATAAAGGTGGGTGAAGCCCACAAACAATCTTCATAAATGAATAATATTAATATATTGAATATATTATATTTAACACCTCGCCTAAAAACATGTCATTTTAAAACGGTACTGTATAAAGGGCCTGAAAGCTTTTGGCATTGAGTTTTGAATACTGAAGCCCCATCCGTATGGACTGCTGTAACCAACTGTTCATTCTTATAGAACTTAATCGAATGAATGAAGCACTCACGAATTGTGGTACTGTCTAAAATTCTATTTTCTCCTTGTTGTTGTGATCGGTTATTGATAGGACACAAAAGAGGCTTAAGTTTGTAATAAGACGATCTTTCAGTCACTTAAAGCCTGTGCTACATTGTTTTATTGTCTCTTATTTATTTTAGAGTTTACAGTAAAGCCTGAAGCTTAAATTATTTGATAGGTGGTCGCCCAATACTCGGCAGACCAGTTCCCAGCGCTGCGTACAGCCCCGGCACAGTCAGCGATGGTGACTCTTGTGGAGCGCGAGGGTCACAGTGCGCTCATCTCGGAAACTCTCACAACCGAGTCGACGATGGAGCAGACGCTCGTGGGTGTGTTCCGAGCTTTCCTCCGGATGATTGAGCTCAAGCACACAACTATTGAAGAGGTTCTCACACTGTTCTCCCCTCAAGACTTTCAGACGCAGTCGTGGGAAACTCACACTTCTCAGGTACATCTGGAACAGTGTATGATGTAACTTTATGCATTTGCCATATGATGTTTTCATTCATTTCTGCCTTTTTTTTACTTAATAGAATTAGTAGTAGTACTGAATTGAATATAAAAAAATGTTTCGGGTTAAATTTCGATCCTTTTTTTCTATAGCATTTTATGTAGTTATAAGTGTACATTACTGTGGAAAATTAATTGTTCAGGTAAAATTTATGTGTACGTTTACATGTCGATATTTTATTTTAGATTTTTAGTAATTCTGTTTAAATTCCCTACGAGTTTAAAAAAATAGCTTCAAAGAACGAGAGAGTAAAAGAAAATACATAAAATGAACTTCTTTGTGGAACATTCAACATATCTTATTATGAAATAACTGGGTCTGGGGATGGTGGTCTGGCATCAAACTCCTCTTTGCTTGTTGCAAGTGATAGATATTTAATCTATTGAGAACTGAGAAGGCCTCTTTAAAGCCTCCATAGAATATTATTTTCTTTATACAAATGTTTGATGTTTGTCGGGTATTTCAGGTGGTGTAGAAGAGTCATCTGTTACTCACACAGCACTGTCACAAAAGTACAAACTCAAGGTAAGTAATATCTTATTTTATAGGTTCTATGCTATCGGATATGTGCATAAGCGTTAAATATCTAGCAAATTTCATCAAATCAATCTGAAGTTGCTTTGATAATTAGGACAATCCTATAAACTTAGGATTATTGTATCAAAACTAGTTTTCCCAATACAGAAAAGGTTTTATAAAAATGCCCTCCAATATTTGTGTACTCATACAAAACCAAATATTATTTGAAGCTCAGAATAGGAACTGTTTTAAAAATATTTTATCAAACTGTGTTTTTTGTTGTTGTTATACCCTACAGGCAATATTCTAAACTTAAAATATTATAGTAGCGAGTAAATTTCAGTTGATAACTCAAGTGCCTAGGTTTTGTCCCTGTCAGCACTGTTCACTTTAAAATTTACTAACAGTGTACCAAAATGAATATTAAAAGATTTTCCTAAATATCGATTTAGTTATCTGGTCCGATCAATTGGTGAGAAAAAGATAAGTGAATACTTTAAAATAGAAAGAGAAAAAAACGTGGGTTTGGACTTTTCCCTTTCATAGGTCGTAAAATGTGTCCAACCTAAAAAAAGGTTTCATAAGAGTAAAATATTCAACTTGTTTGTACTATACACAAACTTGAAATTTTAGATTTTGTTTGATGTGTTTTATATGTATTTTTTCCAGAAGTAAAAAGGCAGGTGACTAGGAAGACAACAGAAGTGACTCGTGAAGAAGAACAAGGTGTGTTCATAGAACGAGTAGACTCATAACATTGATAACTCTAATGACTCTTAATAAATACTCTTTAAGATTAAGCTAAAGTGTTTTGTTTTGAAGTGAAATATTAAAATTAACAAAAGCTGTACATTTGCAATGTTGAAGTGGACAAGCTGTATTCATACATTTTAACTTTATTGATTATTTTTGTTTAGTTGTTGAGTTTTTAAATTTTAAGTGTAAAGACGATTTATTTCCAAAAGAAAATGGAGTGTTCCAGTGAATCATAGAGTTTATTTTTCAGTTTATTTTTGTGTAGTTGTTTTTTTCAACAACTTTGTCATTCAATAAATATATTTTTGTTGACATTTTTTCAGTATTAAAGGGCTTTAAGGCAATACTGTGTATATTTCAGGCATGGAAAATTCCCTTTACTGTTTAAGAATCTGCTATTTAAATGAGCTTTAAAGTAGAGTGCAATTTGATGTTCATTGGCAAGGCTTATGTTGGAAAATTAATTGTTAACAAAATCTACAGGTTTTATTTACACACTTTTCATATTTTGAAGAATATTTTAAGTAATAATCCTCTAAACAAGTTTTTTGTTTAAATAATTAATATTTTGTTTTTGGTAAAATAAGCTCACAGTAATCTTTTTTTTACAGATAGCATTCTAAGCAAATGATAAAATATTGTTTTTATTAGTGAAAAGCTACAAAATATATCTTTATATCACACAAATATGAACGATGAGCAAAATATGTTCCTTGAAATATTTAGGCAATTGTCAAATGGGAATTTAGTTTTGAGGGAAGTTAATACACCACACATTAAGGTTAGGAATAGGCCCCTTTTAGTGACAATCCAAATTCGTTTATAAATTAAGTTACTTTTTTATTTACATGTTTTTGACAATGATATACTCCACCATTTCTATTATTACCTTTTTCAGTATAATGCATCTGTAAGAATGTATATATTTTTCAAATTGTTTGAACATTGCTCTTTTTTTGGCATACATTAATAAAATCAATGTCTTGAAATTGCTTTTAATTTTAAAATGCATAGATTAACTCTTGTCAGTTTAGTCAATTACATATTTACATTTAGTATTTGTAAGTAGTTTAAACATTAGATCATCTAAATTTATATATGATCTCAGCTTCATAACTAATATGTTCCCAATCACATGTAATAAGATGCATTTTTTATACCAACCCACGAAGGAATTTTTTCAATTGTATCAAGACTTCTGTTGCTTTCACAAGGTGATAGATGGTATTTTTCTAATAATCTTAAAGTAATTACTTTTTATATATTTAAAACGAGGTTTCTTCCTTTTGCCTGTCCACTGCACTTGTATGTTTGAAAATATTTATTTATTTACTATTTGTGTAGCTTTTTTGCTTTCATTTGAAGCTTCCGATGCTTGTTGGTTTTGGCTTTTAGTTACGCTTAACAACCGCTTCAAGCCTTTTCCAGCTGTAACAATGGCTTTGGCTTGATAATTAATCTCAAAATGCTTTAACAAGGTAAGTATTTCTTGCTTTTTAATTGAATGGCTACATTATTATTATTGTGAATTTACCATTATAATCGCAGATAACTTTCCTATTTGTGATGAATATTTGTTTCATTATACAGTTTGTTTTAATAATGTTAATTTATTTTAGAAGAATTTAAAAATATTAAAAGAACCAACCAACTAAAACTTTTTAACTTGTATGTAACTGTCATGTTAAATGGATTAGTTAATTAAATTGTAATGCTGACATATAAAAGTTCAATAAAGGAAAAACCAAACAACGGAATCTTTTAAACTAAAATAAATTATGTTGCAAGTTTTCAACTTAAAGTGATTTTAAAATTTTCCATTGATAATTTTAAAAGTCCAATCAAAAATATGTTCTTTGTTTAAAATATAATTGGACCCTGTAGCACTTGGCATAAATAGTAAGGGTTTAATGGTTCCATGTTGATAAAATAACGTACTTAGAGATGGTATGTATGTATTTGTGTTACGGTACTGTAACTGATACTATTACTGTTTTCAAAGTCCATAATATAATAAAGAATTTTGGTTTCAGATTTATGACTTATGTTTCTAAATCAAAACTTATGTGGTCTAAAGATTTAAAAAAGATCTCAAACTTCTATTTTTGCTGATTTATCTTAAGTTAATTTATGTTAAAACTACAAGGTAGTGGCCCCACCTAGTGTATAGTCAGAATTTATTTTATGTTCTCTTTAATCAAATAACTGATAACTTGAAACATTGGGTTTAGCGAACATGTTGTTACAATAGCAAAGGTTAAAGGGATTTATTTGTTATCTACATTGTTAAAATACACACACAAACATATTTACGTGCTTATGATAATTTCAAGAGGTACGCCAATGTACCCTCTGGTATGCGATAAGTCTCAGTACCAAGAAACTTTACATTTACTCAGAATATAATTATTAAGGGGTTTTGTGAGTTAATCCATTTACTTGCATCAGGAAATGTTGTCTAAATATTCAAATTAAGATTTTGAAGAATAAAAAAATCTTAAATCAGCAAAAATGAAAATCTAAAATTGCCACTGAAAACTTGTGCAATAAAACCAAAATTTTGATTTCATCCCATCCCTTAAAAAAATGATGAAAAGGTGTTTGAACAAAATATTTTTTAACATGAGATACTATTGTATTGTAGTATTAAATCTACAAATAATTCAGTAATAATCATATTTAAGTTCTGGTTACTAAGTACTGGGTGGACGCCAATTATTTTCCTCTTATCTAAATTATAACATGCCTTATTTTTATGTAAAACTTGTTTTGAACAAATTTGTTTTGACAAAATAACCTTACGGTAAATATTAAAATTTTATCAATAACCTATTACATGTGAGACAGTAGCTCTTCATACAACCTGTCAATTTATTAAGTGTTTTCATAATTCAATGCTAATATTTGCTTTATTAACAGCACAAAATATATTTAAGAAAGATGCATTTTACAGCGCACACAGCATCTAGGCATATTGCTTGTAAGCTCAAGCTACATAGTTTTGCAATATATACATTGCTTTTTTACTTGTCTTGCTCATGCAACGCTCGCATAAACTGCACGATTGTCGCTAGCAACACTTACAGGCATTGCAGCACCTAACACTAACAGTGTGACGATTATTTCACATTACTCACAGAGAATTTACACATTTCAGAATTGGTAGAGGAAACACAAATTCGCAAAGAAGAGAACAAAAGAAGAGTTCAGCCAAAATCTTCAACAGAAGACGAATTGACCATAACTGATGTAACCGAAGATGATAAAACTCTTGCCACGATTTCTGAGACTTCAGTGGCAATAGTTCAACACCCTGAAGAAATTAAAAAGGTGGTGGAAGAAGTAAATATACAAGAAGATGTTACTGTTGAGCAAAAATCTAAATCTGGAGCTAAAATAAAGAGAAAAGTGGTCAAAACAAAATCAGAAGAAGAAATTGAAGTTGTTGAAGAGGAGGTTGAAAAGACCAAAAAGAAGAAAGTTTTAAAAGCTAAGAAACCTACTCAGGAGGAGACTCCTGTAATTGAAGAAATCACAGAGAGCCTGGACTCATTTCAAACTCAACCTGAAAAAGTTATTCCCTTAAAGACCTCATCCCAAGTAAGTGAAGCTACTCCTGAGGCTACTTGCAGTCTTATTGGGGAAGTCCCTAGAGCAGGAGTGAAAGGAAATGTAAGTGTTACAACATTTACTGCTATTGAAAATCATGAAGTGCAAGAAAATGAGAAAGAGGACTACAGACCGGAGGAACTTATTCCAGTATCAGTTAAAGCTAAGCCAGAATTAAGTACTGTTGAGCCATATAATGTTGAGCAACCTCAAGTTGAATCGATTGCAGAGGAGTTTAGTAAATCGTTTAAGTCTAAAACTAGCAAAGCCACCAGAAATATTCTACCACAGGAAAGTTTGATTGTTAGCGAAACTCGAGTAGATCAAACGGTTTCAAAATCTGAACAAATTAAAAAGGAAGAGGGTAAAGCAACTGTCTCTATGTTATTGCACGAGGCTAAAGTTGTGAGTGAGACAGAAACATCTTTGAAAGAAGGTGAATACGAAACTCTAAGAAAGCCTCTGCAAGTGTCTGCTAGTTCAGGGCTTACTCTGCAGGAATCTATCAATGTAACAGAGGTGACAGAGTCAATAAGAGAAGAAAAACTTGAAGATTTTACAGTTCAGAATTTGATCAAACCAAAGATTGGCATAAATGAAGTAGAGCCTGTAATAGTTAGTGAAGTACTGTCAGAAACAAAACCGAGTAAATATTTTCCGGAAATGTTTGTACCAACTGAAACAGCAACATCATCTATTGTAACTCAAAAAACAACAACATTTACTGAGGAAATGGTTTTGCCTGAAAAAGAAGGTGAGTACAAACCTGGAAAACTGCCTCAAGGTCAGTTCGCAGGGCTCCAGATATTACCAGAAGATTCTATTGTTGTTTCAGAGACAGCAGCTCATGAAAAAGAAATTCCTTTTGGCCCTGGCCAAAGACCTGGGGAAACTGTAGCTACCCAGGGTGTAGACCTGATGGAAGGGATTGTAGTAAGTATGGTGCAGCATCAAGATACAGAAAGTGTTCTTAATGTACCAAAACCTGAAATGAAACACATTGATGTCCAGTTCACTAAAAAAGAAAGTTTTATCACAGTAGAAACACATACAGCTGAATCAGAAAAAACATTTAGAGCAAATGAAATTCCAGGAGCTCAAACTGCTACTAGCTCAGTTACATGTTTAGAAGTCTCCGGTGTCTCTGAAACCATAAGCAGCGAGTTGACCGATGATTATATGCCTGGTAAAACTCCCTATGGTGCCAAAGCAGATTTAAGTTTTCAAGAGATAGAACCTTTATCCATAACTGAAATAAAGTCAGAAGATGCCCCTGGGGAATTGTCAGATATTTTAAAATATCGAACTGATGCTGCCTCTCCCAAATTTCAAACTTTAGAGTCAAAAGAAATAACAGAAGTTCAAGCTCAAGACAGCGAAACTCCGTTGTCTGATTTTACTACTCCTACCCCAGTAGAAGTAAGTAAAACGTATGAGTCAAAAGAAGGAATATCAGTGTACCAGACTGACTTGGTTGAGAAAGAGGGTGACTATGTGCCAGATGTAGCTCCTGAACTTCATAAGGGAAAAGCAGTGCCCACCCATCCATTACAATCAGTAATAGTTGAGGAAATAACACCAGATGGAGATGTTGGGAGCTTGTCAAAGAAACATCCCCAAACAGTTCATGCCAATTATGAACACACTATGTTCCAAGAAACAATTGTTGAAGAGACGGTGATTGGAGAGGGGTTGGCTAAGCAAAAGGAAGTTGTCAAGCCAGAAAGCAAGCGAGCTGATGTCAATATTTTGGAGGAACAGAGTGTTACAGTTACAGAAGTAATTACGGATTACAAAGAAAATCAGTATACTAAACCTGAGTTACCAAAAGAGTGTTTTGCATCACAATCACACTTACCACAAACAGTAGCGGTTAAATCTGAAGTCCTGACAGAGCAGACAACTTCTTCATTTGAACAAAAAACACCAAAAACTAGTGTAGCAAAATCAGACCAAACATCATTAGAAAGTATAGTTGTTAGTGCTGTTGAACTTGCAGAAAGTGAACAGGAATTTAAAAAGGACAGATCTCCAATTAAATCCAAAGCTATTGTAGAACTAGCAGACGAATTAACAGGTTTGACAGTTCAAGAAATTGTCAGTAGTGAAAAAGAACTTGAACACATTCCAATAGAAAGTCCATTAGGTTTTAAGGCATCCAAAAGTATAACACCTCACCAAACCGTCATTCAGTCTCAAACCTTACCTGAAATCAACTTAGGCAACATTCCAAAAGTAGAACATCCAACAGGACAAGCCAAAGTGGATAACACACCATTCCAAGAAGTAGTCATCACTGAAACAAACATAACAGAGATTGAAACATCTTTAGACACAATTAAACCAGATCTTAAGACCGCCACTGTAGGTATTAGGCCAGGAGAAACTTTCTTAGTTTCAGAAGTTGTTGCAGAAGACAAAGAAGGCGTATTTAGGAGTGATCAGCTTCCTGAAAGCAGAAAAGCTACATTGAATCTAACTGGACAAGAAGTTGCTGAACGTGAAGAAATAGTTGAACTTTTCCAAGAGGGTACATTAACAAGAGAGTCTCCAATCAAAGAAACTGCTCAGATGAAACAAGACACCATTCAACTGGCTGTGTCTTCAGAACAGGTGCCAACTGAGCTTGAGGGTCAGTTTGACTCTCCTGTAAAGCCTAGTGAAAAAGTTGCAGCTCTCTCATTTGTTGAAGGTAATGTTTTAAGTGTGACTGAATTGAATGTTGTAGATAAAGAATCTCCCTTTGAAACTGCAAAAGCTCCTATGACAGCTCTTGCAAAACCTGATATTTCTGGTCAGGATGTAGCAGTAACATCAGAAGTTGTTGTAGATATGAGTGTAGGAGATGTAGATTTATTAAAACCTGGCTTTTCAGAAGCCAAAATAAAACAAAGCACACATGAAAGTGTAATTTTGAATGAAAATACAGTTATTGAAAAAGAGGGTGAGTATACTGCTGAATTTCTACCTGAGACTAAAACTGCTAAACCTAATATTGTAGAAGGACACACAACATCTATTAGTAGTGAAGTAACCATTCAAGACAAAGAAAGCATACTTGAAACACTAGACAGACCAAAAGAGAGATTAGCCATCCCAAATATTACAAGTCATGAAATTGCAGAAAAAACAGAAATAGTATTAGACAGCAGTTTACACCCATTCCAACATATAACTCCTACAACTGCCCAAGCCAATGCAGAACAACTTCCACATCACAGCATTATTCAGTCAGAACCATGTACAAATGAGCTAGAAGCTCCTTTTCAGTTGCCATACAAACCAGAATCCAAAAAAGCTGATTTTGTTATTGAAGGTACACAGGCTATTACAGTTCTTGAAGTTTCAACCCAAGACGACACCAGTCAATTTATACCAGACAGTAAACCAGAAGATCACTTTGCCAAACCAGACATAATACCACAACAGGTTGCACAAAGTACCATCATTACATCAGAAAATATTACAGGTGAAGTAAAGCCAGACACACCTCACAAAGTTTCTCCAAATGTCGAATCAATACCATATGAATCTATATCAACAAGTTTTGTAACTACTTCCGAAAAGGAATCTATTTTTGATTCAAAAATTCCAATGGATTTGAAACAAGCACAAAAATCTTTTGAAGAGCAAAAATCAGTATTGGTTTCTGAAATTAATGTTGATGATAAAGAAGGGAACTTAATTTCTTTCATTAAACCTAACCAAGTAACCGCGTTCCAAGAAATATCAACACAAGAAGTGGCCCAAACAACTGAAATATTATCATCATTTGGTGTTACAGACATCCCACAGTTTGTAACCCCTACAGCTAATGCAAAGCCAGAACAGTTACCTTTTGAGAGTATTATTCAAATAGAAGCATCTCCTCAAGAAAGTGAGGGTGTTTTTAAAACTAAAGAAATGCCACCTTCAAGTGTTGTTGATATAGGAGTTGTTGAAGAAAAGGGAGTCATTATAACAGAAATAACAACTGAAGATAAAGAAGATATTTATGCTTCACCAATTCGCCCAGAAACCAGTACAGCTCAAGCTAACATTGTCCCAGTTGAAACCTGTCAAAAAGGAATTGTTATAACCGAAGATTCTTTGGGTGAGATGGTTGCATCTGTTCCAGAAAAATCGTTTGCAAAATCAATTCAAACCCCTTTTCACAGTGTTTCACTTCAACAAACTACCATTGCAGAGTCTGAAACACCACTTGAAAAATTTATTAAACCGTATGAAAAAACAGCTGAAACTAATTTTGAATCAGCAAAATCTGGAATTACTGTTAATGAAGTTTATATCCGAGAAAAAGAGGGAGAACTTACTGGTCCAGTGAAACCCGTCACAAGTGTTGCTGGTGCTAGTGTGACAGCCCGAGAAATAGCCAGTAAATCTGAGATTGTTGCAGAGTTAACAACAGAAGACTTTCAAAAAGAAAGCCCAAACAAAGAAAATGCAACAGTAGATCAAATTCCGTTGTATAGTATTATTCAGTCAGAAGTTTCTGTTGCTGAGAAGGAGGGGGATTACAATGATTTATTAAAACCAGACTCTAAATCTGCGGGGGTAACATTTCAAGTCGGTGAAACTGTCTCCGTAGTTGAAGTTGTATCAGGGGATTTGGAAAACACTTTTACTGCCGATGATGTTCCAGGAACCAAAAGTGCGAATATTACAATAAGTGGGCATGCAATAGCTGTTAAAAGTGAGGTCCAAACTGAAATTTCAGTAAGAGAAGATGATCAAATCTTTCAACCAGACGTTAAAATAGCGCAGGAAGTTGTGGAAGAGAGACAAAGTGTTAATGTATTATTGACTACATCTGAAGATAAAGAATCTTACTTCTGTCAAAATGAAAACCCAAAAGAAAGAAGAGCATCGCCATCGATTTCTGAGTTGGAAGTTGCTGAGCAGACTGAGCATACTCTTCATCACAGTGTTGGTACCCTTGACCAAATTAAGCCATCAGCCACTACAGTAACTCCTAAACATACTACTCTTGAAAGTTTAGTGCAAACTGAAACTGAAGTAAGGGAAACTGAAGGAACTTTTGAAAGCCCAATAAAGGTGGAACAAAGGAGAGCTAGCATAAATTATGAAGTTGGACACAGTGTAACCATTTCAGAGGTGTTTCCAGGTGAAACTGAATCAAAGCTTTCAAATATTTTGGAAACAAAAAATAATAGGGCTCAATTAGTACTTGACGGTACCCAAGAAGCTGTTGGGCAATTGGAAATCACTCTTGAAGACTCTATAGCACCACTCGATGAAAAAAAAGCAATCACACAGAAAGCTGTAACTGAACAATCAACATTAGAGAGTATTACTGTAACTGAAAGATTACCTCAAGAGAATGAAATTGAGTTGGTCGAGAAATTAATAACTGACACCAAACATGCTAATGTATCAATAGAAAAGGGTAAGAAAGTTCAAGAAATAATTGAAATTGTTCCAGAGTACCGGGAAGGAAGATTAGCACCCTTAGAGAAAACAGAAGTAAGAAAAGCTACTCCTGATTTGATAACTCGAGAAGTTGCAGAAGTTTCTGAAACTTTGACACAAATAAGTGTAGGAGAAATGGTGAGAACAAAAACAAAAACAATGACTGCTGTTAGGACACAATCTGCTTTAGAGACTTCTGTGCATGAAGAGGTAATATGTCAAGAAAGTGAAGAGTATTTCACTCAAACTAGTGCTAAAAGTAGAAAAGCAAGCTTGGCTTTCGAGGAGGGCAAGGGTGTAGTTATTACAGAAGTCATTGCTGATGATACTGAGGAACCATATTCAAAAACAATGCCAGAAACTCAAAATGCACTTCCAGAAATATCCCTCAAAGAGGCTACCCAAATAATGGAAATTTCATCTGAAATTCAACCTTCTAACATCGTAATAGAGTTTCCTGATGAAGTAAAAGCTAATGTGAACCAGAAGCCTTTATGTGGTATTCTACAGAGTGAAGTTGATGTCAGAGAATCTGGAACTGAATTTGAAAGTATGTCAGTTGAGAAGAAGATAGCAAATCGTTCATTTGAGGAAGGAAGAGGTATAAATATAACAATGGTTACTGCTGAAGATAAAGAACAACCTTTAAAACCTGTTGAAAAACCCACACCGAATCAAGCAGAGCCTAAAGTAACAAGTCAAGAATCAATTCAAGCAAGTGAGGTATTGCCTGAACAAACGGTTTGTGAATTAAAGAGTGCGACTCCACAAAAAGTAAAAGCTAAAAAGAAGCATGATGTGAAAGAAAGTTTAGTAGTTACTCAAAATGTTCCTCAAGAAAAAGAGAAATTACTTACAGAACAACCAATAATTCCATCCGCTGTGGCTAAAACAGAAACTACAGAAATGCAAAAGGTTGCTGAAAAATCTGAAATAATTCCAGGGTTTCATCCCCAGACCTTAGAGACAATAACCCCAGATAAAGCATATGCTAGTTCTGAAGCTATTGTGATGGAGGGAATCGTTCAATCTGAAGTTAGAGTAAATGAGATCGAAGAAACATTGGCAGAACAGAATGTACCAACAAAACGGAAAGCTAGTGTTGTAAAAGATATTCAAGAAAGTATAGAGATTTCACAAACAGTTGTCGCACTCAAAGAAGGGATTCATGAAACAAAGCCGTCCCCAAAAGCAATCAAACCTTTGGCTAAACTGGATGAACAAGAAACACTCATCCAATCAGAAGTTTTAGTTTCCTCTTCCACTGAAGAGTTGAAAAATGATAAAAAACCAGAAACTATGAAAGTCCATCCAGAAAATATCCCGTTTGAAACTGTAGAGACTTCAATGACTACCGTAATAGAAAAAGAAACCAATTTGGAATCTTTGTGGAACCCTTTGACATCTAAAGGTACTAAAACCATCCAAGAAACCGAAGGAGTGAGTATTACTGAGGTAATTCCTAACGAGAGAGAAGAGGAAGTAAAAGCAAGCAAAGTTCCTCAAGCAGTAGCAGAAACAAATTTTGTAGACCAAGAAGTGGCTATAAAAAGTGAAGTAGTCCCTGAGTTCCCAGTGACTCCTTTGGAAGTGGTTGCTCCAGCTACAACAGTCGCACAAAAATCCACACCCACACCAGTACACCACCTGATTACCACTGAATATGATACTGCAGAGCTAGAAGACAAACTACCAGAGTCCGTGGCACCTGATGCTAAGCACACAGTAACAACAGTAGAAGCACACAAACCAACTCTGACTGTCACACAAGTCCATCCACAAGAGGCCCCAGGTAAGATCTTCTACAAAATACTTGCGTTACTGTTTTACATATAATATCATATATATATATATATATATATACATTATATTTGTCTATATGAGTATGAAATTACAGTTTTAGCTGATTAGTCATATTTATTCCTTTAGGGTCTGTTTTTTATTACTCATGTGATACAGCAATAGTTAAAAGTGGCCTGACAAAAACACAATTTGATTGCAAAATGTTGTTCACTCACCCAATATGTGGCAAAATGTCTTTTTTGACCTCACATTATGTGGGGACAGCAGGTGCAAGTTAAAACTTAAGTATTGGTTTTAATTTTTTTATTATGCTTTGAAAACTTTTGGCTTATAAATGCTTTGTTAATTTTATATAAGGATTCAAACTAAAGAATATAAAATTTACCAAAACGTTTTTCAGATAAACTTGTCATCTATAAACAAAAATTATATAGTTTTAGTGAATAACTTCTTGATCAGCATCGTAGATAGTTTTAGTGCAATGATTGAAATTGTGCGTCTTTGCAATTTTTAAATGACTCCATATCCACTCTTGTTGTGCCATTTTTAAATACAGTACTTACTGTTTTTCCTCTCCTGAACCATAATCTCACACACTATGAGTTCATGTTTGAACTATGATGGCCTTACAAGGTACCTACCGGTCTGATTTATGAAAAAGGTGTAATAGATTTAAAAACAAAAAAACTGTGTATAGTGTTTCAGTAATTTTCATTTTAGTAATTTCAATATAGAATGCTTATTGAATGCCATGGGTTTTTAAATATTTTTCTCTATGTAGTAATAAAAAAGTTTGCTGCATAGTTGAATCAAATCCCAAGACTTAAAAAATATTGACATTTAATTATACGGTCAAAGTGTAAGAACACAATATGACATTACACATCGTGATTGAGAAAAAACTGTATTAAGAAGAAGAAGAAGAAAACTTAACAAAGTAAAAGTGATACTTGTATACTATATACAGGGTGTTTTTTTTAACTTGCATCTTTATTTATGTAAAAACTGCAATAGATAGAAATATGCAGTTTGCGGGAATCGTCTATTGACGTAGGGGGCCCAATTTTTTTGAATTCAACGTTACATTCACATTCCCCCCTTTCCCCCCCTGTCCCCAACTTCATTTTTTTAAATAGCAAGGTACCCCTTGTGACATATCAAATGAAAGAGCATGAAAAAAGAAAATGTTTGATGAAAAAAATTGAAAATCGGTTCAATTCAATTCAATTCAAAACTTCTTTATTCTGTCACATGTAAATTGTTTAGAAAGAATAGAGTCAGACCTAACCTAAATTATACATATTATTAATATCTAAAAATACATCATACAGACGAGTTTTCAGCTCTTAGGATATTATATACAACATACGTTACACACATCACTCCAAGAAATCGTGGAAAAAAATAGAATAAAATAACTACAACTGTTTCTTAAAAATTAATAAAAGCAATATTCATAAGTTTCATAAGGTTCATAAATTTGTGAGATATTCCCCCCCCCCTCCCCGGAACTTAATTTTTTTTTAATAGCAAGGTACCCCTTGTGACATATCAAATGAAAGAGCATGAAAAAGAAAATGTTTGGTGAAATTTATTTTTCATATATAATTACGCCCCAGCAGTAAGTAAGTAAGTAAGTAAACATTTTCTTTTTTCATGCTCTTTTATTTGATATGCCACAAGGGGTAGCTTGCTATTAAAAAAAATTTAGTTCTGGGGAGGGAGGGGGGGAATATCTCACAAATTAATATACCGATTTTCAATTTTTTTTCATCAAACATTTTCTTTTTTCATGCTCTTTCATTTGATATGTCACAAGGGGTACCTTGCTATTTAAAAAAAATTAAGTTGGTGGCAGGAGGGGAAAGGGGGGGAATGTGAATGTAACGTTGAATTAAAAAAAATGGGCCCCCTACGTCAATAGATGATTCCCGCAAACTGCATATTTCTATCTATTGCGGTTTTTACATAAATAAAGATGCAAGTTTTAAAAAAAAACATCCTGTACATAGTCCCACAACATAAGTGGGTATAGGGTCACTATGTAACAAAGAATGCACAATTTAATTTAGATCATGTAACTCCATAGATTTTTTTCTTTGTAAACAAGAAGTGTAAATAACAATAATTGATCAAATTTGATTGACAAATTGAATTTCTCTCTTTGTACTGCAGACTATTTCCAAGGCCAGCAGTGTTCTCGGTATAAAGTTACCAAAAATTAATTAATTTTTCTAATTTTTACTAATTTGCCTTTTTTACCCAAACATGACAAGTTGTTTTAGGAATTTGTAATATAAATATATAAAATAACTAAGCTATCAACATCTTTAGTTGGTCGGACTCCTAGAGGTTCCTGGTCAGCTTATAATTTGACTGATATAATAAACAATATTTCCAGTTATAAAATTAGAGAAACATATTAACTTAAAATGTCAATATACAATGCTTATTATGTATTGAATACTTAATGGTTTTATGTAATTTTCTTTTTTTACCATGTAGTAATATAAAAAAGGTGTGATTAATAATTGAATCAAATCCAAAAGACTTAAACAATATTGAAATGTTACTAATTGCACAATATTATTTATTTTACCTTTTTATATCCATACAAAGCTTTGAAAAATTAAAGTTATAAATAAAAAAAGAACAAAGAAAATCTTTATGCAATCTCCGCCCTACGCTTTTCAATTTATAATTTTTTTTGCACAATACTCTTAGCTTACACCCATACTTAGTGTGTACTTGTCCATATACAAAAAATACTTCATCCTTATCTTAAATCTGAAATAGCAAGAGTTGTTTTGTTTGTTGCACTATTCATATGAAAATGAATTAGTCCTATGAGGTGGAAGAACAATGTAGCATGCTATAGAATGCTCCAAGAATTTGATTTTCACACGAAGTTTTTGGGTTTGTTTATTGTTTGTATGTGTTATTTTCAGATTCAACTTTGTATTTGCAGTAAAATTTTATGGTTTGAAAAATTGTTTTTTGTAGTTTTAAATTTTTATTTGTGTTAGTTTTTAATAGATTGATAAATTCTGGGTAAGTTAAGTCTTGTGCTGATTGTTCTTATTTTGCTTCACCACATACACATTCCATTCAAACATAGCCCAAAATATTACAATTATGTGGCAATGGCTAAATGTTTGTTGAAATTTCCATTCATAGAGTAGTGCACTTTTTAAAGTAAAACAACAATTTCTAAAATAAATAGTGGTTGATAATTATATTTATATTAACATAAACTTAGTGTTTTTTTACCAAAGAGTAAGATTTTACATTTAAATTAACTCAAAATTGCAATATCTCTAATAGTGAAATATAAAATGAGCCTTAGTCATGCAAGCTGGTTTTCTTAAAAAAATATCTACGTTAAGGGAATCCATAATGACTCAGATTAAATATTAACCTAATTAGATTCCCATGTACATTAAATTAATTAAAATATCAATTAAGCTTTAATCCAATGACCAAAGACTTTCTTAATAACATTTTAGTTATCAAGTTGGATGACAAACTCATGAAGGTAGGGGTTCATTTTGTTATTTAAAATATGTTAAAATATATTCAAGTACAAATATTGTGTTATATATATGACAGTTTATAATCAATAAATACCATTTAATAACATATGCACATTACAGGTATATTCAAAGAGACTGGAACAAAACTGACACAGACACCAACTGAAAAGATACAAGAAACACCAATGAAAACGGCAACAATATGCACTCCTGACATCCACACAGAAAGACACGAAACAACACACAGAACAGAAAGCTTAGAACACAGACATAATAATCAAGTAAAATTAGACAAATCGCAGGTTAATGTTAAGAATATACAAAAAATAATTATTACAAAAAAGATCCGTTACGATATAATTGGAGGAAAGAAGGACGAAACACAAGAAATTAACGTGATACAAATAAGGAAAACAAGAGAACCCTTAGATAATCTACATTACAAGATAAGCATGGAATCTATACCAGCCACTGAAAACGAAATTGAAGAAATAAAATCAATACCCACCATCGGTCAAAATAACCCACCCATAATTGAAGTAATTATTATAGAAGAAATAACACAGACAGAAGAAGGAAATTTCCAGAAAAAAGTGAAACGTTCAATAAATTTCCCTGAATCTGAAGAAGAGTACACTGATAACAAGAATGAATCTCCTACATTGGATTCTGAAACATTGACAGAATATTTACAGAAATACAAAGTCAATGAAGAAATGCCTACAGAAGGACAAGTATTTGAAGAAGTGTCTGATTTAGCCCCAGTTGAACAAGCAGTTCCAATTATTACTGAAGTTGAAGACCTGGCAGATCATACAACTGTGGAAACAAAAACTGTTATTTCTAAGGATGGAGATAAGAAACGTGTGACAAAAAAGAGAACTGTGAGAAAGGTTAAAGATGGAAAAGAAGAGGTTCAGGTGTGTGAAGATACACCGAAAGAAGGCATACTATTTGACCAAGAATGTCAACCGCTTCCAGAAATTTCTGCAGTTGTCCCTGAAAAGGTCGAGGATATGCCAGATGAAGTGACTATTACCGAAGTTGAAGTCATGGCTCCAGAGGATAACAAAGTTAAAAAGACCAAAAAACGCACAATAGAAAAGAAGAAGGACGGTAAAAAAGAAGTTTCAACAGAGCAGTCAGTAGAAGTAGTCACAAAACAGATCAAAAAGAAAGTAAAGGAGTCAAAAACACCTAAGGAAGGCATAGTATTTGAGGAAGCGTCTGATTTAGCCCCAGTTGAACAAGCAGTTCCAATTATTACTGAAGTTGAAGACCTGGCAGATCATACAACTGTGGAAACAAAAACTGTTATTTCTAAGGATGGAGATAAGAAACGTGTGACAAAAAAGAGAACTGTGAGAAAGGTTAAAGATGGAAAAGAAGAGGTTCAGGTGTTTGAAGATACACCAAAAGAAGGCATACTATTTGACGAAGAATGTCAACCGCTTCC